TCCTCTATCAAATAGATGTATTATTATATTACCATTATTTATCCTATATAACCATTTTTTTTTGTGAAATTGGAATAATTAGAATATTTTAAGGACCATAAGTGTTATCAGCGAAATCAAACGTTTGTCAAAGATCGAGCAACAAGATCAATTTCCTACAGAAAAGTATCCTAAATTTTATGTTAGGATATAATATAATTTATCCGTGTACCAATATCATAAAAATCTATTTAGTAGTTTCTGCGTAAAAGAGTAACAGGTATTCGTATCCATATATCCATCTCTTTAGAAAAATATTTAATTTATAACAAACTGAATAGAATTCACCTTTTACCACGTTTATTATTTTGTATGTTTATTGTAATATATATAGTAAAATGGATATAATAATAGTAGAGATGAATAAAGAAATATATCATTATATATATATATATATATATATATATATATATATATATATATATATATATATATATATATATATATTAATTATCTTAATTTTATATATTCTCATTAAATATTTTATTTATACACTGAATGAAATCTAAAATAAGAATTATTTAAATTCTTGCTTTAAATAATAGTGTTACAGCCGATATCATGAAGAAACTAAGTTACTATTTTAGACGAGAAAGAAAAAAGAATCTAGTGCTAATAGTGTTTATGAATATTTCCCAAAAGAATATGAGTGAAATATGAGAACTAATGTTTGAACTTTTCTTACAAAACTACGATTATGTCTCTATCAGAGTGCGTCATGTGATTTTTACAAAGATTAAAAATACATCTGCATCTGCGTTTACGTCAATAAATTCGTGTGGAAATCTTGGTTTCCGAAACAATTCACTAGTAATGAACGTAAACGCTAGTTACAGTGGTAACCTGTCATTAACCTATTAAAGAAGATATTTAAACACGGACATGTAGGTACATATATGTAGGTATTTTTATAGTCATAAGGTAACAAATAAAGGTACTATGTATCAATTCAACTTAATTTACTTCCTCATTTTGATATCATTTCAAAATGTTCCATTTTAAACAACATTTCAAAGTCATAATACACGTAGCCCACATCTAAATCACATTAAAATTCATTGTTATTTAATTATGTCATTAATTTTTAATCATGTTGTACACATGCAAGTTGAGGCAATTACTACGGGCGATCTGTACAGGAAACAAAGTGTTATATGTTTATTCAAGTTAATTATTTAAGAAGTTAAAAAAGAAATAATTTATTCCTACATATTATGTTCACATATATTTTCATACATTTCGTTCCGTAAAAAACATGCCGATAAATCATAAAATTTTTGGTAAACAAATTACAGATGTAAATTTTGTACAATAAAAACTTAAAAATTAAACCGACTTTAACCGCGGCATATGCGCTTGTTTTCATTTAAAAACTAAACCACTAGACCGATTTTGATGAAATTTCTATGGAATCAATTGTGGAAGTATATCTTTTTACATAAAAAAAAAAGAATTTGCCAAATCAATTTATAAATGACGGAGTTATGAGATAATAAGTATACAACTGTACTGAGAATCTTCTCCTTTGTTGAAATCGATTGAATATTATACCTTACATACTACCTAATGTCATTATCTTTGCTATGGTGTGATATAACAATAATTAACCGCTAACGATTCAATGTTTTCTCATAAAATATTGATTACTTTATACCTATAGGTACCTATTTCAGTACTTGTTAACTTGTTAAAAAAGAATAATTATTATTTTATGCCCATGCTTCTCGGTTTAAATGATGTTACAATGTGCATGGGTCAATTAAAAAAACATTAGTGTTTGGTAAAAAAATATTTTTAAACTACTAACGCCACTTTCGTCTACGTAACTGGAATATATTCTTCTCAATTTCAAATAGGAAGTATATATCAAATTTGATAAATGATGAACTGTTAAAAATCCAAGAGGTAACAAACAAGCAAATAAACAATACCACTTTCACATTTAAATAATTAGAAAAGATTTCAAATTTCAAGAACAATTATACACATATGTACAGTATGTTTACTATAAGAAAATTATTAAAAATGTCTTGAGTAAATCAAGATCATTAGCATCCTTTTAAAGTACCTACGCATATTCTACCAAAAGCACTAAATATTTTGCTTAAAGGGGCGTGGATCAATAAAGAACAAAAAATTAATTAGCTTCAAATTATTTATCATTTTTAAATTTTTGATTCACGAAATATCTGCCTTAATATTTCTATAATATGAATGAATTAATAAATTATGTTTGATTTTTTTTTATTTTTTTTTTATAGAATATATTATATTTATTTGTGATATTTATAACACGTAGATGTAAGGTGTATATAATAGATAGATTATGTTTTTTACATATTTGTATATAATTTAAACAATTTTATGTGATAGTATGTTTCTGATATAAATAAATTTTATTTGCATTGTACAATATAGGGAACAAATAAGACAATAATAAATGTGACGATACAGTTATATAAGTACAATAAGGCGGTCTTATTACTGAAAGCGATCTTTTTAAGACTGCCTTAGGGTAACGGACTTATTGTTATACAACTAGGCATAATAATATTAATATTAAGTAAGTTTGAAATAACGTGATTAGATTCTTAGTTTTAAATGCATCTAACGACATTCGATTTCACACTGTAGTATAGTAAATATATGTGTCAATTTAGATTATGGTCTAGGTATCTGTATATAAAATATTATTAAAAGACGTATTGTATAAAAAACATCATCATCATCATCATACGAGCCGTTGACTGACCACTGCTGAATATTAGTTTCTTTCATAGACTGCTAAAAGAAAAGGTCCCGAGTGACCTGCTACAATACATTTGATCGTCGCTCTATCTAGTGGAGGGTCGTTCTAACATACATTGCGTTTATCTGTACGGATCACCACTCAAGAATCTTTTTTCCACATCGGTTTTCGGTTTTTCGAGCTATAGTTTGAGATAGCGACCAACCCATTGCCACTTTAGCCTGCTTATCCTTCGAACATTCATGATATGAGTATTTGATTATGAGTAATATGAATTCTGGTTATTCATAAAGAAGCATTCATGGCTTCTTAAAGGCCACTTACAAGCAAATAACTAAAACCGGGATATCTTAGGTAAGCAAGTTTTGTATAAAGCATTTCAACACACACACACACACACACATATATATATATATATATCTTATGACTCATTATATTTACCTGAGTGGAAATTTGTTGTTTGTGGTTAGTCTTTCGGATTAATGAGTAAAGTCCGTAAAAAAATTCCATGCAACGAGGAAGAAACATTATTCCGATATTCCATCAGTTTAAAATTGTTAAAATACAATATGCCATGCATATCTTTGCATAAATATATTAATCTTGTTGATTTTTTGATCGACGAAAACCTTAATAATATTATCTCAAAATTGTTTAAATATAAATAAGTTAAAAGGCGAAAGATTTATGCGTTTTGAAGGGAAACCAGAGATATATAAATAAGTTAATAAAACAAACAGCAGAACATCTCTTACTTAAGTATCTACGTCATTAAATTACACGTGCAATATTAATTTGTTTAGTAAACTTTGCTTGCTCAGTACTTTAAATTTACTCAATATGTTGTGGAATCATTATTTTTTGTGTATTCACAAAAAATAATTATAATATTTTAAAATCTTTCTGACAATCCTGAATGATATTTGTGTGTACAATTAAACATATGTTGAAAATTATGGAAAGCAATAGATTTCCATAAGAAGTTAGGTACTTACTATTCTTATTTGATTCTTACTCATGTCTATATATAACTACATACAATTAACATGAAATAGAAATCTCTAGCATCCTTGTAATTTAATATATACTCTACAAATGATACTGAACATTTTTCTCAAAGAAACAAGTCAGAAAAGATAAACAAATGCTGTTTAACTATCGTTCTTTGTGAAACGACTGCCAATTGCAACATGTATTGCTAAAAGACGATTTAAATTAGTTCTAGTACCGTAGTATTGTTAACCTATATATTTAAAATACAATGCCAACCGCTAGCCACTTAGACCAAGAAGTAGTTGCCATATTACAAAAATATTTTTATTTTCTTTATTAGGAGGTCCAAAAGGGGTACCTACTCAAATTTACCATTTTTCCCCCTTATCTCCGAAGTTTGTGGAGCAAAAAATCAGAGTAATCACAGTTTATAAAGATATATGTAAATATTATACAAAAAATGTAATAACGAAGTTTCTAAGTAGTATCGTTTTTGAGAAATTATTAAAAAACCTCCAAAAACAAACTCAGTAATACGGTGCAGTTTTTAACACAGTTATAGTCCAAAACAAGATAATACAAGTATGTATCACCTATTCAAAGCAAATAAAATATTCTATTCTATTGTATCCTTTAATTGTAGTATTAATAATAATAACTATGAGATGTCTATTTCGTATGCGAAATGCAATAAATTTATATCATATGTATATATGTGCGGAACCCTCAATATATGAGTTCAACTCGAACCTAATGGAATATTAATCGTATTAAAGCTATCGATGTTCGTTGGTAGAGTACCAATGAGGGATTTTTTATATCGCAAAAGTGGCAAATAAATATACAGCCCGTCGAATGGTAACCGGTCACGGCAACCTGTGGACGCCTGGAATACTAGGAGTGTTACGTTACGGTTTTCAACGTTATTAATGCACAAGGATTTAATGATAACTTTCAGGTACGATGATATTGAAAGTAACCTGACAAGGTATAACAATGACATGTCACTTGCAACTGATATCTATGATATCTATAAATGATGGTTTCAATTTTCTATCTTCTAGGTATCAAAAAAATCTAACCCTGGGACGTAAATATTATTTTATTACATATAAATTTAAATACGTAATTGGCTTATTATGGTAATCTAAATTAAAATAAATGAGACCTTAATTAAATAAAGTATTAAAAAATTAATTAACTAATATTTTTGTTTCAGTATCACAACATATGCTGTCGGACATAGATAAGCTACCGGGTGTTCAATTAGGAGATTTTCTACTACAGTTCGAGCTAGATGAACCCAAAGAATCTGTGAAAGAGATCGCCAAACGAGAACTGAGAGAGACGCCAGATGTTGTCAAACCTGCAGTTGAAGAGTTGAGAAAGCTGCTAAAAGGTAAATTTAAATGTCATTTTTCGTCCTTATGGTTTATATTGCATCAGAGCCTATTTATAAATTTTATAGCATTTACAGGCTTTAATCCCTTAGGATCGAATGTTCAAAAAAAATTATGGAAGTTGGTTGCTTGATAGATCGATCGATCGATTGATAAAAAAGAATTGATTTATTGATGACTTGATTAGTTGATTGATTGAAATCTAAATAACTCACAAACGATAAATATAGTATCTGAGCGGTAAATCAAGTAAAACAGTACGGAATGACGAATGTAAAAAACGCAGCAGTAGGTCTCAAATTTTGCAATAGTCCATAATTAATTAAAATCTATTTTGTAGTTATCTTTGTATTAAAGTACAGTTTAAAGTTAAACCTGAATTAGGCTTAAATAAAGTAGTACCTCTTAGTAACATATATACTTGAAGTGTTTCTATAGTAAACAAACCAAAAAGTTAATAATAGCTAAACATATGCATATTAATGAAATACGTACAGCTATATTTATATAATTCCACTAGACCTATTAATAAAACATCTATACATCACAGCGAGTACTGACGTATGACGATACCTTCAACAATGATATAAAAATTATATGCTTAAAATACGTACTAATTCCAAAGAAGCATTTCAATTCATCTAATTTTTTTGGTGACTAAGCTTAATAATTGAACAAGGTTTGTCCCATGATAGTCCAATATTAATAAATAGATACTACACCTACAGATAACCCATAAACATAATCACCCAAAAAAATAGGTTTTTACGTATTTTTTTTGAAAATATGTAAGTACCTAATCTTACATTAAAAAATAGATAATAGTAACATATATACAAAAACAGCGCCATCTAGTATCGAGTTCTGTAATTATCTCTTTGTTTATGGATTTGAAGTAAGACCGCCAATGCAATACATTATGACTGGGGATTCCGTCGACGCTGAATATGAACGACAATCACGTGTTCACTATTACTCTGCTTGGTAACGTGACTTCCTGGTAACGTGTTAGGTAGGAAAAGCAGTAAAAAAGTGCATATTAAGTAACTTACAAGCTTTTATTTAGCTTGCGTTATGTAAATAAAAATATGTAGGTATATTCGTATGTTGAAATTCGGGAAACTTATAAAAGATAGCTTCCAGCCAAAATGTCTGGACTGTCAGAGATAGAGACAAATGATTCTTTTTTATAAGCCCCTCGTCGTCTGCTAACACTACAATAAATAGTTTCAAGACACCGATTCATATAAAAACAGAATTTTTATAAACAGGGACGCCATTATCGATGCAACATCCACAAAAACCAAAATCGTAAAAATATATAGAGAAATGCGTTTTCAAAAAGTACCTTAGCCAAGAAGTTGAAAAAGTAATGAAAGTGTATGGAGCAAATAAGTTTCTTGTATAATAATAGCTAAAATATATGCATATTAAAAATACGTACACTATATTTATATAAAGTTCCACTAGACCTATTAATAAAACATCTATACATCACAGCGAGTACTGACGTATGACGATACCTTCAACAATGATATAAAAATTATATGCTTTCATCTAGGTAAATACGTACTTACATAAGTGACTTCCAAAGAAGCATTTCAATTCATCTAATTTTTTTGGTGACTAAGTTACGCGATTACATCACCAACTGATCTGAACTGATTTTCAAAATTCCTTTTATAATTGAACAAGGTTTGTCCCATGATAGTCCAATATTAATAAATAGATACTACACCACTAGACAAGGCCGTCTGGTACCAAACAAAACAGAGCTTGTACTATTAGTACCAGTCAACTGATAGAAACAATTAAAAACAGTTTTTATTACAGCTAATAAAAAAAATACAAAAAGATGGGCATATTTATGAATAAACGTTTGTATTGTATGAGGATCGTGTCCGCAACCATAATTTTGTGACAATTAAAATGGCCGTTTCACTTTGCGAAACAAAAACTTATAGACACACGATTCAAAATTCAAATGTATTAAAATGTCGCTTTACTGTAAATGTACTTACCTGCCTTCCATATGTCCTTAGTAAAATTGTGGTATAATTTTAGACATACATTTTAGTTATAAACTTAGGTAGTTTGTAACCGGTGAGATAATAATTTGATATTTATCCTAATGAAAATTGCTATCGTATTCCGTTCCGTCAACGATGATTACAGTAATAAATAGCGTCACCAACATCAACCAAAAGGTCAAGAATGTTGTTTATTTATTATAGTATATACTAGATTTTTTTTAGATATCTAGAAAGATATAAACAAACTAATAGCCTGTCTTGATAGATGTAGAACACTTAGAAAGTAAACTCATTCAATATCAATGAAATTAAAATAAAACAAAACTATTGTACAAAATTAAGGTTTAATAAGAGAATTAAATTTTTCCACAATCAGCTTATTAGCGCGCATTTTATTTTATTGCACTCGTTTAGTGCAATGGGTTATGAATGATTATTATTTATCGTTCTTGTTGTACATTAAAGTACAAATGTTATTGTACACGCAAAGCCGTCAGTATATCCAACATTTTTCAGAAAATCGTAAATTAATATATTTTATATTGTTTAATGTTTATTATAAGTAATATTCTTTTTTTAAACATATCTTCTTTCTATCTATCTACATGCCAGTTCTCTTAAAGAACAGTCAGAATATTCCAAAGGCCTTGGTGTATTACTTTATGTATTGAAGTACATATATATAAGTATACGTTTTCTATATTACAATGTTTTAATAATATGGTAATATCATAAAATAATAAAAATATGTGAAGTTTGTCAGTTCAATGTACAGGGTTAACAACTAAATTATTATTTATTTAAATTACTAAACACGATAGTGTACACCATAGTGTAGTTTAAAAAGATATAATTATTATCTGAAAGTTAAAAATGTAGATTTTGGCAATTTTTTAAAAATTTATACCTATAAAAAATTTTTACAATTTTGTTAACACTACCACCATTGATACTTAATAGAATACTTGTTATCATTTTAAAACTGACTGGTTTCGTCCATTTAAACTAATTTAAAGCATTATTAAAAGTCTATTTATAGTTATTTTCTTAGATTATACTATTCTCAGAAAATATTTTTTTTTATATTTATAGTTACAATTATTATTAGATTCTAATTCAATTTTAAATAAACAGATTCTATTTATAGTATAATATTTACGGACTTTGCCATGAATGACATAATACTATATATATTTCATATTATATCTATTCCGTAAATATTTGTATAGTTTTTATGGTCCTATGTAGATAGACCGTTAAAAATATAATTAAAAAAATATAGATGAGTAGGTATTTACACTTTTTTTTTGCAGTAGTTAGAGGTGTGAAAATTACTTATTAAATAAACCAAGAAACAAGGTGTTTAATGAAAAATATTATGGTGTGCTTGTTAATTTTCACATGGTTTTGGTTCATGTTATAGAAGCTAAATTTAGAAACGGAATCCGCAGTGACCTAACGTTTTTTCAGGGGCAAAATACGTGCATTTATAGTGAGATATGTTTAATAACGCTATACACTGTTATATTATTTATGTTTTCCTAATAATCTATCCCATGACATCTACTTAATAACAATAATGTTAACAATTCAGTTAATAGTTTTTTTCTGCCTAAACCAGTTATTGTTGATAAACTTGATTATTTATAAAGAATATCTAAATCATTAAGATCCAAAATAACCGTTTTAGAAAGATTAAAAACAATGTTCTATTTTAAGAACAAAATATTGACTTAAAAATTATGCATAGTTGAGCAAATTCGTTCAATAGGTAAAACAACTTATAGATAGTAAGTATGAATTAAATTATTTAGATATTTTTACCCTAATATAGCCCTAGCCCTCAATCGGATATCCACCACGTATCCACGAGTACTACTAGAGTCGCACTTTATATTCTATGATGCTAGAAATAAAAATTAAAAAGGAACATATTTTAGTATAGTATATTGAGAAACTAGATAAGGCATTATATAGATAGACATATCCATAAAATATAAATTATCTAGAGACCCATGACTCTGGCTATAGCAATAATGTTATTGTATATCACCCATTTAATCCGATATTAATACTGGGTGATAGTGTATTTTAAAATAATAATAATTATGTAGATTTTTACAATAATAACATAAGAAGTATATAATAAAGCTACGAACTCACGGAGCGATTTTTTTAACTTACGCTTACTCGTTGCGAGAATGCGCTGTTCGAAGATTATAAAAAATAATGAAAAGGACAATTATAAAAAGGTTAAAACTACGTACTAATATAAAATGTCTGAAACTATGATTATAGTAATGTATTCAGAACATTTAACATTATTTATCATAATTCACAGATATACAGTAAATTATTGTGGGCAATAGATATAATTATATTATTGTATACATAAGGGTTTAATAATTTTACATTATTATGTTTTCTTCTAACCTTTGTTTTGTGATCTTTGCTCTTTAGCTCTAAACTTATATTGTTCTATGTACTAGCACTAGATTATTACTCTTGCTTTTTATTCTTTCAGTTCAATGTCATAGATATTGCACACTATAATTATGATAAATCAAAACAATTTCAACGTAAAGTAGACATTATTCTGCGGCTTCTACGCGGAATTTATAATATATACCTAGTTGCCGGAGAAAAAATTGTATTGTGTTAATTTAAATATCAGCTATGTTTCTGTGCATATTTTTTGTACAACTTAGAATGGCAAACAAGCTGATGGAAAGTGGTAACCGTCGCCTATAGACATAAAGTATTACCATGGACATAACAGAGTATACTTTTTCACCCATGATACTTCCCATGCGTTGCCATTCCTGAGGATTCGAGTGTTATTCCTCTGTACCTTGTTAAATCACTGCCATATTTCACCCTTCAAACCGAAACACAGCTATGTAAACACAACTGCTTCACGGTAAAAGCACGAATGGAACAGAGGTGCCCAAGCAAATGACTTTTGTATAAAGTCTCCTTTTGGTAAATATATTTATCTAATAATATCATTTTAATTTTTTTTTCACATTGCAGAAGATAAAGATTTACACGTACCGTTTGATAATGACGCTTGGCTCATTAGATTCTTGAGACCGTGCAAGTTCTACCCAGAAAGCGCTCATGACTTGGTAAGTCATTGGTATCCTATCGTTATCCTAGTCGCGACCCTGAGCTATGCTCCATTTAGTCCTTAACACTTTTATGGTCATTCGATAAACGATCATTAATGGGGAGGGATCAGATTTTATTATACAACTTACCTGTTCAGTCACTCGCTGAGCGACTTGGAGTTTTCACATACGTATAGTTCTGTCCTATAAATATTATAATAGTGAAAGTTTGTAAAGATATTCGTAAAGATATGCTGAATGGAATGATTGAAATTTGGTACACGAATAAGTTACATTGTAACATATAGATTTGTATATACTAATTTCATCATCATCATCTCAGTCATCATCCGTTCACTGCTGAATATAGGCCTCCCCCATAGTTGTGGGGTTTTGCCAGTAGTTGCCACGATTGGCAAGCAGGTTGGCAACTGCATTTAGGCCTTTGGTGATGTTTTAAGAGAGACGCTGCTGCCCATCCCTTGACCATAAGTTCCCTTAGTCTGTTATATATTGATTTACGCGGACAAAACTGCAGAATACAGCTAGTATAGCAATAATGGTCTCATTAATCATCCCTAGCAACTAATACTAATAATATAACTACCTTCGTCGATGCACTTTGTATTTTTGATGAGGAAAGGTTTTATTGTTTCCTTAACACTTGCCCAACTTAATACTAACAACGTTCAGGAACATATACCTATCATACATATATCTATAATGTATTATGAATTCACTTCCAGATTAAACGTTATTATGGCTTCAAATCGAAACATCACAAGCACTACGAAGGCCTGGTGCCAAGCAAGGAGACCAACATATTCAACCAGAACATATTGACGGTACTACCGACGCGGGACCAGCACGGGCGGCGTATTCTTGTTCTTGAACTTGGCAGTGAGTTGAGATGATCTGTTGAAACTTTTTTTTTTACAACAATTAATTTTATTATAAAATTTCGAATGTCAAATGAACTGACCGCCTCTATGGTGAAAAGTGGTAACCGAAAAGATATTAATTATGAACATCAGAGAATATATTATAATGCTCAGGGTGGGTAAGTAATTGCTATAAGGATTTGTCCTTATAGCAAATATCATAGCATAGGATGATCCGTATCCGATCAATATAAGTTTGAAGAAATAAATGTATCCATATACGCTTATGCAGCAATTGTTGAAAGTGTATCATAAATCTACGTTTATGTGAAAAAAAATTGAACATACAAGCACTGTATAAGAGCAAAACGACACACTTTGATAGACTTGCAAATTTCTCAAGACGAAATACGTTTTCATCCTAAATTATTTCCTGTCAACAGATGTGTTGAATATGCATACGTAAAAAATAGGAATCCGAAGTTGCGTAGTTTATACTATTATAGTTTATAGTCTAGTTTCCCTATCATTATTATTTTTTAAAAATCGAATATTATTCTAAGATCACTTGGTTGTATTGCAAGAACAAGGTCAAAATTAGCACGATGTCGTCTTTGTTTTGTTTTTTTTAACACTCAGACTCATGGCAAACATTTAAAAAGTTATTCAAATATTTGTATTGACACAGATAATGAGCTCACGATATTCACATATAAAACAATTAATTACTGTTATTTTAAATGACTCATACATTTTATATATACCTATTTAAAAATTTATAAAAAAAAATTCGTCAGATATATTTTTCAAAAATAAGTAAAAATCTAAAATTATATATTATATTATCTAAATATTTCTGAAAATTCCTAAATGCTGATAAAGAAACCTAATGCAAAATAAACTATTGATACTCCACTGTTTCTTTAAATAGTAAAAGAAGATAGGTTTGCGTTGTAGATAATTGTGAAATTACAATGACGACCGGAAAACAATCATCAAATGGATTACTGTTTAGTAACAGTGACGTGTGTATGGGTATAATAAAATAATGCACGAGTACAATAAAATAATATGGTGTACCTATTATTACGTTGTTAATGTCGAAGACCTTAGCTTAGACCTCGTAGGCAGGTACTTTGAACACTTGCATAAGTAAAGAAATAAAAACACAATACAGTTCTATAAAGAGATCCGTGCTCATTGGGTTGCAAATCACAAAATTTATACAAGACTGAATATTTACGCATATGTACATAATATTATTACATACGTATAATAAATAGATACATATATAAGACACTGAGTACAAGATTTGCATAGCAAGTGGATAGTGTATTAAAACAAAAACTTCAAATACATACTATAATACCTAGAATCCTTAATATACTTAGTAATAAATCTTGGCATATTTTACTTCAAAATCATACATATGTATAGGTACGAGTACATTATAAATAAAACCGACGACAAAATAATACTTGATAATGATGCTTAATCTTTAACATAAAAATTTTTATTTGCCTATTTATTTATTTATTACATATACTACGTACTCGCAGGTATATTTGTTTTTTCTGTAGTAATTATATAATTATAAAAAAAACTACTTAAGAACATATATATCTATTTACCCTCTACATTTAGGTACAATCGAAATCTAATAAAATAATCTAAATAATCTCTAAGAAAATAATCGAAACTTCACTCGATAAAGTTTCGATCTGGGGTGAACGCAATCTTGTTCACTTTAACCCTAAGAAGACACAAGTCTGCGCGTTCACCGCAAAAAAGACACCGTTTGTCGTATCTCCTCACTTTCAGGGCACTTCCCTTGATAATAAGTCGAGTCTGGGGATTCTTGGCGTCGATATATCTAGCGACGATATATATAGCTTCCAAAAAGTTGGGGGTGCTCAATAGGGTGAGACGGTATTTCACGCCAGAAAACCGCCTTAAACTGTATAAAGCTCAAGTGAGGCCACACATGGAATACTGTTCTCACTTGTGGGCAGGAGCGCCACAGTACCAACTCCTTCCATTAGACCGCATTCAAAGTCGGGCAGCTCAAATTGTTGACGATCGGCGTCTTACTGTCCGGCTCGACCCACTGAAACTGCGTAGAGATGTTGCATCTCTGTGCATCTTCTACCGAATTTATCATGGGGAGTGCTCTGAAGAATTGTTCGGATTGATACCTGCTGCTGATTTTCACCATCGTACAACCCGCCATAAACTAAAATTTCATCCCAACCATCTGGACGAGTGGCGGTCCTCCACCGTGCGTTTTTCAAGGCACTTTCTCCCACGCACAACCACTCTTTGGAATCAACTTCCAGCAGCAGTATTTCCGAACCGATACGACAACATAACCTTCAAGAAAAGAGCATATTCCTTTTTAAAAGGCCGGCAGCACACCTGCAATGCCGTAGGTGTTGTGGGTGATTATGGGCGGCGGTAGTCACTTACCATCAGGTGAGCCGCATGCTCGTTTGCCCCCTGTGTTGTAAAAAAAAAAAAAAAAAAAACATTGGGGACAACACTACCGAAACTTACTCAAATATCCTTGCGACAGTAGAAACTCACAACGTTACTGTTTTTTGTTGTAAATTATTAGTGAATTTGACATTTCTAAATACCATCACTAGGTTCCATGCCTTCAACGATTTAAAACTATCTTCACGATTGTAGTTGATCCAGTTGGTGATTTCAATAGCTTCCTTGAGTAGTTGTAGAAAGTAGGATTGAAGTAGTCATGGAAGCCAAATAGTAAAATATTCATTACGTATCTAGTATTATTATTATTATTGAAAGATGGGCTTTTTCCAGCCAGAAAAATCTGTAACCCTGCGATCTTTCCATGATCTTTTGTGCTCGCCCTTTTTTAAAGGGTGCTGCTAATTCCTATCATTAATAGAAATTTTAAGATAAATTAAGTTGTATAAGAGATCACCAAAGCTTAGAAAATATACTATTATAATACTCTATAACATCTACACTATTTATAATACTCTAGATAAAAAGAAATAATGGTGAACTGAAGATATTTAATTTTGTTACAGAGAATTGGAAACACAATCAATGCTCTTTGGATGAAGTGTTCAAGGGCTGTGTATTGTTCCTGGAAGCGGCTATGCTGGAACCGGAGACACAGATTTGTGGTGCTGTGGTCGTTTTCGACATGAACGGCCTTTCCATGCAACAAGTCTGGCAGTTCACACCGCCATTTGCCATGAGAATAGTCGACTGGCTGCAGGTATTTGTCAGCATTCCCTTTTTATAATAAATAAAAAGTTACTTACAGCTAAAACATTAATTAAAGAGCAATTGTATAAAAATATAAAAGAAACAATTGTGCAAATATATACTTAATATTTTTTATCTGTTTAAGTTAATAAATATGAAAGTTCAGAATTTCCATTACAATCTTTAGTTCGGTATCAGAGCATTTTTAAATACCTAGTAATTAAAAAAATAATGATAATTGCATAACTGTAAGTTTGAAAACTATCTATTTGTCAATACAACCGTTACCAGACTTTTACATATTTAATATTAGTTGGATTTTGATATTAGAGTAATTGATATATTTCATAGGTGTAAAAATATCATTACAATGTTGTATTTAACATGTTAAATTATGAATCAAGTATGCAATTCTAAATCAATGTTCGCTGGAATGCGATGCAAATATAGGTATAAGTATAAACTAACTTAACTGTTTTTTTAATGGGTAAAAACAGAATGATAACCGCGCTTGCGCTATCGGTATATCCTGGCGTAGCACCTGTGTGAAATAATAGGTAAGGATGAAAGCAGGTCAGTTAGCCCATAGCTAGTGATTCCACAAGAATTAATCACAATGATTTCCAGAGGGAAATGCGTGGAGGTTGAACCGATAGGGTATATTGCTAGTGACAAGAGGTAGGGTTTTAGACCGTATTACTAACAAACCCTTCCTCCTCCCCCCCTTTACTAGATATTGTATACAATATCTGTTACGTTATAACCTTATCCGTAACATCCTGTAGGGTATACATTTAACATTAAAAATATAAAAGATTTTTTTTTATTTTTCCAGGAAAGCATACCACTTAGAGTAAAAGGCTTATACATAGTCAACCAGCCTTACATTTTCAACATGGTGTTCCAACTGTTCAAGCCTTTCCTCAAAGAAAAACTGCGTTCGCGCATTATTTTTATGGGAAATGACCGTGAGCTCCTCCACAAACACGTGACGCCCAAATGCTTGCCTGAGTGTTATGGTGGCACATTGAGTATACCAAGGGTCACGGGCTCGCAATGGCTTGAACTGCTTCTGATGTGTGATAAAGAATTTGAGGGTAAGTTTCATTGCTTATTATTGATTGCAAAAATAATTAAATATCAAAATCAATACAAAATTGATGAAACATACGCACAAAATATACAAGTGCAATAAGGGCATTCTTTTGTATATAACTTAAAATATGGTAATCTGGTACATTTCGGTCAATGAGTTGTACCAGAGGCGAAGCGAAAATTAAATTACAAAGAATCTATTTTAATTTTGACATAATGTTCTTTAAGAACCATTAAAATATTATTTACAAAGGTACCGTAATAAATACATTGCAAATATGAATCATAAAGATCCTAATTACGATTAAAAAAGTGTGTGTATTCATTTATATTTAGTATATTTCATACTCGCACTCCACTGTTATATTTGCACTTACAAGTTAATAGCTTGACGGTTCACCGACCGACTTAAAACAACAAGCTGGCCAACGACCGACAAATTGGTTTTAAATTAAAATGCATCATATGCACTTAACAAAGTGTTAATAGGTTGTAAAGTGTGAAGATGCGACTTCTGGCAGTGGCGAGTGTTGTGATGATAGAACTTGATCGTAAGAATTGTATCCGGGGAAAAAAATTAACATTATTTTGAAGGAAGTGGTTTTGGTTTTAGTAATGAAAGTAAATGTCTAGAAGAAATAAGGGGCGACGAGATATGGCCAAAAAAATGTTGTCTCCCATACCACTGATAATAATACTAGTGGCATAAGAGTAAATAATCTGGGATATTTAATATAAGAATAAATAACTTAGTCTTAATGAGCTTTTAATCGCTAATTCGTCCGCGTGTCCGGGATATTTATACGGATCGTAATAAAAAATAGCTTATGCCTAATTTAATACGCATATACCAAATTTCATTGTAATTGGTTAAACCGTTAAGGCGCTAAAAGGTAACAAACAAACCCAATTACGCATAATATTAGTAACGATAAGCATAAGTATACCAGTACCATACAACTTTTAATACCTGGACAAGCCGCCGCGGCGCCGTAATTTATTCTTTATTCTTTATTGTACAGAAAAGGTTATTGAAATGTAAAAACAAACATAATAGTGTACAAAGGCGAGCTTATCTCCAATAGAGATTTCTTCCAGCAAACCCAATATGAGAAAACTGACAGTTCATTAGTAGTTACAGTCATACATGTGTACCGATCGACTTAAATGTTATAGTAAAAATAAAGAAATAAAATGTCTTTACAATTGAAAAGACCGATAGGTATAAATCAATAAATAAAAATATATATAAGTAAATACATATAAATAGATAGATATTTATTATATATAATACACAAATATAATAAGTCGTATATCAGCATTGTGAGAGGTAATAATTCTTCAGACGTGATTTGAAAATCCCAATGCTTGGGCTATTTCTAATTTCATAGAGGAACCTTGAAATTTTTTCTCATTCCGTTATCTCTCTCTAGTTCCATTATTAGAACACTCCATTAGTTGTATACTATAGAATTCAATTCCTAATATTGGTATAATTAATAAAATTTATTCTGTTACAGCAATCAACAAATATGGATACAAGAAAATTAAATGATCGTGTACAATCCAGAGTGTAAGGTGTGATAGCTCGCTAAACATATCGTGATATATTAAGAAACTGAGGAAAATGTGTTTATTTTTTAATTTTATTATAGGTACAAAGTTATTTTAGTATATATAATTTGCCGGATGCATAAAATAAATAGCAAATTGTATATAGGGCATGAAGAGATGATAATTTAAAATATTACTATTCTGCAAGTATTTTTGTTGCATAATCAACCTTATTTTATTTATCATAACATTGTTATTGTTAAATGCTCTTTGCAACCGACAATTTATGTATTTATTATATTATATTTCTATTTTGCATTCCATTTTTCATATTATCAATAATAGTACCAATAAGAGTGTATTCATACAGAATCTTTATTTTCAACGTTAACTTAGATGTTTTAGTCAATAACAATTTGCCATTTTATATTGTAATACCTCGAAGGATTGATTAACTTGTATAGTTAGTGATGTCCAAAGTACCTATATTTTAATGCCTATAAACAAAATTGCTTAAATTTCAACAAAACTGTTTCTTTTATTAAATCAGTTTAAAATTTATTCCACAATTTATTGTGTAAATTATCTTAAAAAATATTCTACATGCATGATATTCTTACTACTCCTACATCCGCAGTCTTTAAACACAATCTTTCCTATTTAAGGCTGTGATTTCAATGAAGTCAGAAACATTATTTATATGAATACTCAGAAATCTATTATGCACATGACAATAAAAAGTTAATTTATATAGAAGTGATGTTGCCTAATTCCTTATTGTAGTAACATAAGTTTTTGAATTAAAAAAGAAAATGTTAGCTGCAAGATAATAAATCTCTATAAAAAAAGACTAAAAATACTACAATGAAAACGAAAGTTGCAATTAGACTTTCTTTGTAACTTATATTGCCGTAACTCACTTTTTAGATTTAAAAAAAGATGATAGAAAGATAAATTTGTTTCTGGCATTATATTATTGAGTAAGGGTTTATATTTATATTGCCTCGCAAACGCTAAATTGCCGTAATGACTTTTTTTAATTACTTTTTTTATAGAATCGTGGTTACTAGGTAGTGGTATTATTATACGTAAATTTTAATACTAATAGTTTACTAAAACATTGATTTTATTTGAGATATATTTACACCTTTTTATTATTTAATAACAAAATTGTAATGCAAAAAAAAAACCAGCAAGCAATTTCGTATTGACTAATAAAAAGTACTTACATCTTATTAAAGTTTCTAAAATATCGAATCCATTTATCTCTACGCATTAAGTTTAATTCAGTTTTATGATAATAATTTACTTATTTTTTCTCTTACGACGACTTAACGTTTGTATAGCGGTATATTATTATCATTATAGGTATATAGTTAGAATTAGATTTGTGCTACGTAATTTTATTATTCATTTACCTACTTATAATTTGTTTTAAATTTTGTTGCTAATACAACATTTAATTTTTTACCAGTAACTATTTTTTATTTCTATAGTCTCCCAAAAATTACGTAGGTACATAATTAAAATCTATACACGATCTATATCCTTATAATTTTTTTTATTTGATTTGCAATAAGGAAGTTCAATTTACTAGTGTCATTACTCACTGGATGTAGTAATGATCCAAAATTAATATCTTTAGAGATAATTTTAAAAGTAAATCATGGACTGAAATCCAAAGTTCAAATAATTGTGCATGGTTTACAACAATAAAACCAAATGCGTATCGTGTGCCTCTATATCCGCTTCTATAAATAATTGCCATAAATTAAGATCTATATCATATAAAATAGGTAGGTAAAAACAACATATTTGTGTACAGGGATCTAATGATAGTTGTTTTATTAATATTAGGTAATACTTTTGTTATAAGTCGTACATAGTCAAAACTCTTTTAATAGAATAATTTCACAAAGTAAATTGTAAAACGTTTTATAATATGTAAACTTATAAATTGGTATTTGTATAGGTGCATTGATTATTTTATTAATAAAAATGTCACTGAAATATTTGAATTTGTTTTATTTGGCTACATGTACATTTAATTTATAGATTGTTTCAATAAAGTTATTGAAATGTCAACAAACTAGTAAGTCTTGGCCATCAGACAGTCTGTTGAAGTCTCTATCACACTGCTATGTAAGTAGTGAACAAATAGCGTTTAAATATATCTTATTTCTTTTAGAGTTTATATAATATAATATATAAAGGTTTATCCTAAGATGTATATAACTTAAAAAAACATTTTTTTTTTCTAATATATTTCTATTATTAACTAACCGCACCTTATATAATTACATTTATAGTATATAATTACAATACTAAATAAATTTCTACTAATATTTGTATATTTAAGTATAGTCACATTTCAATTAATAGTCGGTCGATCTTGATAGGATTATTGTGGAAAATGTTTTACTTAAAAAAATACATGAGCCTTAAAATAGTATATGAAAACCTATTTTAAACAATTCTCCTTCAGTCCCAAACCACCTTAATTATAAAAATAGTTTAAACATGTAAAATATTTCCTAACATTTCCTTATTAAAATTTTTTCACCTCCGTATTATATCTATGTACCTACTCCGAGAACCATACACTAATCCCAAATATAAACCGTTTACTATTACCCCTAGCGTCCCTAGGCATATGATGACGACAATTAATCCTTCTTTATTGTTTTCAATCAAGTACTTCATAATTTCATTAGCAAATTTTATATTAATTATATTTTAATTATATTCTTTCATTTAGTTTTAACATACGCCTTAATACTAGTAGTACGAGTAAGTTGTAAGAAAATTTAATCAAGCCATATATTAAATTTTATTCGAAATATACATAAAAATAATTTATGGAAGAAATTAAATTCACATTTATATATTTTTTACATTTAATCGGAATGTATATAATTTATTATTATACTTAACATATTAATAGTAGATATTTACCTAGTAGGAATGCCAAGAAAATCTTTCAAAATAAATATTTGAGATATAAATGTATACTTATCAATAATAATATAGTTTATTTATAATGAAAATAGGTATATTTTATATTACATATTGAGATATACGTTTCACTGAAATTAAATTTATTTAGGTAAGTATATTAGAATTAAAATAAATGTTAAAACCCTCTTAAAAATATATACATAAATAATAAACAAAAAAAAAATAAAAAAGACATAAATTATAATATTTAATTCAAAACTATCACAGATAAAGCTATTAAATTGATATTTTATAATATAGAGTTTTAATAGATAGATACAGGTAGCTAATGACAAAGAATAATTTTACAATTGGCATTTTTATTCGCGAAGTAACAGCGGTTTTTACCCTACAAAATGGTTGTGTTAGAAATACCTAAACACTTAATCGATACTGAAATCAGCAAATGAGCTAGCAAACACATGAACCTTTACCATAATGCTCGTAACCCTCCCTATAACAATATATTATCCTTCCTAAATGAATTAAAACCACATGACAACAACAAAAGTATGCTGCTAATTGCTTATTAGATGTAGAAATAGGCAAGACTAATACAGATAAAATCTTAATGTCAAGAACCTGTCTTTTTTATCATACATTTATTACTTACTCCTTAATATTTATTCATTTGTAATATAGATATATCTACATTTTACCTAGATCTATTTATCTTGAAATTAATCATAAAGCATATTTTAAATAGAACTCTAAAATTAGGTCTCTCATAATTGTTTGTACACTAGAAAACAAGATAAACATATCGGTCGATGCCTTGACCTAAGTTTAACTCATCTCTGTCAAATCTGACAAGATACACTAAGTTATCGGCGCATATTTCATTGAGCCTATATCATTAAATTGATGTATTTATGTTATGTACATGGAACGGAATATAAATTATTACAACGAATGAAGTATTAGTTACACTGCGAATTGTCTTTTAAAATTAATATTACATTAACAATATAAAAATATACATATGTTTAAATCACAATATCACTTTTTAATCTATTAGTTGTTCAAACGAGTCCACTCTATTCAAACGATGTTTTCTCCATTTACGTTTTGGTTATTTATTACGCTTAATATCTTAAAAACTCTATAATTTTAAACCAGTTTTTTTATTTACTTCACATTATTGTTTGTCACGTACCCATAAGAATTTTTAGCTGAAAATAAAAAAAAGTGTTAGAAATAATTTATCTAGTAATAAAATAAAATATATTATCCAAATGACAATGACACCTGTATCAAAATCTGCTGCAAGAATTAGAATAAGTAAGGGGGAAAACAAACAGATGTAAACAGCCACTACTATTTAGAGGGACACGTGATTAGTATAGATATGTTAGTTAACATTTTTGTTGTGTTTCTATTAACATTCAAGTATAGTCAGGTAACGTTTTTTATGACCTTTTCACGTAGCTAAATTAAATGTAAAATCTGTAGTCAATGTTACACACATACAAATACTTAAACAAAACTTAATGCATTGACCCTCAGTTATACTCTATGGTTTACGAAGAGAATATTTGAAGAGGCATACCTCTGAAATTATCCTCGTAATGCATCATCATCTTCCACACTACCTCCCCTGGTATCTCGGGATCCGGCAAAATTCCTCCGTGGCGTTTCCTCAAAGCATCAGCATGAATTTGGGACAGTAACGACTGTCTATCTGTGCCGTGGAAGAAGATGCGAGAGCGTAGCTTCTCCCTCATAAAAGGTTTAAATATAGCAAACAACATATTGAAAAGATATGGCTGGTTTACTATGTGGACAGCTTTTAGGCGAATTGGAATGCAGTCCTGAAAAGGATAATTCATTCTTAATTAGTATTAAGGTAATTACTTAATTATTATTACACTACTGGAGCCTGAAATAAAAGTTTTCTATTTTTAAATCGTACGACAGAACTTTACGATTGTCACTACAATCATACAAGCAGAGCGTTTCAGATGTTTGTTAGAGAACGTCCATTAATTATGTGAGGTGTTTTTTTTATTTGAAGTCCTTACTCCTTTGGTAAGAATTAATGAGATATACTCATAGTAAGACTTGTGTTGCTTTATTCCCAATGTTTTATAATTCAATTAAAGTATATTAACTCACTCACTAGTCTCGCATTTACGATTTTATATAATTAAATTTATTTCATATGTTTTTCTTCATCTGCTTGATAACCTTTGTAGTCTAACAGCTGAATATACTGCTTTATCTTCCGATAGTCACGGAACAGTCGACTAAGTAACAATACAAACATTTAAATCTATAAATATGGTAAATACAAAATCTGTTCGTATTGGTCTGGATAGTTTCTATGTATTATTTACTATGTCATATGTATATATTCACAAAAAAGTAAGTATAATTTATTAATAAATATCAACATTAATGACTAAAGTACAGACTTAATTAGATTACAATACAAATATATATTAACTAATCATTTGAGAATTTATAAATATTGTTTATCTAAATTAGAGCCCAATATTTATAAGGTTTCTGTCAAAGTTCAGTAATATAACTAATTACTATAAATATTAGACTAGATATGACTCAATAAATTGATTCCACTTGTCTTGAAAGTCGCTCCAAATTAATTAATCAATAACTTGTAAATAGCACATGTCCTGTTTCGTTCTCTTATTCTTATTAACAGAAATGATGACCGTCGCCAGAACGTAATACAATACATGCCATGGATACAAACTACAGAAAGTAAAATGTCTCAGAAAACCATTACTATGTCTCCATATTGGGCTCAATCTATCCGTGAGAAGATAGAGGTATAAGAAGACTCTTCTGGAAGGATGATACTTTTACCACGCTGACCAGATAATCACTACATAGTATAAAACAAAGTCGCTGTCGCTGTCTGTCCGTCCCTATGTATCCTTAAATCTGTAAAACTACGCAACGGATTTTGAAACGGTTTTTTTTAATAGATAGAGTGATTCAAGAGGAAGTTTTATATATATAATACATGCATACTTTTGTAGAGAAACACTGATAAATTTAAAGGTTTCTAATGTTATGTCGTACATAAACACATTTTTTTGCGCTTATATTGCAAACGCTGGCTGAATCCTATGAGATAGGTTAAAATAATGTCGGGGGACAAATAATACGGCGCTACTTAGTATCAGTATTGCACCCGTGCGAAGCCGGGGCAGGTCGCTAGTATGATATAGAATTTTATTTTGAGCTTTCTCTTATACTCGTAATATTATTTAGTTTTTATCCGCTACTCCATTCGTATAACCGGGATATATTAATTGACCAGGATAAAAAGTAGCCTATTTCCTTTTTCTCCCTAAATACTACAGCATCCATATATTAAATTTCATGACTGACATGTTAATACGCCAAGAGGTAACACAAACAAATAAACAAACAAACTCATTTTTACATTTATAATATCAGTAAGACTTTGTCCCATAAAGAGGTGAAACATTGCATGTTTCTCCGTCACCATACAAATATGTAAAAATAATATAACATACATATATATAAACTTAGTAAACTCTAACTTCTGGGGGGAAAGAAATTATTAGTAATGGGGTCTAATTTGCCCATTACTAGCAATACACCTTATCAGGTCGACATCCACGCGTTTCCCCCAGAAAACTATCGTGGTTAATTTTAGTGGAATTCATCACGATGGGCTAACGGATCTGCTTTCATTCTCATCTATCATCCCTCACTGGTACCTCGTCGGCGCTTACCGATAGCGTAAGCAGGGTTACCATTTCATTATCACCCTTAAAAAACTTTAACTTCTATATAAGATGTATAGATATAGGGTTTAGTGAAAACAGGTCATCGTATCGAGTACACTGGAGCAACTCAACAATTAATTTAGGTTCATCAGCGGAGTCACATTCAAATGTAGTCTCTACAAAACTGTAGGTACACTATCATATTTGTGTGTACGAGTACATGTACATTGTACTTCAATTAGTTCATCAGCCTAATCTGTAATTAGTATTATGTATGTATAACGTTCTTTAACTAACATTGAATATTCATATTTGCATTTTAGAAGTTATAAAATGTAATTTACCGTGTAAGACATAAACTATCTACACCTATTTAAATATATGCACCTAATTAATTTAAAAGTACGTAACTTTCTCGACTATTATTAGTGTTTATAATTTTACTTAATAGATGTGAAAGTGAATTTGTTTGTTTGTTAGCTCTTGGTACCAACACGCCTTAATCAATTGTCATAAAAGAAAGTTTGTAACATTTGTAACTCAATAATAATTAAACGGTTGAACGGATTTAAACGAAATTTTATACCTAAAGTCATGGATTAAGTTTAATTTATTTATTATTTTATGAACCTTATTGATAAAAACATAAAACCTCCCATAAATTTGTATTAACTAATGAACTGCTTTGTCTCTTTCTTTTAAATTAAATTCCCAATTTGAAAGAAAGTGATAAAGCTGTGTAAAAGTTAAATTTGATTTGTACAAGATTTTAGTTTTTATGAATAAGAGAGTAGCAATATATAAGTGATTCGTTATCATAACAATATATTTATATATTGAAGTACTCACCTGAATCCAGTCAATGACCATTTTCGCGAAGGACGGCGTCATCTGCATGATCTGCGCGAGGGTTAAACCCTTCATGTCGAGGATAGTGATGACTCCGCTGACTTGCGTTTTAGGCTCCACCATGGCAGCCTCCAGTCCCAACTGAACTCCTCTGAACACTTCTTGTAGAGAGACCTCTCGAGGATTCCATCGTTCTATAAAATGAAGGTAATTATTCTTTTTTATGTAAATACTTCTGGATATATTTATTACACAGCGCCATCTAGTCCCAAACTAAGTACAGCTTGTACTATAGATACTAGACTTTTATACAGCGCTTTCAATTAATTTCCTTATCTTATGGCGTTTATGGCTCTTCTCTTTTTCTTTTTTAAACCTACCTAACTTCTGATTAAATAATAATGCATTTATAATGTTTTTTTATTTTTTTATTTAATAAATTGGAATATCTACACGCAGGGTTACGCATTAACAATGTTTTAGTTTAATATAATGTACTATTTTAAAGTGTGATATGAAGATAGGGCTGTGGTATGTTCTATAAAATAAGAACACGGTTGCTTGTGGTGGAAAAATGAATTCTAATAAAATCAATGTCAAATAAAAAAAAAGTATACAAAATTTTAAAATATAATTCTAAAAAGGTGCATTTTGCACATACTGAATAATCAAAATTTCATATAATGTTGACTTTACAATTACATAAAAATGTAGGTCAGGTGCCTACTTACGTAACTTCTAGCATTCATTAAACGAATAAAATAATTTCAACACAGAGGTAAATAACCCTACAGTTAAAAAAATTCCGCCGTCGTTGGTTCAATTAAACAACTACATTATACTTAGTTACGCCACCGTGTGGTCTCAGCGTAGAATGGACCACCCCTTCCGCTCCCATGAGTGTCGTATAAAGCGATTAAGGGAAATTAACGGTTGAGGAATAGGCACAAGTGCCTCTTAAAATATCACCAAAGCCTAACTGCGGTTGCCAGTCCGCCTGCCAAGCGTGGCAACTACTGGCAAAACCTCTCGATCAGACCAGACCGGATCAGCCATTACAAATATAATACACAAAGTAACATAATTTTCCTTTCATATGTGTAAAATAGCGACACAAATATAATGTCTATATAATATACATATAAAGTACAATATCTAATATAAAATAACTATACAATAAATTGTTAAAAATTATGTCACGAGAAACACAATAGGTGTACTGACTACAAATAGATTAAATAGGTGTATACTCCACTTGACACACGTAAAATATATTTAATATTTTACGAGATTAAAAAAATATTATGATTAAATACTTGACAATTCACTAATTGCAAATTGATATAAAGAAATATTATTATAATATGAAAATCCTGTTACGTTAAAATTTTTTAATCATACAATATTTTTTTAATATAAAGTTCGACCTAGATGATATATAACTGACGTCTAACATCCATACAACTTGTACAAAACATAAAAAAAAAAGATAAATTAATTAAATATAACCACAGATAATGTTTGTGCGACGAATGTAGTTTATGACGTTAATTAGTATAAAGAAGCCTAACCTGACTCCACAAGTAATATACGGCGTCCATGCTGATCTCTCGGCGACAGGAAGGAAATAATGGAATATTCGAAAGCAGAACGAACGGTAGATGGTACCAAGTCTCTCGTGTATTCAACGAATGTTTTTCTATATTTATAATATGCTTGTATCTGTAATAAAGTAATAGATTGCCTGAAAAAATATTTATTTCTAAAATTTAATGTGTAGTAATTTTTTTTTCAATGTTTAGACCACGTCATCCACTATTTTTATATATTAAATAGTTTTATAGTAGAACATTCGAGGCTTTTAAAAGTGAGGATATATATCTGTAAAAAAATTTACAAAGTAACAAATTTTATAGTAACGGCAGTCGACCTGCTATCATACAACCTCAACCTCAACTACCATTTTCGAGTTGCAAAAGTTAGATTTTCCTGCAATATTTATCAAACTACAAATGTTTTATATTTTGCTTTTCACAAAGTTTAAAGATAAAAAATAATATAATAATAAAATCGATTTCAATTGGGCAAATAAATACCATTGATATTTTATAGCCATGTTCACAATTCGAACCCATATTTTGAAATATGTTTTGATTTGTAATTACTCACTTACTAAACAAATAAATATTATATTTTACTTTACATTAGGCTAAAAATATCTAAAATTATATCAAGTTTTAAATCATATTATATGCATTAGTAGTCACTGAAAATTAATCAGAAAATCTCACGAATTTGTAAAGTATCAATAAAGCTTCTATGGAATCCTAATAAAGATAATAATTACATTAGAACAATATGTACACGTAAAATATAATTATTCGTACCCTTTTGAAGGCGCTTTCCGAATAGAACTTGCAAGGTCTTAAAAATTTCATCAGAAATTCATCGTTGTCGATGGGCAAGACGAGTGAAGGTTCCCCTGTAATAAAAAAATACTCAATTAGCGTCACTCCAAGATCCTTCGTATCAAGATTAAGATATTTCGTAAGTATATCGTCCCTGAAGACATCGACATAATCTCATAATTTATAATAATTTGTGGTTATATTAATATATAATATTGTATCTATACATCTACAAACAGAATGTCTAAATCATAGGTAGTTTACGCTAGCACTCTGCTAGCGTAAAACAGCAGAGCACGTGGAAATACCATTCCATATTTTTTTTAATGGGTGAAAATGATATGGTAACCCCGCCTGCGCTAACGGGATACGCTGACGGGGCACCAGTGAAGGGTGATAGATGAGAATGAAAACAAGCCAGTTAGCCTGTCATGATGAATTCATCAGTAATTAACCATGATAGTTTCCAGAGGGAACCGCGAGGAGATCGACCTGGTTGGGTATATTGCTAGCAATGGGATTCTCAGTCTCCATTACTAACAATCCGTTTCCCCCCACCATGGAATGGTATTCATTCATTAAAAAAATTGGTCAACATGAGATTAATTTACGTACAGTAATGAATTAAATTTATTTATGATCCATTATCACAGATTATATATTTATAATTATAGTTATCAGTTGACTCTAGATTATCATATGTACATTGTCAACCAGCACAGTGTCGGGTGAATAGTCGTCAACTCGATGACTAAAGTCATCAAGTGGACTGACCTTTTTATAGCTCCAGCCATAATATACCGGTCAATTGGCTCGTGACTTTGATAATTATACGTGATATGTGAACCATAAACAACTCAGAGTAAAAACCATGGTCACGTGTCATCTAAGTACGCGCAAAAAATAAATATGTCAAATAAGGTATCTAATTCTAAGTATTCAGTATAAAAATTTCAATATGATGAAGAACTTTACATTTTTGTAGTCTTTTTTTGTTTTTGCTTTGCTTGAGAAGAATTCGGAAGCATAACTACAGGACCCTAAATAGATAGATAATTTATGCACATTACTTACAGCACACAAATTACAATAAAAAAAACATACTCATAATACACAGTATAAGAGATAAAAGAATGAAAATAAAAAGCTCAAAACAAAAAAAAATATATAAACTAACCTAATATAACGTAATCTAAATATAAAAATACGATAACCGAATGTACACTGTAATATTTATTTCCTCAGAACAATGGCTAAAACACAAAATACGAGTAGGTTCCTATTTGCCTGTATTTAATAAAAAAAATTTATATTAAATTTGAGCGCATTTGACTATAATCTTACTTGATTTTAAGTGATTTACTTTCATTTATCAGTTCAGGCACCAGTTCTCTACAGCTTTGATGTATCTATGGTATTATTTTAAATATTTCATTTTACTCAAAAAAGTTGTGAGATAAATAAATAAACATTATTTGCAAAATTATGGTGGAATATTTTATGTTGCTGTTTTGTCTTCATGGTTCTTCTACACATTTTTCTTCCTTAGGACTTCTAATAAATTTAATATGAATGGAACTTTATTATAGAGTCAAAGAAATATAGCATAGTAATAAATTGCAAAAGTATTGCAACTCTAATTTTTTTTTTACATACACCTCTAAATTTTATTTTACATAAATTTTACATTTAAATGAAACTTACCTATTACGTAATTTATACTTATTGCACTTATTTATGATATTTAGTTAATTGCACGAATAAATAAAATATAAGTTAAAAGATATTACAGGTATTGTATTGAAACACCTTTAGCTAACATTATTACAATGGAACATTTTTAAATTAAGAAATAATGGTTTAGGCACATACATATAGTTTGGCGCAACGTTACATCGTAATATTTTTTTTCTTTTATGCAATGTAAAATGTAAAAAAAATTAAGCAAAGCAATGTATTTTGTACCACTATATTTATGATTTATTTAGGACATACAATCTTTATTATATTTATGATGGTATATTTTTAACCTTTTGCTGTTCCTATTTGTTATACTTACTCCATAGTTTATATATATGATATTAGGCATTAGATTTTTTTTTTGATGGGTAAAAATGGTATGGTAACCCCGTCTGCGCTAACGGGATACGCTGGCGGAGCACCAGTGTAGTGTGATAGATGAGAATGAAAACAGGCCAGTTAGCCCATCATGATGAATTCATCAGGAATTAACCATGATAGTTTCCAAGGGGAACCGCGAGGAGGTCGACCTGATTGACTATATTGCTAGCAATGGGATTCTCAGTCTCCATTACTAACAATCCCTTTTCCCCCAAGGCACTAGATATTACCGTCGATGCTAAAATGGTAACCCCGCCTGCACTATCTGTGTACGCTGGCAGGAAACCAGTGAGGGATAATAGGTGAAAGGTCAGTTAGTCCATTGTGATAAATTCCACTAGAATTAACCATGATAGTTTCAAATAATAAAATCTCTCCTAAGACTTAAGTGTTTGATACCGCTTGTAAGCCTGGGATTATCGACAATTCTCATATCTCGTCGTTGCACCGAATCGAAGAGTTCAAACTGGTATTTAGGTGCTCCCGCCCATAAGTGACAGCAATACTCCAAGTGAAGCAAGCAATATACAGACACTGTATCAATTTGACATTCCTAAGTACTTTTAAACAAGCAAGAATTAACTCTGCGAACTCAGTGATCTGAGAATTGAATTGTTCCTAATGATAGTTCGTTGAATTTTCTATGACTTCGTATCTAATGGTCATAATAATAGTGACGTCAGACGGTGTTGAGTAAACACTTATATAGTTTATGTTGCAACTATAACTAAATCTATACGCGATTTCGACAGGGAGCGGCCGTTGATAATTTTATTGGTATTTTCTTGCGATGTGTTTCTTTCGAAGGTTGTGTTATGATACATACAGAAACATTAACATAGAAAAGATAAACATTGTGTAAATTAACGAAAGCGTTTTTATTTAATAAATTTGATTTTAAAAAAAATACAAATTATTTTAATTTCTTCTTGTTTATTAACAACCATATAATAATAAATCATCGAAACTATTCTAAAAATTCAACATAAGGAAATTGGCGCATACTGTTTATTATTATTACTATATCGGCTGTGTGTTCACTACTGAACATAGGCCAGAGATATTATGAGAGATATTTCTATTCAGTTAACGGTTAAGGTTAGGTTTATCACCAATTAAAAAAAAGTACCGCTAAGCTCCAATTACAAATAGTCACTGTAATAACTTGCAACTATTTTGAAAATTATTTGTATTGTTTGTTTAATAATGTAATAAACGAGCTTTATCAGACCAGTTCGATAAAGTTAAATCAGGAAGTAGAGTAAAAATTGTTAGCCCTTAATAAAGGCGTTCTTTTATGTCTTCCGCATAGGTGCCTAACATAATTATATGATGACTTTTCAAACGTAAACAAAGTAGAGTTAATTATCATAAGATAATTACTAATTTGCAGCATTCAATGTATTGAGCCTGCGTTTTCTCACATTATTATCAAATACTCAAATTAATGATAACAATAGGTAAAATAGAATAGAAATAATCTTCATTCCAACAGACTTGTTTACAAGCTATTTTAATTTTTGTCTTTTATGATTCTACTGCTTAGGGATTTTTTTTATAACACAGAGGTCAAACGAGCACGCGACTCACCTGATGTTAAGTGACCACCGCCGCCCATGACCACCCGCAACACTAGAGGCATTGCAGGTGTGCTACCGCCGTTTAAAAAAGGAACATGCTCTTTTTTTTAAGGTTATGATGTCGTATCTGTTCGGAAATACCATTGCTGGAAATTGATTCCAAAGAGCGGTTGTGCGTAGAAGAAAGTGTCTCAAAAACGCACGGTGAAGGATCGCCACTAATCCAGATGGTTGGGATACAATTTTAGTTTGTGGCGGTAGTACGGTGGTAAAAATTAGCAGCAGATATAAATCCGAACAATTCCTCAGAGCACTCCCCATGATAAATTCGGTAAAAAATGCATAGAGGTGCAACATCTTAACATTTACCAGAGGGAGACTTTGTACAAAAGTCGATTACTTGGGTATCTCTGTTCCATTCGTGTTTCAACCGTGAAGCAGTTGTGTTTGCATGGCTGTGTTTCGGTTTAAAGGGTGGGATATGGCGTGAATTTACTGGGTACAGAGTAATAACAACTGAGTCCTCAGGAATGGCAACGCATGGAGGTATCATATCAGTATAGTCTGTTATGTCCATGGTACTGCTTATGTCTATAGGCGACGGTTACCACTTTCCACCAGGTGGCCCGTCAGAGTGTTTGCCATTCTAAGTTGTATAGAAAAAAAAAATCATATACATAATATACTCGTATTAGATACAAATTTTACATTTTATGGGTACTATGACTATAATTAGCATTAAGTTCTATTTGTATGTATTATTATAGAAAATAAACAACCAAACATGAGAAGAGCAGTCTCCACAAGCAGCACCCGTTCACGATTATGACGGATGAGCCAGCCATCAATTCGCTCAACCATATTTTAGGGAACACAACGAATCGGCCATCACGCCGCCAACAGTCAGGATCTTATAGTGAGCATAACTAGCTTCGAGTTACTTGAATACATCATGAGTACATATTACGTCAATACAATACGTGATTGTCAAAATACCCATACATTACAAGAATTGAATTAACATTTACAGCCGGAATAATTAAGAATAGATAATTATATAAGAATTATAGAATTGTATAATAAAAATAGATAAATTATTAAGATAAATGGAATATGCTTTATTTGCCTAATACTCACGTTCAAACTCTCAAATTAAAACACGAATAACTTTAACAAGGAGGCGGGAATGATAACAAAAAAGGTAAATAACCATGTTATCAATTGTTTGGCATCTAAACGCCTTAACCGAATGAAAGGATTTTTATTATTTTAGAGAAAAAAACAACTTGGGGAGAAATAAAAATTTACGTTTTGCAACGCTGACTTTAAGCTATGTTTATACCGATCACGCGGAGCGCGATCCACGGAGTCTACCCTGAAATGATGATGACATTCCGAATTTCCGACCTCAATTTCGTGTTTTCTTTCATACAGAAATCAATTTACTTAATTCAGCTTAACATTTCGTTCCACATAAATCCTACCATAAAAGTTCAAAGGAACGATATTATAATATTTTCAATAAATTTAAAGGGTATGTCTTATATGATTTTGAATTTGTGTTGGGTTCGGTTCTGAAATTTTGGAAATATTTCATAGTAGCCCCTTAAGTCACGCAAAGTCACAAGCACAGCTACAGTTATATATACTGTGTCACTGTATATTCCTCAATGTCGTTAGTACTCATATCTGTATGCGACGATTATAAGATAATTGAGATATACCTATCTAATGTCTATACACCGAGAACACTAAATAGATATTACTGTTCGACTTTGACCCACAATTACAGTGCGCAAAGTATGGAACGTCTAACATACTAACTTCTATTAAATTCTAAATGCAGCTAGTTTAAATACAAGTAATAATGGGAATTTGTTATAATCTATTATAATACATATTGCTGTGTGATCCCGGCATAGAATGGGCCATTCCTTCTTCTCCCGTGAGTGTAGTAAGAGGCGACTAAGGGACCTTATTGGTCGAGTGAGGGGCAACATTGTCTCTCTTAAAACATTATCAAATCTTAACTGCGATTGCCAACTTAGGTAAGTTGGTAGGTACCAAGTGTGGTAACTATGTGCAAAATCCCCATTTATATGGATACGTAAAAACCAAACTGTTTATTATTAGTAAGTGTTTAATAAATATCAAACTTTATAGAATGGCTAAATTATCAAACAGAAATCCCTAGGAGAAATTATCTATATACTTATATGTTCAATACCATTTTTTTTCAGGAACTTTTTAAATAAAAATTAAATGATTTCAGCAATAATAAAATCAATCTCATTTTATACAACACCTGCTCGAAGTTTTCCGTTAGTAAACTTTTATCTAAAACAGGGGCGAATGGAACTAATAACGAAGTGTTTAGTTAAGTTTAACAGCAGAAAGCATGTTTTATATAAAATCCATTATAAAAAGAGATTTTCTCAATTTTTCAAAAAGAAGAATTTTGACATTTTGAAAAGAAGAAACTTGATAAGGCTTAATTATTGCTGATTTAACAAATAGCTTTGTTAAATTAGTAATAATTGAGCCAAATCAAAAACTTCATGATATAGAAGTCGAAAGTTTAGGTTTCTGTATACCAACGCCAAGATATGTGTATTACTCAGGAGAAAGTATAATTCATAACTAGTTTGTAATCGATCACTTTCTTCCCTAGATGAGTACTAGCTTTATTAAGCAAGTACATATCATTCAATTAGCTCCGTTAATAAACAATCAAATAAAATTTTTCACAGAAAGTATAACTAAAACCTGTTTCTAATTTTATTTACTATTTCAGTAATGGATATTTGGTAATCATAACTCAATCAACAGTAATCATTACTATTACATATTTTTAAATTTTGTTAGGTATAAATTATTAGTGAATTATTAATTTTACCAAATTAGCTATTGCTACTTAATTTTCTATTACTATGCTACCTACTAAAAGAAATTCGCTAACTTGACAACTACACACACACATAAATGCATGCTCTTATGTTTATTTTATTTTAATATCGAAATCAATCGTCCACGGTAGGTCTAAATCACGTTACCTTTCAAAAGTATTCTTAGTTCAGTTAAAGCTGCTTCTACATTTTCTGGTGTTTCCCTCAGTTCTTTCTCAGCCTTTTCAATGTAACACTTTTCAGTGATGGGATCTTTTTCCAACTGTATCCTATTATTACCCCATACCACAAATGGGGTGCCATTTGCATCCAACTGGATATCCATTTTCGTTGTTTTTAACAACACTCAAAAATTTCCTGTTGTGTATAATTTTTGTATTGTATATCAACTGCACAGCGAGATTAGTTCAAAGCAACTTAGTTACTATTTCGTAAGAGCAACGTACCCTTCACTTATTTAATTTCGTAACTCAATATAAATAACGAAAATACCAAATTATAAATTTCGTATGAGATCACTATTAAGATAGGAAAAAATTTTAGTGTAAAGGTAACAAGTTTTAATTTAGAAAGCCCCCAAAGAATAAACCGCGTATCGTATCGTATAGAGTACAGGCCAGCGAGATGTCCGCACGGAACTAGCCGAGTATGGCCACTAGTTGCTCTGGGTCTGGCCGGTACTCGTCAATGACACGTCTTGCGATTTCCCTCCACCGTGAATGGCCTGCTTGTCGCGGTTGCAACTATTCTAAAGACCCGCAGTTGAGAAACTTCCGAAACATCAAATACTCAGAAAGTACTTCTAAGTGAACGAAAAATGTAAGCTGCTTATATCTTAAAAATAGATATAACGTAGTCAACAATGTGTGGATGGTTAACACAAAGTTACATACTTCACTTTTTATTCTTTTGCGAGAAGAGAAAGTGACTATCTATCTACTATCTACGATCCAAAATTTTAGATCATAGAATTTTTTTTCAGAAAGACGATAATTTTTCTAAATAGATAAATAAATAACATTCTATTTAAAAGGTACGAGTTGCTTACAATGTTTTTCTCCGTACATACTTACGAAAATTGTTATTACTTAATATTTGGAAATTCCACTTTCACTGTTATTAAATTGCGTATATATATATATATATATATACTTTTAATAGTATATACCTATTAGACTATTTCATTCTATTGTTCCTAACCTACTATCCTTATCTTTACCAGTATTTACTATTCTTACTAATATTATAAACTTTGTAAATCTTGTCAACTTAACAGTTTGCCCAATCACATTGAAATTTGATACCTATACATGTATTATATGTGATGAAGAAAGACATAGGCTACTCTGATCCCGATGAATGAACATAGCCTGTTTTCGCAAGCGAAATCACAGATAAGTTTAATGCTATTAACTTTAAAGTACCTATTTTAATTGATTTTAATGACGTACTACTTACTTATGTTACTTACTGATTTATTAGGTACTTAAAAGTATTGTCACTGAGTTATTTCAATTATTTAATAGTAATCTCAATAATCCATTACATTCAGCCTTGACTATTAATCATACCTAATCATTTACGATTCTTCATATAAAATTTTTACATATAAAAATGTTTCTACATATAGAATCCACTTACTTAACAAAATTAGGGGGAAAGGGATTTTTAGTAATGGAGACTGAGAATCCCATTGCTAGCAATATACCCAACCAGGTCGACCTCCTCGCGGTTCTCCCTGGAAACTATCATGGTTAATTCCTGATGAATTCATCATGATGGGCCAACTGTCCTGTTTTCATTCTCATCTATCACCCTTCACTGGTGCTTCGCCAGCGTATCCCGTTAGCGCAGGCGGGGTTACCATACCATTTTTACCCATAAAAAAAAACTTAACAAAATTTATATGACCGACACTCATGAATCATCACAATCGTTTCAGAATTAGCGAAGTCATTTTTTAAGCAACTGTTTGGCATTAGAAAATTTCTCCGCCTCATGGAAACGCACAGTATCATATTGTGACCGATTGTACATTCAAAATTGCCGCTGCGAACGCGATACTCGTATCTATAAAAAATAGATTCGTCCGCGGTTCACCTGTGCTTCTCTCGTATGGTACGCATGTGTATGTGTTTAATATCACAGAGCCGGAGACTGCAGGGCCATCAAAACCCCACCCTGTAAATATGTACAGATGCAGGGGGGAAAGGGATTGTTAGCGATGGAGCTTAACAGCCCCAATGCTAGCAATGTTACTAATAAAGTCGACCTCCACGTGATTCCCCCTGGAAACCATCGTGGTTACTTCTCGTGGAATTCTTCACGATGGGCTAACTGACCTGCTTTCATCGTCATCTATCATCTATCACTGGTACCCCGCCAGCGTATACCGTTAGCACAGGTGGGGTTACTAATGCATTATCACCTATTAAAAAAATATATGTACAAGTCGATATATCACGAACGGTAGTACCGCGTACGACCTACGGGTTCCGGCAATGGAGGAATTTGTTGGCCATTCTCACCTGAGGAACTTCGTCCTGTTACACACATATCCTCCTGTCATATTTTTATAGTCTTTTAATAGTAGACGGTTTAATTAATATATTTGCAGATGATTTATTCATTACTTAGACAGCCATTATTACACAATATTATTAATCAACCAATCAGTGTCCAACTCTAGTGATGTTCCATATATACTAGGGATGTGATCCTACAACACTGACGCCTCAAGAACTCTTGTACATCTTGTGTATAGCAGGCCCTTTTCAGAGCAACGGTTAGCCAACTCAGTGACGATTATTTTATTTTCTATTTTCCTACATATTCTCCCAGTCGGTGTTATAGCACGAGCTTGACAGCCTGGGTCAAAACAAACAACGCGGTGACGGCATGCCACGACATTACTCTCAGGCAAAGAGTACATGCTTAATGCATACACCCCTTAGGGGTTGTCAGATGTCCCAATGTGAATAAGAAAAAATATATTTAGTTAGTGTTAAACTCCTTGAAAATTATACTAAGCAAAGTAACAACGATATATATTTGTGTTTCAAATTTTTACAGTCTGCTCAATAAGTTTACCATAAATTCCCTCTCATGATGAAATATAAAAAGTGTATAAAAAAATACTTCTTTTCTCATATTTGATTAGATTCCAGTTTGTTTTTTAATCTCATGTATAATTATGTAGTATATATGTACTTCATATTTTTTTTATAATAAATGTTCGACTTTGACAAATTGGAATTAAATAAGAAAAACATGAATACTTGTTAATGTCAAATATTATAAAATACTTATAGGTACCCAAATTATCTATTTTAAACTAATAAAATGACAAATTTTAATAAAACTCATGTTTATAAACCAATGACCTTTAATTTTTATTGTAACCAAATTTTTAACATTCACATTAATTACTACTTGAGCAAAGTAAAATTACTGCCATTAAAATGGAATGCACATCATTATTGAAATTTGATGAGATTGGACCCTTAAACAACAAACTTTCAATCAACACAATAAGGCACATAGAGAGTTTTATATCTATATAATAATATCCTAAAATATTAGCTAGGTCTTTCACCAGGCACAAACGTTCTTAATATTAATTGTCACTTATTTAAAATCATACATTTTTGATCTTATTCTTATCTCAATCGATCGTTTGTCCAAATGCAATCTTTATTATTACATTAATCAAACATAAAAGTGAAAAATCCAATATTATCCCGAGTTACGACGTTAGAAGATTGATATTAAATCCCATGGCCGGTAATCGGAATTGTAGTTGGGATATACCAAAAAGTCCCTTTGATACTTACCGAACTGCACGCCAAAATACCGACCGACATCATTTACATATACAGGTTCCTGACGTTGATACATCAACGATGTTAAATTTTATCACAAAATTTTGAATAATTTCCAAAATGGAATAATAACTAAATCTCAAGTTGTAACAAAGAATACACATTTACAAAATTTAACTAAAATCAATTGTACTATTTTGGAAATTAGCGTGAACGAACATCGTGACACGGGATTTTTAAACATTAAGATAACATTCACAGCCTCGATTACTACAGCGATATAATATGACAATTATTGATGATTATAGATACTTATATAAAAAGAATTTTTTTTTATAAAATGCATGACATTAATTCGATTGGTATATACTTTCAATGCTACAATAGTCCCTGATATTTCCCATAAAAAAATAATGACTACTATACTATTATAAAAAAATATAAATTTAAACTTATTTAGTTGAACATTCGCCGGTCTTCTTAAATATATCTATTTGGTATATTACATAAATTAATTACGACTTACTAACATGAGTTACATCTATAATCTATGTAAAAGCTTCCCATTTAAAACATATTATAAATATTAACGAGTTTTTTATCTTTTACAAGTACACGTAAACAATCATAATGTGAAATAAAATATATTCATGAAAAAAATCATTAGGTAACGATATATAAAAAAGCCTAAGTCTTAAATATGTTAAAAACAATAATAAATGATTTACTATTATAATTATATAAATATATTTAAATATATAAGTATAAAATTGTTATAAATATCATATTTTAGTTTTGCAAAGTATTATGCATGTTATATAAAAATAATGAAAATTATATATAAAAGTTTCGCAATGGATAAAAAAAATAATCTGCGTAATTATGTTATCGCTACATACTGATCTTATAATATTAAATGAATATATATAAATAAAAATTATAATATATATAAAATATATATATAATATAAAAATAAGAATAATATAAAAAAAAACTCGAAAATATACAAAAGACCCAACTACGTTTACTATGTTTATATAGTATGCGACTAAATTAATTTTAATAGTATGCATAGCTCGTGCTTATGTCATTTAAACTCACATCACGTAAAATATTTTATAAATAATAATATACAGGGTTGTCGATTATTATACGTAATGCAACATATATGCAGTCATAAAGTCATATATATCTATATAATTATATATAGACATAATCAAATTGGTGTAATCTTATTGGTAGTTTATCTCATTTGTCTTTAAATTCTGAATTTATACAATTTATAGAAAATAATGAATAGGTATTTAACGTTTTAAAATTAATTACGGTTTACTCAGAGACGACTGGATCTCTTATCTAATAAAAATATTGATTTTTCATACTTTCTAATATTTAACATTGCTAAATTAAATTAATGCTGCCTCTCAGTGATAAGTCTTTATTTTCTTTAATTACGTAGGTACCTAATGCATTTAAGGAACAAAATAACAAAATATTTTAGAAAATTATACATCTTAATTAATTGAGGTTTCTTATAAATTATCTAATCTAATAATTATTATTATAGATTAGTTTACGTACTACTACAGATAATACTATATGTCTTTTTATTTATACTGTTTTTTTAATACTCATCCGACGAGTTTATTATAATTTTAATGATAAGGTCGGTGATGGATCGGCGCTTGTGATATGAACTGACGAGCTAATCTTTTCACTTAAAATTGCTTGAAAATTATATGGACTTCAAAAAACACGTATTCGAATTCGAATTAAATAATTATCATCATCGTAATTTCAGCCGTTAACTGTCCACTGCTGATAAGCCTCCACCATACGGGGAGTTTTACCAGTAGTTGCCACGCTTGGCAGGCGGGTTGGCAATCGCAGTTAGGCTTTTAGAGATGTTCAAAAGATGTTACTGTTCCATTCCTCCACCGTTAAATTTCTTTAGTCGCCTCTTACTCGCTGACTAAGTAATTATAAACATTAAATATTCGAATAAAACCGCATAGCTTAGCCGTAAACAATTGCTCGTCTGTTTTCCTAGACCTTCACCCAACTCAAGCTAATATGTATCAATATCAGTTTTCTCTTTGCACTAGTCTCATATAAACATATTTTACACTAATTAGGTACCTACCATAATTATTAATTGGAGCATTAATCAGTTGTGTATTTATTTTTAATTATGACTATAGATAGATAGATATGATTATTGAAATGAGATTCATAATAAAGTCACAATTTTACATCGGTATAGTATGTCTTCGTAAAATATACCTGTCAGTAAACCTATTTCAGATAATGACAAATAAATCGATCTTCATTTGAAATAATTAATTTTAACATACAAATACATTGGCATTTTTAGTATAAATATCAACTTCCCGTTATTTATTTCTATAGTTATTTTCTAAAGCCATAAGTGTTCCAGTTGTTTATATGCTGTATGGCATCATTGAGGGCGGGATACCAGTCTGCGCCGGAATAGTCGATGGCGGGTAATTCACCACCATAGTCCGCGGGCAGGTGACTGGGAGCTAAGTGCTTATGGAGTGAGGACATCTTTGTACCGTGGAAGAAGATCTGGAAATATATATAGTACATAATGATATATAGTACATAAATCGTATATAGTGCATATATGATTTTTGTTTCAGTAAAATACAAATAAGACTATTTTTAATCGTAAATATTTGCAAATTATGGATATAAGATATTTTTTTTTTAATATTGCAGTCCTTTTCACAAGTAAATAAATAATAATGTTAATAAAGAGGACTTCAAATATCGAATAATTAAAAAGTTTATGTCATATTTTTTAAATAGCTTGACATTTGTAGAGCCAGAAATGAATTGGAGATAATAAATGTTAACAATCAAAGACATACAATACTTCCTTCAACGATAACCTGCACTGTGCCAGTCACAAGTACCTTTTCACGCTTTACAGCTAACTACTGGGAAAACCCCCCTTTGGGGGAAGCCATAGTGCAGTTAACAGCATACTTATGTACTGATCATTATCATTGTATGATAATGATCAGTATATATATAATATAGAGTTTACAAAATACGTACTCTGTTCTTAAGTTTCTCCCTGATAAATGGCTTGAACAGCGCCCAAACAAGGTTGAACACGTACGGCTGGTTGACAAAGTGCACCTCCTTTAGGCGCATCGGCATTGCATCTTGTATGAACGTCAGCAGCCTCTTAGAGAACGAAGGAGACATCGCTCGTACCTGTAGTTACAAATAAAGAGGACCCTGAGCTTAGCATAGCATAGTAGCACAATTAAATAAATTTTGTATGCCATATTCTTGTAAAAAAATGTGAACAATATTAAAATATTATATACCATCCTTTATACCACTTTTCAAACAAAATAAAGCTATTTGTATTTGTATTTTTGTATTTGTTAGCATTTTAGCGATATACTATAAAAAAAGTTTCGAATAACGATTAAATACCAAAAACTCCAAACTAACATAGTATTTTGCAAAAGTCAAAAGAAAGTCACTAATTACTTAATTTACTCCAAATAAGATGAAAATAAAAGGTAAATTCATTATTAGGTATAATATCAATTTTTAATATATTTTTTAAAGTGAAAATTATTTCTCTATGTAACACAGAACAAGAAATTCGTAAGTTAGAAGAAAATATTTACAACTGTTTTATAAATGTCTCTTAGGAGGTAATTTTTATTTCTTTATTTAATAAGGAACATCCACAACTTTTTACATTTTACATGCTACTTAATCACAATACAAAAATAACTTTGCCTAATGTTAACGTCTTTTGTTGCTACAGGCAATGTATCTTTCAAAATAAAAAACGTTCTGTATTCGAATGTATTGATCAATGCTATTCTACATATTATCAAAATATACAAGGCTATATACCCAAATTGAATAATTGAATGCTCTTTATTGGCCAAGTGTTTTTCAGATAATTAAAAATTATATCATGCTATCGCACGATTCAAGAACCATTTTTATAAATAATAGTAGAGTGTTATTAATTATGGAAATTAATGAATACAAAAATATGCGTCGTAAACTTGACTCGATTGTAAACTATTTATTATCATCGCCACGTCGAGTTAAAGGTAAATATATACATATGTATATATTCACTTGTAATGTTTATTCTTTTCCACAACTATGTATAGTTACTTATATATTTATAAACCCGTATATATTAATTACTTCACCGCCACTAATGTCGTTGTGTTCAATGCATTATACTTTACAAGTATTATTGTGCAAAGAACAAAACAAAATTTAATAAATATTTCCTTTAAAAGATTGTGCACTACGATAATAATATCGTTGGCACGTGCCCGTGTTTACATTCACAAAATACCTATGTAGGTCTTTGTAATAAACATTTTAAAGTACAACAGAATAAAGATGAATTTGGCGTAAAATTAATATGTAATAACATTGACTATACTCAGAATAGCCAACGTTGAAATGGTGAAATTAAAAATATCTACAGGTGTTCCTAAATCGAGTGATAATATTATCGAAACACAAAATTTGTACGAAAGGTTCATAATTAAGGAACGTTATTCAATTTCATTACTTTATTGACAAAATATTTATTGAAAAAACATAAAATACAATCTTCGGAAGAATTCTATAAGTACGATACGACATTTGTGTTATTTTGTAACGTCTTTATTTGTTCAGAACTATTCACTAGTGCCTTATCTTTTTAATAATAATTGTTTATACAATTTAATTGTGACAAAACCTTTTCCGTTTAAATTAAAATATAATAAGGGTTATGTATTTACATAGCGTTTATTATGATAGCCTACTGATAGCCTAGCATCATCGGTCTTGAAAAACAATATAAAAAATCAGAGAATCCGAGAATGCACCGAAACACGAACCTCTATACTAATACAATAGAGCGGAAAAGTTTATTTGATTGTTTGATTGCGCTAATCTCTCGAACCTTCAGTTTGATTTGAAAAAAATCTTTTTAAATTTGATAGCTCATTTACTGAGATAAAGTTTATGCAACTGAATATCATGATACGACCACGAGTGAAGACGCGGGATATAGCTAGTCTAGCTAACTATAACTATTATAAATCCTAACTTATAGTTAAAATTAAGTATCTATTAATTACCACTAGCTCCAGTAATATAATCTCTACCGACATAACAAATGAGATGCGATGATATAAAGCGACCTAGTTGCGGCGACCACTTGACCACGCAGATCAAAAGATGACATGCAAAGCATTTGACTAGTGACACGGCATATAGGTCCAACATTTGTATGTTCAATGACCGTGAATACTCTATGTCCTTATGAGACAAAGGAAAATACACTTCCTTTCACAACAAAGGACGGATGTTTTGTTAAAATATTGATTTACAATTTAGAAGGTCTTATAAGGATTAGATAAATAGAATTAATACCAAGTTTGGTAGTTCAGAGTATTTGAAGAATTATCATGTGTTATATTATATGTTCACCTCTAACAATCGTAATTTTAAAGAGATATTAGGATCGTATAGAAAATAGGTATCTTAATTTTTTTGTTTATTAAAAAAGCTAGTTTTTATTGATAATAAACTACCTTTTTCTCTAAATTTATACGAAAGTATCGTGTACAATATTATTTTTGTTAATCCTCTAATCTTATTTCGACGTACATTTTATATAAAAACTTCAAATCAAAAGTTAGCTGAAGCCTAATTGAGTAACAGTTCCGTAGCAAAAATAGCGTAATATACTAAATTTAGAATCTATCTGAGATTTAAATAACATTGAAATTTACTGTTATATAAAAATAAAAAAGAAATAATGTTCACTATAGGTACATATTATTACTATTCTCTACAATTCTGCTCCAAATCCGATAAAACCACGCATCTTTGGAATAAACAAGCGAACTAGCCTCGGACGTGACGCCCCTTGAACTGAACACTGAGCCTCCAGCATTTTCCTTTAATTTCGACGCGGAATCCTTGTGGTCGATGAATGTTTTTATTGTATGTTAGGAGGATATGAACCAATCACAGGAAATTATATGAATCGCGGTAATTGAAAGTACTAGGTACTATCTACTACCAAAGTATTAATATGTACAAATCATTATGATGACGTAATACGGGTAGCTATATCTATAAGTAGGCATCTATAGTCAAAAAATAAGGTGATTATATTTTCTGTAATCTGTAGCTAGCTAGCAGCTGGTCGCAGCTTCGCTTATATACCTATTTGTTCTTGTAATACATGCTATACTACATTATAATGAACAATATAAATACAAATAGACCTTTATATTAGACTGCGTAACAGCCATTTGCTTCCATTAGTAGGTATTTTCGTCTCCCAACAAAAGCGTAGATACAAAACTTTCCCAATTAGTCTTTGGAAGAGTAGTGATTTAACACACTGCCTCACGTTCCAATAGTTGTGGGTTCAATGTTCGCATAATACAAATAATTTACGAGTACATCTGTTTATATTGATCTAGATGCTTTCAATATATCAGGCACACTATTTACAAAACATATGGTATGTCCTATCAGTTGTCTAGTACCCGTAAGTAATATGTACAAAAATTGCTTAGTTTGTAACACTATTAGACAGCGCTGTAACATACGTTCGACTTTATTTATTTATTACTTATTTGTAGTTAGATACAAATCTTAAATATGGCTCAATATATATTTAAACGTCGCTAATTACTATTCTTACTCGAGAGTTTGCACAATAAAACACAAGATGGCCAATATACATGAATAAAATATAACTTTATTCGCTGATAACGTTGCGGAAAAGTTACGGAGAATAATTATACAATTCACTATATGTAATACTTAAAATTAAATAATCCTATCGAAGATAGTCCACTTAATTTAAGAAGATATGCGATAATTTTTAGTATAATATACAATGTAAAGATAAAAACATGAAATATCAAATTCAAAAGAACATGCACTGTTTAAATTGGAAGCGTAATTTATGGCTCGCTAATCTAATAATGACTAATTTATGAAATAATATTGTTATCAAATGTATTTTATTTTTAATCTGTGGTGAGTATGACAAATGACTAATTACAATTTTGTAAATACGCGCGAACACAGATAAAGAATACAATGGATGTAACGAGGGAGTACGGAACGGACATTGCTCTTTCAATTTCTTTGTTGCGCGTACATGTATAATGCCGGACATATATGATCTTTTAATATTTTATGCACTTTGTACAGTACAATGTGTAGGCAAGTAACTAAATACTTTGTTTAAGATCCCATATCATGATTCATTGGTTGTAAGTGCTCTTTGAATATAAATTTTAATTATTATTATATTGTGGATTATTGAAGAAGAAATATTACCCTTCTATTTTGTCGCGGCTATTAATATATATTATTTACAGTATATGTATATGTATAAAAAACTGTACTTTACCTTTATCATTAGCATTTTGTCATACTGCATTTTATACTTTGTTAAACGTTATTACCTTTTTAAATTACTTGACATGTATGTAGGTATCAAGATTTTATATATTATGTATAATTTTAATGAACTAATTCTTTGTACACATGTCCAGTAATTAGTAAAAATGCAAGGTATTTTATTTACATAAAGAAGTGCTGAAACAGAATACTACGGTGTCATTGTTGCGATAAGTGACTAAAGCAATAGGCATGGGATGCGCATGCGCAGTGAAAGTGATTTATCAAATTGCATAGCAGTTATCGCACTGGTTGATTGTCCGAGTATCCTAGTTTCGATAATTGCTTTTGTAATAATAATATATTTTTTTTAATAACCTAGCATTATGTCAAGAAGCTACAGATACAATATAATAAGATACTATAGATTACGAGTAGTATGTTTAAATAATAATGATGATGAGTATGAATCATTAGTCGATCATCTTATTGCATAAAACCAATAGTAAATATTTTAACACTATTTCGTCATAACCTTAGCAGAAACATTGGCCTAGATTGTTGTAACTTCCTGAACGTTTAACAGCTGGCTTGGTCAATGAGTCGAAAACCTTATACAAACCATCCTCTATAACAATAGCTTATGGCCACAGGGGTCAATGACGCGAAGAACGTATCTTTTGTGGTTACACCTTGCAACACGAATGTAGATTGATTTTATCTAGGTCGATAATGTTTTAACAATCTTGCTCAGAATATGTAAGAATTAATTGAGCTCATATAATTTATTTGCATATCTATTCACTCAATTTTTATATTCAGCTTATTGATCATGTCCTTATGGGTAGCTTAGGGACACGATTATGGAGTGTTACCTAAACCTCCAGGTTATATTTTTATTTTACTTCAAGTAAGTATTACATTTTTATATTCTTTATATGTAAATATATAAAAATGAATGTATAAAAATGATTATTCATAAACGTAAATTAATATACAGTTCCTCACGTTTAAAATATTCATGTACCCACCTGTGCCATACCCATGTCTTTGTAATCCATGATGACGACACAACCTCGAACTTGTGACTCTGGTTCCAACAACGACGCTACGTGTATTAGGTAGAATAAGCGGAATAGTTGATCAGCACTGACTTTCTTGGGGTCCCACGTACCTGTAGTAAACAGTTTTATTATAATTTTAGCTATAAAATGAAAACTGTTTGAATAACAGTAGTATTATTAATGTGATCATTTATAAAAATGTTTGTATGTTTATTACCCAATCACGCTTAAACAGTTGAACGGATTTTAATTATATTTGGTACACGGATAGATTAAAGCCTAACTTAACATTGAATACTTTATATACTGATTCACGTTAAATAATAATTATTTAAAATGTTTGTTTAAAAAAGCCGACATTGATCTGGACAAAATTTTTATGCGACTAACGAGAATAAATTTATAAAAAAAAAATTAAAGCAGCTAAAAATCCTTATAACCCGGATTCGACAACTATTTGGAAAATACGGCAAAAATAACTATGCATGCTATTAATGGCTATTGAAACCTTGCAATAAACGTAATCCGATATGCTCGTAACCGGTTTATCTAATCCTACATAATATAGAACAATATAGATTAATTATATTCTTAGTTACAAATTCAACTTTATACTAAGGTATTATACATATTGGGCATACACTAAACAATGCTCGTAGAAATTTTAGGAAATTCCTTTTAGTGCTATAACAAAACTTCTGTTTAAATATTTCATGAATCTAGAATTTAGGTTTCGGCTGTGTGTTATACAAGACATGAATCGATCAATTGAAGTTTTATTACTAGATATCAACATAATTAAATGCTTACCACCAACACTGACTATGAGGACCCTTCTTCCTTTGTGGTCACGACCCTTCATAACATTGGCCATTTTATGCCGCAGGAAGGCCTCCTCCTCATGTTCAGGCACTAGATCGTCCAGTAAAGCTGCATTGTCACGTCTGAATTCTGCTAAGCGTCGCATCTGTAAAAGATAAATGCTATTTGTCTAATTTCAATTCAGCGGTCACTTAATTATCATGACGATATAGTTCCTGAGCGGAAGTCTATAATTATTTTTATGACTTCGTTTGTTACGTTTTTCCAATGTAACTTTGGGAATCACCTATTCAAAGATATACTTGTAATTTGGAAATTACCTATTCATAGATAACTCTGAAACTATTCAGAGTTTCAAAAAATATTTTGCTGCTATTCAAATTGAAGTGTGGGACTGAAATTAAAGGATATATAAAATTATAGGATAAGTATGAAGGAGGTGAAGGTACCGCTTCCTTCATATTTCATATGTATGCCTCCATCTAGGATTTTAGTTCTCAGGAACTGCAGTTGAATTATATAGTAATACTATTCTCATAGTATGGGTTGGGATTCATATAAACTTAGGCATCCCTTAGGCATCATTGGACTTAACAGTAGGTATATCACAAATCAAATCCATGAAATTTGTCAGGCAATAAAGTAATTTGTTAATTAGTTTAACATTCAAAACTGCATAAAACACTGTGTAGATAGTCCGATAATAAAAAATATATTAAAAGTATATTTACTACATTTAGAGACTACGAAAGTCTCTGATAACAATGTTTCCTCACATTTTCGGATCTTCTAAGAATATTTGAGAGATAAATAATAAAGATTAGACGTTAGAACGTCAAATATCAGAATATTATTTATGGAATTTATTTACACGTATATTTCTAGTCTTTAATATATCTACATGAGTAAGTTTTCCCTTGAAAGTAGTCTGGCTTCATGTGAAAAATGAACATAATTACATAGCTAGATGATTAGCGAGACGCGATGCACATTAAATTAAATTAATATATATATATTTTAAATTTCCTGAATATAGTCCCACTTATTACACAACTATTTAGCCCTTAAAGCAACAAAATAAAATATACAGAACGATTTATAGTTTATATTTAGGTATAAAAAATAGTAATTTGAAATACAGTTCAGTAACATTTATTGTTATTAATTATAGTAGTGATACTAGTACATATAATAAAGGCTTATATTAATTTACCTTACTTACTATTAACTATTTACTATTACTATTTACTATTTTGTTTTCAAGAAAAATGGTCATATATACTCTAAATCAGAATTTAAAAGTTGTCAGAAATTATAACCTCGAATATTTAAATACAATATTATCTGTGATATAACCAATAATCGAGCCTATCTAATTAGTAGCCCAAATATCTAATTTACCATATGATCCATCTAAAATTTGACCAATTTGAATTCATCAACTTTTAAATTTTTACTCACATCCCAATTCCCAACGTTCATTATTGCCGCTATTACATAATTATGACTGGTAGTATACTTTCATTGTTGTGCAGCAATAGTGCAAGTCACACAAAACATTTTTGTGTTAGGTCACACGAGGTTTGTTGTATTATAGCGTTTCAATTTGATGTTTGTTACAAAAGTCAACTATCTATTCATAATACTTCTACCAAGTACCGATTTGTACTTCGTGAATTCTCTATTTAAACAAAGTGCATAGTTTTTTGCTTATAAAATACAAGTAACATGTGATTTGGTTCAACTGAGATCATAAACACAAAAATATTGACAGTTTCACGTTAGCCACTGCAATCGCTTGTTATCATAACGACCGTATAACAGTTTATAATATTATCTTACAAACAATGGATCCATTTCCTCTTTGTTTCCGATAATATGGTAGGAAAAGTATTTACTACTAACTTACGAACAGATATTAGAAACGAAGTCGAATTTCGTTTACATAGTTAAATTATTTACTTAATCGATAAGAATGAAAGCAAGATATCCTGAACCACAAGAATGACATAATATCGTTAAAAATTTATTACATTATATTATATCATACATACTATTTACATACAACATAAGATTTTTATATTTGATTGATAGATACGTTTTTCCTTTAACATACAAAGATATATTTGTCGTCAAGGTTTTTGCTATTTCTAAGCAATTTTGATATTTTCCAGTTGTCTTAAAAGCACCCATACGTGCGTTTAAACAGTATAAATCCAATTTTATTGTATTTTTTTAAAATGAGATAATTTGTGAAACGCAAATAACTGCTCGTGTGTAATTTGTCTAGACTTCATGTTATTCAAGTCATTGTCTACAACAATTTTCTTCACAAATTATCTCTGTATCTCATTTTTGTAGTAAGTATTATCTAGTTTTTTTATAGTAAGGCTGATCTAACAGGTGATGGTAAAGACTATGCTTGGAATGTCTTTAAAATGTAATTCAGAGTAAGAAGATCTGACAAAGAACTAAAGTGGTTAACATAATATAACTAAGTCTAGAAATTAATCAACTGAAGTGGCAATAAGCACTGAGATTACTACCGTGAAGATATACTGTACTGGGATAGACTTTTTTTAAGTAACGCTTTCCATTCGATCTTTTATAAAAAAAAAACTAACTACAAAAAAATATTGTGAATTCATATTATGTTCGGTAATTCCGGTTAGACGATGAACCATTGCAGTCAAACAATCCGAACATGTTACGTACACATGTAGATACAGACAAACCATGTAAGCTATTTTTGACAACCAAAAGGGTCAAAGATATGTATGATGATGTATTACGAAGTTTAACAATGACGTTGATTTTTTTTTGTTGTTTGTAACATGTTTGTAAATCTGACAATGACGTCAAGTGACGACCTTAAAAAATTAAATAATAGCAATCTCTTACAATATATACCCTTAGATAGATAATATTAGGTGCTTTTTCTATAATATATAGGACGTGGCGAAAGAGGTATAACAAAAAAGAATCCAACCAACCATCCAACTTTCCAAGAAAGATATCTGTACCAATAATGTACTCCAGTTGGCGGCAACTTGAAGAATTTAGTATCTAAAGTTTAAAAATTTGCTTCGTATTTAGATTAGATATATTTTGTAAATGTTATACTAATGGACTTCGATGTAGATAAAATTCCATTTCTGTGATTTCAGTTTCTTACAATACACATCACGTTGTATACTTATTGCAAATAGTAATTTTATTTTAACTAACCTAAAGGGAAAACAGTTTAAACTTAAATAATAAATTACTTAACTTTTTAAATACATATGTATGTACCTTTTTATATACATATATACTTACTACAATATACATATATAGTTATATCAAATTGCTGCATTGGGTTAGATAGAAAGGTCGGTAAGCGGTCAGTAGACATTCATGCAATTGCGATTGCAGCCAATTGCATCATTGTTCCTTAGTCAAAATATTAGTATCTAGTTAATATGAGCTGCAGTGAAACGTTATAGCCTTAAAATATCTGTGCATTACTGTGGATAACATACATTTAAAAAACCAAAATAAGACAAGATCGTTTATTGTATATACAAGAAACGGATCTGTCTGTCAATTCCAATTAACTTCATTTTGATTTATTAACTTTCTGTATTGTATTATACGAGTAAGTCACTGATTTTTATTTAGCAGGGAGTTTCTTAACTCATCTGTCTTAGTACTTTTTCCACTTATTTAGACGTGGACTATATTCAGCATGGAAGACTCAAATATTGTTGTACTTTTAAAATTATTGATTTACGAAATTTCTGTCCTAATATGTTAGATAGTATGAGTAGATTCTTAGTTTTACATACCGCTAAGGGTTTTGACTTCACCCTGTAAATATATACCAAATATCCCATTTTGGGGGGAAAGGGATTGTTAGTAATGGAGACTAAGAATCCCATTGCTAGCAATATACCCAACCAGCGGTTCCCCCTGGAAACTATCATGGTTAATTCCTGATGAATTCATCATGATGGGCTAACTGGCCTGTATTCATTCTCATCAATCACCCTTCACTGGTGCTCCGCTAGCGTATCTCATTAGCGCAGGCGGAGTTACCATTCCATTTTCACCCATAAAAAAAAATATCCCATTTTAACAATAAATGATGGTACGATCCATAGACATGTTTTGCTGATAAAATATACCTATCGGTCATGTAGCGGTCAATAATATGATTAACAAACAAATATATAATTTTGTTATTGGAATAAATATCTTCATTAACTTAATTGCTAAGACACATCGGTTAATTATTATCTAGACACTTAATTGTTTTCAAAAGTGACAGATAATCATGTTACATATCTGGTCTTTAACTAGAACATCCGGTTAGTACACAAATAGATAAAGAGGTCACTGAGGCCAAATTTATTATTCAAATTTGAACCATTTCTTTAATAAAATTGGATAATAGGTTACTGCACTCTGCTTGACTAATGATTGCGGATTCAATCTCCGCAAATAAAATAAGATTAATGAGTATCATATAAGCCTTTAACTGTCCACTGCTGAACATAAGCCTCCCCCTTGGGAGGTTTTGCCAGTAGTTGCCACGCTTGTCAGGCGGATTGGCAATCACAGTTAGGCTTTAGAGATGTTTTAAGACGCTGCCACGCTGACCATCCCTATGTATACATTTCTTCACTTCATGCAGACCCATAACATTTAATGTTTATTAAATTAATTTAATGTATAAATTACCGCCCATATGCAATAATCTGTTATCATAACCTAGCTTAGTAGGTACCGGAATAAGAGCTATCATAATCGGCGCCTATAGATATAGGTACTTTAGATATATATTAATTTATAATTAGCGATGAAGCTGACTATAAATTAATATATATTACTCAACATGTCCATACATAATTATCATGCTAGTTAGCAACAATATTCTTGAATTATTTCTTATCATCAATCGTCAATTTATAACCATTACGAGACTGCCCTCTTAGTCTCATATATTCCTATATAGTCCTATAAGTATATATATATATATATATATATATATATATATATATATATATATATATATATATATATATATATATATATATATATATATAATCATAGAATAGGAATAGTATTTTCTTTTTACTTTCTACTACTGTGTGTAATACTTGTGGGTCTTATTTATTTATTTAAACCTATAATACTTATTAAAAAGTAATATAAAAAAAATAGAAGACTTATTGCTAGTTAGATATTCATTATTACTTTTGTTAGGAACCGCAGACACCTACTGTACTTAATAAATATTACCTTGTGTATGCACACGTTAATAAAATTTTAATCTTGTGTCTGTAAAAAAAAAAACAAACAAAAACCGTTTCGCAAATTTCGCAAGGTTTGATAACCAAATGATGACCTTGTGATTTGGAATCCGTACTTCTGGTTAATAAACTCTGCAACCATAAATAAATAAATAAAAAACATCAACTATTCTGAGCGATTGATAAGGTAAATAAAAAAAAAGTTATAAAGATTCATATCAAAACCCTTACGCCACGCCTGTTCTTTTTTACCCTACGTAATACTAGTACGCTAATCTCCTTCCTTTATGAGGATCCGTGTCCAACAGTGGACAGTTTATGAATTGTTATGGACATTACAATTATGTAGAATAATATGATGCTGCCAATGCCACAGGGCCTACAGTGCACGTCTAAACGCAACTGATAAGCGTTATCTGTGTATTTCACGATAAAAAATGAACTTTGACATTGATTACATATTATGAATAGGTATAAGCAGTTCTTTAACATTTTAAACTGTAAAAATTACTGTTTCATAAGCTATATCTATATCCCGCAGCTTTCCCTGCGTGAATCAGTACATAAAGTATCCTGTGTGCTAAGTTAGAATATAACTACCCGTGTAGTGTACAAAATTTAGAGTATATCAAAATCTTTTTTAGTATACTTTAAATTAATAATAAGCATTAATCCATACATCCATACAAATATTAATATTTATAAATTAATAGGATAGTTATGAACTACTGGTATACCTACACAATCCCAACTTATAGAAGTCAAATGTAGTGAGTTTGGATTTGACGAGACACAAAAACTTTAAGAGTCAATTAAATATCTATCTAACTCCCCGGTGACGATAAACACCGTTAAGAAACCAAATTAGTCGCCCTTTGCTTCGCTGGACTGTAATATACTGAGCTACTAGTATGTATAGTATTATTATATTATCTGTGACTCAGCGAAATGTGGACAAATGAATATTATATTGTCCACAACGGTATTAGTCGATAAATGTTTCTGACTACCCTATTGCATAATTACAGGCGCAAGCATGTTTATTTATTTTTATTACATATTTCTATCAATCATTCTTCGTCAAATTATTTCCACTATAATTTGACAAACAATGATTCCACTCGCCGATAAAGAAGAAGAATTAATTTTAACTGAACTTGAAATAAATAAACAAATTAATTTAAGATACCGCCGTAAGGTCGGCGCTTGTCTTGTGGATTCTAAAATTTATTATTATTGTTTGTAACTATATTAAAATAATAACAGCAGCCTCTATCTATTCCAGTTGAGATTACACTCGTAAATATATATTTATTTTTGTGTTAACAATAAAATTACTAAAAACTCTAGCTTTAAATAATTACGGTTTATATAGATAATGAGATACAGCATGACCCATCGATTGTATAAAGTCACGTATAACATAGAACTATATTCTATTTTTCTATATACTCGGCTGGCATAATTAGTAAACAAACTTGGCATGTCTTTTTATCGCAATGACAGTGGATAAAATAAACAAAGCTGAAATAAAAGGCCTTTGGTATTATGAGTACTTCATTATAATATGTAAATTATTATTTCAATTTCGGTTTTATTTTAACAAAATTAACGTGATTTTTTCTATGTTAATATTAAATCAACTCGCGGGCTTATGCCCGCTAAAATAAGGAAACAAAACAGAATATCTAGTAAAAATGGAATAGAAAAAAAAACACGAATATGTCAATATTCTGCGAATGAATGATTCCCAGGACATTAAATACTTCTTTAAAAACTACCCTAACAAAGATAAGTGATTGCTTCTCATAAAAATTTAAATAATATTTAATTACACTGGCAGGTAATATTAACAAATAGTCGCAATATTGCTTAACCAACAAATATTTTTTTTTATACAACTTAGAATGGCAAACAAGCTGACGGCCCACCTGATGGAAAGTGGTAACCGTCGCCTATAGACATGAGCAGAATCATGGACATAACAGAGTATACTGTTTCGCCCATGATACCCCCCCATGCGTTGCCATTCTTGAGGACTCAGGTGTTATTCCTCTGTACCCTTACTGGGTAACACGCCATATCCCACCCTTCAAACCGAAACACAGCCATGCAAACACAACTGCTTCACGGTTGAAACACGAATGGGATATATCTTTTATTTAATAAGTTACAACAACCCAATCATTGTTAAGTCATCTTTGTATATTCAACACAAATAATGAAGGCAAATATTAACGCATAAAATATGATGCAAAGACTGACCTATTCTTATCTAATTAGATATATCATTAATTAAGTGTACTGAACAACATTGTGGTAGGTAGGTACATTCTGTTTTATCTATCAGTCCTATAGTTTCTAGACTAAGGGCAAAAACAACGGGACAAAGTGTAGGATGCGTGTTAAGCATCATTTTATTATTTATATAATTTTACTGTTTATATGTATAATTATCGTCGTGTCCATCTCAGAATTGTCTGGTGCCCATCCCAGAGTTCGAGTTTTAACTATGCCTAAAGGCATGTCTAAGAGTACACAATGTGCCTTTTATAAGGGGCAGATCACCCTGAAAAACAATCTTAAACACGCCAATGATTAACATGTCGCGTTATTAAGTTTATCAATTAAAAAAAAAAAAACATAATGACAAAAATCAATTACTATAAAGGCTTTTTATTCTGAAGATTTATTTTATACGCTGTCATTCTAAATAAAACCCACGCCAAGATTTTGTACTACTTCTACCAAATATAGAAAGACAGATTATAGGTAGAAAACTCGATCTTAATAAAATATCCAATCAGTACAAAACAATATATAATATTAATTAATGATCATCAACATTTCAGTATTACTCAAACATAGCCACTCCCTTTTAGGTTAGTATGCATGGAATTGACGAGTCCATGGAAAGTATCCAGCTGAAGAATGCATTCTTTTTCTTTAAGAATAATAATTCTTTAAAGGTTTTTAAGGACTGAATTTTCTTACAATTTCATATTTTAATTCTTAACTGTTGGGCTTTACAATGATGAGTCAACGAATGAGTCTGCACCTTGCCTTTTTATTTAGGTATGATTAACAAATACTATATTTAACTGTAGAGTGTAAAAGTACTGATAAACTAAGTATCGTACCGCAACGAAATAGTAGTTATACCTCTTTACGAAATAAAGTGTATAACATCGACGTATTACACTTTATCTGTAAAAATGTTACAAGAAACCATTTACGACATCATTTTGAATATCATGACAATATCATTGTTCTATGACTTCACATAACTATCTATGCGCACGCTGTAACTCCATGTATCCTAATTATGACACGATTTCCAAACAAAACATCAAGCAATAGTTCAACAAATACTGTAATTCTATTCTAGATTATTTAGTAACGTAACGCTACCATAATATAGGTCTGTGCAGTGATATCTAGATATACTCGAATAACGATCAGCGTGGTATAGGTATTGTTTATTGTTAAGATAATTAAGATCATTCATTGATTACCTACAAAGACAAAGATTGGTAAATAGGACAATTTTTATTTAATAAGTTGCTAAGGTTAATTATCTTTACATAAATAAACTCCATCTTTTTATATAATAGGCATTGAAATACGCGACTGTCCTACGCAGAATTCGGATTTTCGAAATTTCCAAAAATGTTTATAGCGAATGATTAGTAATTTTAGTAAGTTTCGGTAGAAATTAATATACTAAGAGTATAGCTGATATTAAATAAACAACTGAAATAATAAGACCGAAATCATTTTAGTTTCTAAACTGACTTACTGAGAACCAATTAAAAATTTAAAATATTTCGGTCAGAATTCAAAACCACTATTTTATTTATGAGAAGCATCATATTAAATCACAGAAATTGTCTATTAGGTATACAAAATGCATACTACAATAATTATATCTTAATAATATATTTATTTAAAAGTTACTTACCAGAGCTAATGCACTTTCCGGATACCATTTGCATGGACGAAGAAAAATAGTTAAGATCTCGTCATCATCACTGAAGTACAAGTCGTCATTCTCCTTGAGGAGTTCGCGGAGACGCTCGATAGCTTCCCTCATTCGCTCTGGTGTCTCCCTCAACTCCCGTTCCGCAATCTCCTTAGTTTCAGGTGACAACTCGACGTTGCGTTCTATCCTAAAATCGCTTGAACTCATCTTTGACGGTGTATTCTGTAAATAATTAAACAGTTTAGAATATAAAACTTATTGAAGGTTTCAAGTTATTTAATTAACAACGAAAATAAACAGCGTCTTATCACATATTAAGACAATGTTTACATGGGCCAAATATGATTCCGTTAGTAGCAAAACATAAGCAATGAAATTAGTGGAGAATATTACTACAGTACATGACTTTTTTTATACAACTATGGTGGCAAACAAGCATACGGCCTGTCTAATAGTAAACGAGGTTACTGTAGCTTATCAACACCTGTAACACCAAGGATGTCACTTTGTCAACCCTAATACTCAAATAATAATGCCGTACTCGTAATAGAAAATGTAGGCATGATTATCTAATGGTTGTAATTTATTATTATCATCGTCATATCAGCCGTGAACTATCCACTGTTGAACATAGGGCTCGCCTTGAAAAGTTTATTATGTTCATGACTTAATTTAAAACTAACTTTAACACTGATAGCTGTCGCAGTAGGTATCATGTACCTATGATTCAACAACTGAAAATCCAGTGTCACGATATTCGTTCACACTAATCTTCTAAACCCCCTTAATATATTTTAATTAAATTTTATAATATTGTATTTGTCATCTTGAGGTGACCTGGTAGATTACAATAGAAGGCAAAACAACGTTTGCCGAATTAGCTATAATTATACAAGTATTTTTTATATGACTCATTAAAACTTTAGTATTATCAGCAATGTGACTATGTTTGCATGTAGTAACATTTTTTTTCATTATAGTACGACATCTGACCACACTATTAATGAATACGATCAACCGAAAAAAAAAATATGTTTACTCTCAACCGTTAACAGCATTATGCCGGTTCACTAAACACTTTTTGACGCTATCTTTTAAGGATCCGAGATTATAGGATGAAGGAAACATGTCTAAGGAAAGGCTATTCCACATTGGTACGGTTTACGTAAGAGCTGGCAAACTTATTTGTAAGCGAACGCAGGCGGTCAACCGTGTGGATGTAGTCGCGGGCCCAACTTCAATGGTGGGATATCGGAAAGAGGATGGAATAAGAGAATGAAATTCATTTGAGCACTCCCCATAAATAGGCGGCAGAAAACAGTGAAGGAGACTACATCTCTACGTAATTGTAGAGGTTCTAGAGTTTTTCTCACTTCAGCATCTCCCACAATACGGACTGCTCGTCATTACATTATTAATTTAATTATTAATTTATTTATTAATTTTATTATTAATTTTTTTTATGTAATCTATTGATTTTTATTTAAACCTATGGCATTACCTTTGCCAATACATTTTATTTCCCAGGCTGATCTATATTTATATTTGCAACGGAAACACTGCAAATTTGAAATAAATTCTCATACTTACATCTATATTCGTGAAAAAAAGCTACTAATAATAAGCTAAAACTCTTTAAAGAAATATCTACCAAAATCCTTCAAAATAAAATAAAAATAATCTTAATAAAATGATATGAATCCTAGGGTCTACATCAATATGAATGACTCGTTATCTTATCTGTTTTAATGAGATGTTAAATGGTTGACACGAAATGCCACAATCATAAAAAAACATACGTATGTTAACGAAAAATTTGAAAGTACGTTCGTTACGTATCGTACGTTCTTCCTTATCTAGAAATGTAGGTACAATTTAGATATAGGATATACCTACCGGTATTTTAAGAGAACCTGCATTTACTTCATTGGTTGCGTAAATTAAAGAATAAAATTGAACAAGTATCTAGATATAATTATATAAAAAAAAAATATTTTATTTATACAATAAAATTTTAAGAACTTAGTAGAAACAAAGAATTATATTTCTTTTATTGAGATTTGAACCCGCACCTTTCACTTCATGTCAGAGCTAGTGTTCTTACCAATTTAGGTATCGCGTTGCTGGATGCCCCTTTTGAAATTAATAATAACTACACATGATTTTAATATAGTGTGATTATAATTATAATTATACGAATCTTTTTATGTCAAACCATATTTTATTAAATTATTAAATAATCTAAAATTAAAGCAAAATTTTCACTCATTGTCATTTGTGGCTATTAGAGATAAATTCTCATGACACTGGCCACAAGGCAAGAACTTATTATATATTCTTCGCACATCATAGCACGTGCCTTTGACTTGATTGTTTAAAAACACATATTTCTCGCTTGTAAATTAACACCAGCCCTAGAATATGAATTATCAAGAAACCAGTCAGAAATTGAATAACTAATTACGTCTACTCAATTATCAGGTAAGAAATTGAGTTTACAGAAATTAATATTTTACAAACAACTAGATTTTACAGAAAAAAATACCACTACTTCGATTGTAACAATTCTAATATAACTAATTCAATTGTAATGAATTAAATCCCATCAACTCCAAAAAGTATAATTAAAATTGGTATCAATTTGGCGAAACATCACGTAATATTTTAAACATAAATATATAAATTTTCCTTTTTTCATAATCGTTACTAAACAACTACATATAAAAGTATAAATAATACATAAACCGTAAGAATTTAAAACAGAATTGTCAATATTATATTATAGATTTAACGAGTATATAAAATATAAAGTTAATAAAAATACAGTCGAACCTCGTTCGTTTTAGAATTGCTTAAAAAATGGGCGAGAGAAAACGTGTCTATTCAAAAGATAAAAGAAAGAATAAGTTTTTTCTTTTAAATAAAATATTCAAGTTATTACAAATTAAACATAAATGCACCACCTATTTTATCGTTATCCTTAAAAGTTAAAGTCAAGTCCACATTGACTAAACCATTGAATTTATAATTAATTTAAATATTTTATGAAAGAGAGTTATATATTTATAAACAAGTAGTAAGTATGTACCTTAAATTATATACAAACGCTTTACAAAATACATATCAACTTTTTATCTATATGTATGTGTGTGTAAATACGTAATAATATGGATACTATAATATATTTATACAATTTTGAATTATTATTTTCTACAAAAAGAAAAAAACGATTTCGGTTGCGGCAAAACTTGATTTTGATAATTTTTATGGCACCAGTCTGAAAGTATTTTCCTTTCAGATAAAAAAATTCACCTCATTTCGAGAATTTTTATCAATTGTGAGGAATTTTTCTGAATACTTGCAACACTAAAAATAGAGCGATTTCTTTAAAAGAAATGTTCTTAAAATTTAAGGTACTTAGCGGTTATAAGTGATTCCTTTATTAGTTCTATTTTTTTGTTTTATAATTTTTGCACCTTTTTAAAGCGCAAAAATTAATTTTATTTATTAAATAATTAAATATAGATAAGTCAAGATACATTGTGTGCGTAAAAATATAGAACACTTAATAGAACACTAATAAAAAAAGGATGACCCATATTTAAGACTCGATGTTCTTCCTATATAATTTAAGATCTACCTATGTCTGGGTGGTCTTCTTCTACTGTAGGTAATTAGCTATTTGTAATTTATTCAATCCTACACAAGCCGATGTAATCATATTGTATTTGTTCCAATTAAAATGCTAACTTGTAAGTAATAAATATTTAGCTAAATAACAAAAAAAAAAAGCGTGTTTATGTCCACAAGAGAAAATATATAATTTTATATACATATATTTTTTTGTACATTAATTAAATTAAAAAATAATCATTTACAAGAATGAATTAGTTTCCCTTCTTATAGTTTATATTATTGTATTATTAATAATATTTCTTACCAGCCTTGAGTCTTTTTAATTTAATAAAAATAACCACTATATATTTTGTTTATATTTCGTTTTACGTACACATGCACTAAACAAAAATCTTCACGGCACGTTCACGGCACAAAGTGTATCACCGAACTGATATGAATTGGTTGCTTTATCATATAAGTACTTAATAAAAAATGTTATAAATGTAAATACACACTAACCTCACACGCGTTGTGGAAACTCACGCGCCGGCGAAAATTTTAAATGGCGGGAAATCGGACGTGCGTCGTGTAAGAAGTGCAGGCGAGTGTGCGCGTGCGCGTCATCGCTGCTATTTTATACTCGTAGATATGATAAGGTGCAGCCGCTTTGTTTTCCCGAGTTCATAATCAACGGAGGGTTGAAAACTAAGATAACGCAAAGGACTATGTCGCAACGGACGGAAGATAAATAAGTACAAAAATAATATATATTATAATAATTAGAGACTACATCAGAGAGACACATTAATGGTCCATCGCTATTGGTTGCATTTTCATACACGATCTAATGTACGAGTATTAAGACGAACCCACAAGTCTGGAAGGACATGTAATAAATTTTACTTGCGCTCGCCCGTTCTAGTATGACTATTCCTTAACAACACAATAAATTGACGCATTAAAGTATTTACATATACCTACTACGTGTATACCAAATTTCAAGAGAATTAATTAAACTGTTAAAGCGCCAAGACATAACAAACAAACTTTCACGTTTCTGATAAGTATTAGTAAAGATAGTTTACAATACTTGTAGAGTAAGTATGTATGTATTGTATGCTTATACAATTTTTTTATTTGATATTAATAATTTTAAGGTTAAACCATAATCCTTAATTTATTTAAATATTTATATTATTATATTACTTAAATATTAATAAAAAAGAAACTTCCATATTCTTCTCTGCCAATGCGGCATCGGGGAGATAAAATAGGTCGTCAATCATAACTATTTACACGTAGACAACTTTGTTGCAGAGACCATGAATCGAGCTAACAACTAATTAGCTATCAATTTAATTGTTATTTAAACTAATTAGTTTTTTATTAATTAGTACTTAGTATTGTATTTTATTTTGTCTTGGACAAGACATTACCAATGCAGGTAAATAATAAATAAATAAATGCCTCTCTCTCGCAAAAATCATGTAGATATAGGAAAGTTTGTTTGAAAAATAAATAGGTTAGATATCTATGTTGATTACACTGTTACTATTTTTAAGACTAAAAAATATAGATGATCTCAATTCGCCCTTATTTTTTGTATGTTACGCGTTATTCAATAATTATGTTCCATTTTTGATAATTTTTTACCAAGCGATAGAGAAATGAAGGAAATTTTAGATATCGTTATTTTTTTTTTTATGCAATTTAGAATGGTAAACAAGCTGACGGCCCACCTGATGGAAAGTGGTAACCGTCGCCTATAGACATGAGCAGTACCATGGACATAACAGAGTATATTGTTTCGCCTATAATAGCCCCCATGCATTACCATTCCTGAGGACTCAGGTGTTATTCCTCTGTACCCTGTAAATTCATTGCCATATCCCACCGTTCATACCAAAACACAGCAATGCAAACTCAACTGCTTCACAGTAGAAACATGAATAGGACAGAGGTGCCAAGCAAACGACTTTTGTACAAAGTCTCTCTCTGGTAAAAGCAGAAGAGTTTGATTGTATGTCCATTTAATGTGCTAATATCAGGAGTTACCAAACTGATTTTTTTTTTTATTTGATAGCTCATTTCTTAAAGAAGATTACAGGCTACTCAAAATTACGATATGACCACGGGCAAAGCCGTGGGATATAGCTACCTTTTTTATAATTTTATGAATAATAAAAAAATGTAGGTATTCATAGATGACCGCTATTTTGGATATAAAATGATGAAAATATTATAATCCTTTATTCGACTTTATGACTAACAGGAGGTTAGTCCAAAGTACAGCGAGCACTCAACTTATCGAGACATCATGCCCTCCTCTTTATGTTGTGATTCATCCGTACTCTGAAAACAATTGTAACAGTTTTATTGAGTATTATCGAACATTTTTGTATTACTATGAAGACTTCAAAAACAAAAAGAAATGGAAAAAGTTGAGGCCAATATGCAAATGGTATGTATAGTCGATCAGCACTTTCCATCTGGTCTGAAAAACGAAAAAACATGTGAACCTTCCATATTGACATAGCGCATCCAGCTTTTAAATTAGTATAAAGGACTCTGTATTTTTGTCATTTGTCGATCCACGTTTCTCTGGGAAAAGTATTTATTTTAACACCCAAAATGATTTTAATGTCCTACATCATTTCATACATAACACCATACTACTTGGTTTGTAAATGCCAGATAAAATATATTATAAGCGAGTCAAACATTGTCTTCGTTTTTGTTAAACAATGCTTTATCTTATTTAACATAATACATGTACATTGAGCTTTTTCAATGTCAGCTAGGCTTTGACTTCTAAATGACACCGGAATTGGACGTTACTGAAGATGTCGGCACCTTGAACCTCAATTCTTTTGGAGATGTTGACAAAAGAGTTCTGAAACTGCGGAGCTACAGCAAATTTTTTTTAGCGGTAAGCATGCATTCTTACATCGTAGTAAAATTGACCTCGATTTAAATTCTAATCACATCAATATACAGAATATTGCGATTAAGCATTTTAAGATTGATACATTTAAATAATTTATGTACTAGTTATTATCGTATGAAAAACAAATGTAAAAACACTTATACAGTCGTCGTTATCCTTTGTTATACAAAAATTTTGTAAATATGTATTCTTTGCTTCAGCTGGAGAGACAATTCGTATTAACAAAATAAATAACCCGATGAGTAGCAGCAAAGGATAAATCCACCTTTGCTAGTATAACTAGTATTTATAACTGGACAATGGCAATTTATAAAACTTTTTAACAAAACAATAAAGAGATGAATAAAAGGATCTAAAAAGCGAAAAATAAAATTAAACTTTAACAAAAAAAAAACTGTCGAATTAATAATCGAAATATAAAACTTTTAGTCTCCAATTACATAATAATTAATTTGCTTGTCTATTTGTTTGGCGTCAACTAGTAATAACTAAATAATAATAATACAATAATCCGCCGAATAAGTAAGCAAAATGAATGCAATTGCATTCATTTTGCTTACTTATTTTTTTTATTGCATTTACATTTGCTTTTAATTTACCTTTCACGATATCATTTTGCCACGAATATCCATGATATAGGTACTTAATCATCACATCCTACATATCCACAATATCATCGAGCAATATTTAGAAGCATAGCATTTTTTTTTTGATGGGTGAAAATTATATGGTAATCCCGCCTGCGCTAACGGGATACGCTGGCGGAGCACCAGTGAAGGGTGATAGATAAGAATGAAAACAGGTCAGTTAGCCCATCATGATGAATTCATCAGGAATTAACTATGATAGTTTCCAGGGAGAATCGCGAGGAGGTCGACCTGGTTGGGTATATTGCTAGCAATAGGATTCTTAGTCTCCATTACTAACAATCCCTCTCCCCCAAAAGCATAGTATTATCTATTATATACATTTGGTCACTTTTATAATAATTTGCCGTACGATATTATCGTGGACGAACACGACTATAACGATGATCTTAGACGGCAATACCGTGAACCTTAAGAAATTTTTTGATGTCCATTATTGTCCATGGTATCTATCATACGTTGCCATTGATAGTGGCGGATTTTTTTAAGGGATAATAATGTAATTTTAACCCCGCCTGCGCTATCGGTATACGCTGGCGGAATACCAATGAGTGATGATAGGTGAAGATGAAGCAGTCATCGTGACAAATTAAACAATAAATCAATCACCATGGTTTCCAGAGAAAACCGCGAGGTCGACCTGATGGGATTTATTACTAGCAATGGGGATGCTGATCTCCATTACTAACAATCCCTTCTCCCCCTAGTAGCGGATTTACACATTTGTCCATCAGTGGACTATTAAAATTTGGCCACAATCAGGTTAAATGTTTGGTCAAAGAAATTATAACTTTTGATACCAAATCTGCCATACCTAATATCTGCCGTTCTTTTTTTTTTTGGAGGGCAGCTGGGGTGTGTGGGATTCGTACCCACTAAAAACCATACGACGTACCTCGAGGCGCTTATGTTGGATCCCGGGTTCCCGTTTGTACGACTACCGAGTATCCAACGCGACAGGGGGAAGCACAAAAGATCTAAATGGGTCGACGTGCTTAGCAGCTTAGCTGGCCCCATATGCGAATATAAGATCCAACGCGACGGCCCGCCCTGTAGGTGGTGTAGGGCAGGCCTCCTCTCTTAGTTAGGGTGGGGAATGTCCCTCCCACCCCTACCATCACAAAAATCTGCCGTCCTAGGCTCCAGCCTACAAAGTCTGCTGATAAGTCCGCCACTGATTCCTGACGACTAAACTGTTACACCTCCATACCATGTAAATTACTGCCATATATCACCCCCCATAACATACATACCCTTTTAAGCACAGCTGCTTCATAGCAGAAACTCGGGTGTGACAGAGCTACCCATTCTACTTCTACAGTTGATAGATACCTCTGTGTAAAATTACGACTTGCACATAACTATATGTTATTTAGCATTGTCTTACTAAAATTGTATGTTGTACGATGTAATTACCTAAGACACAAAAAACTGAAAAACGGGATGACTCGGTATGTTTTGATCTCTCTACTTAAGTAGCTAGTTCATGAGTCTATTATTAATTTTAGTAAATAGTAATTACTTTAGTAAATAACCACAAAATACTTATTAGTACCTACATCACATTAGATTTTTTTATCATACTTAATATTAGATATTCCATGTCCATATCTATAAAACAATGTAATAAATATTAGGTTTGGATATTAATACGTATATCGAGTTTTGTTCACGAAAATTAGCAAAGAGGATAATTATAAATTTGGACATAATTAATACTGGAAAAGAAAAAAGGGAGAGGTGGAAGCAGTCACTGATGTTTCGACACATTTTTTGACTGCACAAACTTTTTAAGTAGCAACCCTGTACAAAATATAATTGGAAAAGGTATATAGAATAATACTTTTTATTACTTTAATACAATTGTATATTTACATATATACACATACAATATACATTTATTGAGCTTCGTCAACTTCAGTTCCGATAGCACTGCTACCTTCATCTTCAGAGTTGTCTTCATCGCTGCTTCCTTGCTGCAAAACAAGTAAAATATAAATATGCAGTAATTATAGAGCTTAAAATGAGTTGATAAATCGAGAAATAAACATAATATAATACATTCACTATTAATTAAAAGGGATTTATGATTTATTAAAAGAATTAAACTTTGTAGTATCAAACTAGACAGAATGTATGCTTAGGTAAAAACATGGCTACTTAATATTACTGGCCAGTTAAATAGAAAATGATGTTTTTTTTTTTTGGTTTTATACAAAATCGATATTGTATAATAATGATAATTTTAAATAATAACTTAGATTCCATTTATTATAAAGATCTTTAGTCTTAATATCTTTGACAATTCGTACGTAGGTAAAGAAAGCTGAAATTACTATAATTAGCTAGCAATAGTTTGGTACCAACTGATTCAATAGATACCATGTCGATAATATTTTTTTGTGGTGGTTTAAAACCTTGGTTTTGTAAATGAGAAGCTACTAGATATGTATAAACAATAATATGTTTTTGTAATTTTTAATTTATTAGCATCAAGTAATAATACATTTCTAAATATTGATCATATTATAGGAGCATATGCGCACTTTGATACGTTTTTACCTTCTTTGTGATCTTTTATATGTCATGATGCAATTTAAAAATTTGAAAACAAAACAAAAAATAATAATTTAAATATATTGTAAGTAAATAGTGTAAAGTGTAAATATCAAAAGTTATGACTAAGAGTGCATAAAAAAATAACCATACTTTTTGTAACTTTTCAGGCAACTTTTACCAATCTTTCATTTCACAATTTTCAATTTAGAACAATATCTTATTTGTACATACTATACAAAAGCTTAAAAATATTTACCTCAAATTTCACATCGGCACTGTAATTGGATATCACCATTTGTTTAAGGTACTCAAACATGTGGTCACGGCATGTCTCCTCGCCTTTGGGTGGCAGCCAGCCGCGTTTAGGGTGGCAAAGGTAACCAGGTGGTGGCTCTTTCGCTAATAACTCTTCCACTTCGGGCAATTTTATATCGCACAACTGTAACAAGACGTGATGAATTCACAATAATACAACCATTTAATATCTAAAATTAATCATTTTACAAATAAAGCCAGTTTTAACAGTTTTTCTTTTTATGATATACTAGCTGTAACTTGTCGTAAGTTACAGTTAAGTTATGGGCCCTTACAATGGAATAAAAATTATCTGTGTTAATTCATAATTATTCTTATGAATCTTAGGACAATCTTATATAGATATGGTCCAAAGTACCAAATATTCAGTCATGTCGTGTAGTCCCGGAATGGAATGGGCCACTCCTTCCTTTATCGTGGATGCCGTCGACGGCAACTAAGGCAACTTAATGGTCGAAGAATGAGCAGCAGCGCCTCTTTTGAAATATCACCAAAGCCTGTGGTTGCCAACCCGTCTGCCAAGTGTGGCAACTATTGGTAAAACCCCCTAATGGGGGACGCTTAAGTTTAGCAGTAGACAGTTAATGTCTCATAGATAATGATGACAATATTCAATAATTACAAACATGTAAGTGTTTTAACTTACTTTCAAATTTATTTACTTAACAAACAAACTCTCATTTATAATATTAGTAGTAGACGACGGTTACCATTTACCAATAGGTGGGCCAACAACTTACTTGTTAACATTTCATTTCTAAAAAAAAATATAGATGACGTCCCATTCTTACAAATCGAAATGTATATGTATTATGTAATAATATGTAACAAAACCACCACCTACCTGATAATATACTTGGCGCTGAGACGGCGGTACACCAGGCCGGAAGTAGACGGTTGCTTCTGTTATTTCCTCGTTCGCGCTGGTATCACTGATGTTTCGATGTTTATGTTTGCTACGTACGCGGTCTGCTCTCTTGTACTGGGCGTGTTCACGCGTCAAGACCACAGAGTGTATGCCCACTGAAAATATGAAAACACCAATTTAGGCAAACAGAAAAATATATTTTTTTTTTAAGATGCATAATCCGACATTTAGGAATTTTAAATATAAGAATGAAGAATTTAACCTTATTGTATCATTAAACTAGAGTAGAATTACAATAAAGGATAATTTAAAAAAAGATTTGAGCTTTTGTAGGCCGACTCAAATAAAATTAATTTTAGATTTGCACTTAGAACATAATGAGAAAATTTTGCCCACCAGAGATAAACCGCTATTTACGTAGGCCACAAATTAAATATGGTGAGATCTTATAATATATTGTAAATAGATAAATAGAATTTGACCATGAAAGCAATAGATCAACTACCTGTATGTCTAACCCTAAAATCCAATGATTGGTACATCCGAGCAGCAGGGTCCTTTCGGGGATCATAGCCATACTTGACCCACAGCATCTTCCAGGGTCCAGACTTCATATAAAACGCCAAACACGGCAGAATTATTTTCAATGACGGGGTCCTTACTTTACTGTGATATTTCACTAAATTCATTGACCAAATAGGCCTCTCATCAAATAGCTGAAAGATAACATTTCATATTATAATACTTAAAAAATACTTTTATTTCATTTAATGTTACTAATTAGTTTAACTGTAATTCTATATATTATTTTATTCTAATAAATATCTTTATTAATAATATACAATCAGAACCAAATATACATATTAAACATTTTTTAAGTAATATTATTGTTATTTAACCTTTCTTTATATATTGGTGGTAACTTTTTAAATTTTTTATAAAAAATTTAATTTTACCTTTTGAACAAGTTCATATTCATTTTGTAGAGCAGGATAAGTTGACAATCTTTCAATTTTTTGTTTAACATAAAACTCTTGAGGTTCTGTAGGTAAGTTATCTATTAGATTAAATGGTACACCAGCTGTGGGCATTCCTCTCTCAAGTCTCAATCTATAGTGAAGATTATCCTCATTATCTGTGATTGCCTTCTTTTCCTGGTACCTTTTGTCTGTGTACATATAGCCTACTGGTTTATCAGATCTTGTGAAGTGGGATGGAACTATAAATAATTGTGAAGGTTCCCTATAAACAAAAAATAAATTATGAATACAATATAAATTATGAATAATAAACCCAAATACCTACCTAGTTGTTTGTATGCGCCTTTGTCTAAAAACTATTATTACATATAATAAGAATATTTAAAAAAAATTAAATACAGCAGTAAAATTTACACTTAAAAAATTAAATATTTCTAACATAAATTAATTCTTCTAAAAAATATCAAATGCTATGTTGTGTATTATATATAATCCAGGGGTAGAAATAAAAAAAAACAATTACTACTTACGACATAAAACCAGTGTCTTCTAGGCCTGTTGGTAACAACTTCTCCAATACACACTGACCCTGACTAGACCCTGGTTTTTCCTCTACAGGAAGGTATTGAAAGTCACACATGGCTGTAAGTGAAAGAAATATAAAGCAATTAGTGTATATAACTACATATAAGTATAATAACTACAATATTGTGTAATGTTTTTTTTAAATAGTATTATTCCAGGATTTTCTGATTATTGTTATACTTAACTGATTTTTCCATAACACATTCTAATTTATTTAAATTAATAGGTTATGAACACATTATTTTTTTCTAAGAGTTCCAATAATTGTATTCATGACTTAATCTTCAACCTAGGATATCCTGAGTTATGAAGAACCAAATAATGAATATCTGGGAAAACAACCAAGAACACCCAGATCTAAACAAATTCAGGAAGGGTCTTTTCCTAAATTGGATAGACCAGGATCGAACCCGGAACCTCATCAATGCAATGTGACACAGTTGATCTTGGAGGTAGTCAACTTCTTCGATCATACATAATTTAATCATACATAAATTATGTATATTATGTCTATAAATAATTTTATTATAGTGTAATTATGAATATGACATTATACTAGTTAAAAAAAAATTATGACAATTTAAAAATTTCACCAAGTACTATCAAAACTACATTATTACAGTTTATTTTATACATAACATTTGAAATTATGGAAATTTTGTGTATTAAATTTATTAAAGTGTAATAAAGAGAGTATGTACACAAATAACTTGTAAAACAGTATCATAGATATAGAAAATATTATACAATATATAGACTACTAACATTCAAATTTGAAGATTTTGCTCACTCGCCCAACAATTGCTGTAGACATAATTTCTCTCTTTACTTCATTGTTTTCTATGGTTTTTTTCACTCTAACTTTTATCACAACACCAGCTGTGGGTTTTTCATCTGCATATATTTTCTTTACATAGGGATTATCTGGTTGGAAGCACAGTCCTAAGCGCTTTTTAGTGGGATGTGAATATACCTGTAAAGATATAAATTATATTTAAAACAACAACAAAATCTGTGTGTTTACCAACTGTGCGTATACCAATGTTTGTATAGAGAAAGTCGAACATATGTCTTCCTTTTCTCTTTTTTGATTTTACACATGTTGACATACCTCTGACAAGGCAATTCCTGCGAGCAAGTACAATGTATTGAAAAGTTTAGGTTTCAAGCAGCCAGTTATAATATCACATGTTTCATTTAATACAACATTGACACAGAAAGCTAATGCTAGACCAGGGATATGTAGAATGTACAGTCCAAGATGTGGATATTAGACATCTCAGTAGATTATTCTTCTTGTTATACCTATTTGTTGTTTTATTTATGTGAGTGGCCTATCTAGAGTAATACCCAGATAATGGAAACTAGCACACTGTTCAACTTGCATACTTCATCAGAAAATATTTAATGTTAATTTTGCCTCGGATTTCATAAGTGGACAATGCAGGACAAAGGTTTAGATGGATTAGGCCTGAGAGTACTGTTGTAAAAGTATCCAGTATATGAAATACTAGTTTTCTTTAGCCTTCTCAAAAGTCCAGATTTGAACTGCTAATGCCAGGTCGTTGGCACTGCCTGCCACTGCCACTGCCTGCATGTGGCACAATCAATATTTTAAAAAATCGTTATAAAGTAGATATTTTCCATTCCTGCATTAATAACAACTAAACAACAACAACCGTTCCTAAGAGTAGACACTGACCATAAGATTTTTTTATACTTTAGAATAGCAAACATGCTGACGGCCTATCTGATGGAAAATGGTAACTGTCGGCTATAGACATGAATATGGGTACTTAGGTAAGAGTGTCTTCTAGTATATTGTTAAATATTATAAATAAAAATACAAACCTGTGATATATTTTTGATGCCACCCAGGCATCTCAAGGCTTTTTCATTATTTTTCACGATCCCTGGAAACTGTATACATACTAATTCCCTATTTGAGTTATCAGTTTCCATATTTTCAATTTTCCATAGAAAATTTAGTTTTAACCACCGACTTAAACTTTGCTTATCAATATTTTATGAAAGCGTGATACCCATTGTATGTTTTGACTAAATATATATTTTAATACTTTAACTATTTATATTAATATAACCAAACCAAATTATATATTAATATAACCAAACAAATAACACGCTAAACAACAAAATAAAATAGAACACACTTTTGAAATATTTTCATATGGCAGGTGTCACCACAAATTAATGTCACCGCTAAGTATAAAGATCTGTCAGTCATCCACGGTTGCCAGATGCTATTTTTTATTTTTACCCAACTGTCAAATATTTTTTCGCCGATAAGATTACCTTTTTCACTCAATTTCAAACTGTAACGAATTTCACTACGTTTTTTCATGAATTGTGATTTATGATCAAACGTAGTGAAAATGATAAAGCAAACAACGAAAAGAAAACTGCAGTTGTATGTACATTATACAAGAATTTCATATCTCCAAAAAATAAATGGCAACGCATAAAGGATATGAACGACACAGTATGCTTTGCATGTCCATGGTAATATGTCTATAGGCGACGGTTACCAGTATCCGTCAGCTTGTTTACCATTTATTAAAATGGTAAACAAGCTGAATGTATAACAAAAATTCGAGAGCAGAAACATTTTTACGCAATTACCTACCCATTAATTTTATTGTATAAATAACGAATATTAGCAAATTTTGATTAATTAAACTGAAAGAAAAAATAATACGAATTTGATATGTAAATACTTTTTATTTGATATTGATATAGATAATATCACAAATATTACTGAAATAACAAGGATCGGCATCGTGCGAGTACTGTTTCTGATAACATCTTTAGCAGTTACTATACTCTCTAGACCAATCTTTACCAAAGTGGGCGATAACGACCCCTTGTGAGCGCTGCAAGCCTAAAGGGGGGCGGTAAGAGACCCAGAAAAAAATGGGGGGGTTGTGTAGAGGTTCGTATAGAATTAATGTTTAATTTCCGCAAATATAGCTCACAATAATTAATTTAATTTGAAGTAATAGTGATTTTTAAGTAAGTGAAAAAATGGAAGCGCTAAAAAATAATTTATTCTCAAAGTGGGCAGTAGACAAAATAAGTTTGGAAACCCCTGCTCTAGACTGCTATAATCGCTTAAGATCAAACAGGCCATATATTTGTTTGCCACATGGTATTAAAAACAAAAATGTGTAGGTACTTACTTATACCTAAAAATCTATCTATATCTAGATAAATATTGAACTTCCATTGCTAGTAATACACCCTCTGTCAGATCAACTTCCATATGGACCCCTTAGAAACCATCGTGCTGAATTCCAGGTGTATTAATCACGATGGGTTTACTGACCTGCATTTCATTCTCATCTGTCATCTCTCACTGGTGCCCCACCAGCATATACCATTAGTGCAGGCGGGTTTAACATTTCATTATCATCCTTTAAAAAAATATTGAACTTGTAAAATACCTAATATATTTTGGTTGGAGGAGAGGAAATTGTTAGTAATAAGAACTAGTAGTCTATTACGGGCAATATACCATAATAGATTGATTTTCACACATTCCCCCCCCCCCCCCCCGCCCCGCCCCGCCCCCCTTCCAAAACCATTATTCCTGTTATATTCATACAATCATATCAAAAACTGTACCATTATAACTTGTACACTATGATATAGTTTAAAGAATAATATTCTGAGATAAACAAGTGTGGGCAGGTAACAGGCGAATAAGGAATACTATGGACAACCCACCAAACCACCATCTATATCTCAGGAATTAATAAGAACACAATTTAACCAATGTTTTGGATTGTGTAACTATCCATACATTTTCATGAAATGTGTTGTCTCTGGCAATAACTTGTAATTGAATCAAGAGACCAAAATTAGTGATAGTCATTATAATATGTTAAAATGTATGTATTATCGATGTACCACTGCTTCAACTGCAACCAGCAGTCTGAAAACAAAGATAACATTTGAAGATACAATTTAGATAAAATTACATGTATAATAAGTAGATATAAAAATAAATTACTTTTCTAACAAAAGATTCCGTTGCCTTTCAATTTCGAGCCTGTCCTTTTCCATTTTCAGTCTGATATTATTGCATCTCTTTTTTTCTAAAAGTTTCTGTTTTTCAATTCTTATTCTCTCTTCTTCTAAATTTAAGAGTCGGTCATGAACTAATCCTAGAGAACAGAGAAATTTAAGATATAATTAAGCTTACTACTACATGTAAACACCTAATATTTAATAATTCTAATACAGTTACACTATTTGATACAATTCCATATGAATATATTTCAATTGATTATATATGATATCATATTATATCAAGTAGCTATTTTTACTTCCTTAACATTCTCTTAAAGTACCGATTACACAGTTTCATATCTATAAAAGCTAGAGCTAGAAAATGAATTAATTTTATATGAATTTCTTCAGCCATGTAACTTCATATTAAATGTGTCCGAGCACTCAATGTGTCAAAGCATCACTATATTTTGCCATATGTACCTATTTGTGGTTTTATGTGTAAAATTATTAAAGAAACATCTGCAGTAACTGTGTTGTGAAATTACTTAGGATGATGTCATTAGTTTATTTACAAAATAAACTTCATAAATTTTAAGAGTGTGAAGCATGTATATAATCCATCATAACTTGTCATAAAATGTAGTTACACTCACTGACTGGCCGTCCCCTTTTCCATAAAGGTTTCCCACTGGCAGGTGCTGATGACATCTCAGTAGATCCCATCCCAATATCTGAATCTGTATTAATACCATCTTCAAGACTTATTCCAATATCTGTCTGTGTGTAATGTTGTGGATCCGTCGACCATTTCTAGACAAATTACATAGTTTATTGAGTAGACATTCAACTAGCAATTTGATATTAAAACATTGAAATTAAGTAAAAATATTGCTACCATAGTGCTTGTAGATGGGTCTTCATTGCATATATCATCATTCACATTAGCCTGTGTTACAGTCTGAAAAATCAATAAATATATTAGAACAGATTATTATATTATAAAAAATATATTCATGACTGCAATTCCATATGGAGTAGTCAGAGGCATTTGTTAAAGAAACAAAAATTTTAGTTAAGATTTAGCTGTTATTAATGTCATTGTTTATAAAAATATTTAAGATTTTTCTCATTTACATTTATAAAGAAGCACAAATAACAATTAACATGTCACTGAATGATGTCAATGAAATTATTTATTTTTATTATTTTTTTATAAATTTTGTATTAAAAACACAAACCAGAGTGGTATCCATCAATTATAGGCATGTACAATATGAGCATTAGCACATAGGACCTCTTACAGTTACCACTTTACTTTTTTTTAATGGATGAAAATGAAATAGTGAACTTTCTGGTGCTATCAGTTTAACATGACACCAGTGACTGATGATAGGTGAGAATAAACTAATAAAGTCAGATCAGTTAGCCATACTGACAAATTTAGCAATAATTAACCACAATAGTTTACAGGGGTAACTGCATGGAGGTCGACCTGACAGGGTATATTCTAGCAATAGAGCTGTTAAGCTCCATTGTCAACAATCCTAATATGTTTTGTCTCCATGCTATGTAATTTTACTTGTAATTTATTTTTCAATTGTGATAGCTATGATAAGGGACAAAAAGTAAAGCCATAATGCAACTAATTATTGTTTAATGGATTACTCGAAATCTAATGGTAGTATTTACAGTTTGGTTTTCTTATCCCACTTTGTACTTTCTCATAGGTGTTGTATAAGGTGACTAAGAGAACTTAATGGTTAAAGGATGGGCAGCAACATCCCTCTTCTAAATACCACCAATCTGCTAGCAAAACCCCCCCCAGTAGATAGAGGCCAATGTTCAGCAGTGGACAGTTAAAGGCTGATAAGATGATGATGATTATCATACTTTATATATATTTTTTATATTTACCATTGAGTTACTAGCAACAGCTGATGTTTCAGGTACACCAGTCAATCCAAATACAGAGATATTTGTACAAATTAACCTTAGTATCTTCTCTTCAGCCTCTGTTAATTGGGTGTTAGCATTACAACCAGGTGTAAAGCGATTCTTTCGTATCCTAAATGCTTTCTTTTTCACATTTGATTTCCAATCTCTCCATGTCTAGATATTGATAAAAATACAAAAGTATTATGTGACAGCAAAAATAAAGAAATTACAAATCTTTAATTGGGGTATGATAAAAAATAAAATATTAATTTATAACCTCCTGTTAATGTTATACAGAATAAGTAAGAATTTTCCAATATTTTTCTATCTTCATGTTTCTATTACATGAAAACTACTGTGTAAATATTATTGCTTTCCATTAGCTTGTTTACTATATTAAGTATCCTAAAAATCTCCTAGTAAACATTAAAAATAGGGAATGATATTTTAAAAAATATTTACACCCTGAATACATACTATTACTAATATTTTTCGCTTGTGCAGTCTTTTTCTGTTATTATTCCTTGTTTTTATGGTAATTGATTCACATAACAAATAAGAACATGAAATCAACGTTTGCAAAGTACCTGCTGCCATTTATCTGGTGTTTTAATTGCACCAGATCCAAAGCCTGAGTTAGCATTAAGTTTTTCTGTAATTTTAATCCAAGCATTTGTTTGACGTATCCTGCCCTCGAGTCCTGTAAATTTTCCAATAGCTAGTTCCTTATCTTCCTCTAAAAAATGTAAAAGCATATTCAATTGCTCTGGACTCGCTTTGCGTCTTTCCATATTAGGTTTATTATAATTGAAGATAGATACAGAACAAAGCTCACAAATAGTTTCAAAATAAGTTTTAGTAATTTCATTCAGTGATATTCATCATCATTATTATTCATTATGTTTAAATTGCTTAAATAGCCCTCATTTACATTCAATCACTTCAATGCATAAAAACTGTTTACTTTTTTAGTGACATTTAAATAAAGTTTTGAGAACTTACTAAAAACCACAAAAAGTACCGCAAAAACAAAACAAAACAATCTTGCAGAACCAATCATCAACAATCTTCTATTTTTTTTTTTTTAGTACGTTTGTTCCGTTTGGAACAGGCTAAGGTCGGAGACCATGCTGCCTAGTCTTCAAAAAGATAATTTGTCTGGAATTTTATTTTTCTAATGTCGCTTCAATTATTGTCATAATCTTCAATATTTCATTTGTCAAATCCGGTAAGTACATTTTCATAAATATCTTTTCTTGAGTTTTCTTAAACCAGTGGATTTATCAAATTAAAAATAAATAATTATAAAAAATCATTGTCTTGCAATTCAATAAAAGTATTCTTATAGCTCCTTGAATGTTGTAGTAATATAAGTGAAAATAGCTTTGAAACAAGAAGGAAATCTTAAGAGAAGCGGGATTGAGTGCGGGATATTTTCGGGTTTTTGGAAGATAATCCTAAGTTCGTCAAACATAATGTGTCTTTGAATGACAAATTCAGAGCAATCAAAAAAAAAGTGATGTAGAGATTGGGCTGTATTTGAGTTACACCATGTGCATGATGGGGAAGCGATCATGCCCATTCGGTGCAGGTGTTCGTTGAAAAGTCCGTGGCCGATTCGTAATCTACAAATATTGGTGTAAAATTTTCTGTTTGTGTCCTTTCCTTTGCAGAACCACGGTTTTCCAATACGCCAATTAATTTTGCGGTACCATTTGCCTTTAGTCTGTAATATTTGAGTCCAATGCTCCTCCCATTTAGTTGTAACGATTTTATGTATTCCAATACTACAATCTGAGTAACAAAGGGGTAAATCTTGAACACGAGCAGCACTTGAATTAATAATTTTAGCCAAAGTGTCTACTTGTTCATTCCCAAACACTCCAATATGTGAAGGGGTCCAGATGAAGATAATATCTTTTCCATATATAGTACAGAGATGATAATATTTATTACGAATTTCTTGAATTAAGTAGTTTGATGATGAAATGAATGTGTTATTTTTTAATGCCATAAGAACACTCATACTATCTGTAATTATAATCCATTTCGAATATAGTACCTGTTTTTCTATGTATTCTAATGCTAAAAATATAGCTTTTGCTTCTGCTGTGTAAATACTAGCCAAAGTTGAAATTTTATAACCGTGACCAAATCTATTTGACAAATCGTAAAAAGCCACTGAAGTGCTAAGTGCATTTTTGGAACCATCTGTATATATCTGCCTGTAGTCAATAAATTCTGATAAAGTCTCATACATATCGTGCTTTTCTTTTATGTCTTTACGTATAACAATTTTGATCTTACAGAACTTACTCTCATAAAGGCCATTATAACAAGGAAGTATCTTACTACTATAGATGTTATATTCATCTCGTAAATTCAAATCATTGACAATAGTTTTATTCAAAAACATAGAAATGGGGCAATTTAATAATTTGAGTATGAGTGGGTTATTGGAAACTGAAAAAACTTTGAAGAGAAATTTGAGTTTTAGGTATTCGAAACGAAGAAGGATAGGAGGCAAATTACATTCTACTTGCATTGAGATAATTGGAGAAGTATACATAGCACCTAAAATAAGTCTTAAATTCATATTTTGAATTTTTTCGAGTTTTTCTACTAATTTATGTTCTGAGGCATAACAAAAGAAAGCGTAATCAAAATTACTTCTAACAAGAGATTTGTAAAGTAAAAGGATAATTTTAGGATCAGCTCCCCAGTTACGACCAATTACAGATCTTATTATATTAGTGGCTCTTAAAGCACGATCTACTAAGCAATCAACGTATAGATCCCATTTTAAATTTTGATGAAAAATTACCCCCAGAAATTTAACGCTACAGTCTGTTGGAAGAGTTTGATTATTATATATAATATTCATTAATGGAACATATTTATGAACTTGATGAAAAACAACTACTTTACTTTTGGTTAAACTAATATCGAGGGAAAGAAGAGACAAATATTTCTCAAGTCTTTTTAATGACTCATTTAACACTAATTGCATATCAATAATATTCTTTCCTTTTATATAAATTAATAAATCATCGGCAAATTGCAAGTTGTTCACACTGTTTCCTAAAATTGAATTAAGTTTATAGATATATAAAATATATAGTAGCGGGCTTAGAATACCACCTTGACATACTCCTTTAGAGCTTAACCTAGGTCCTATTAATTTACTATTTACTTTAACATACACTTCTCTATTACTAAGAAAATTATAAATCCATTCGATAAGTTTCATTGGAAGAAATGAGGATAAAATCGAAGATAGAACTGTTAAATTTACATTGTTAAAAGCTCCTACGACATCTAAAAAAACAGATAGAACATATTCATCGTTATTCAAAGCAGTACTAAGGTCGACATAGAAGTTCGCTAAACTTTCGCGCGCTGAATATCCACGGCGAAAACCAAATTGATTCGATGGTAATATACTATTACTTTCAATAAAGAACTCTAAACGCTGTTTAATTAATTGTTCGAATAATTTGCCTGCACAGGACGTCAATGTTATAGGTCTATAGGAGTCGAAATTTGTAGGATCTTTACCGGGTTTAATTACTGGAATCAAACAATCCATTTTCCATTCTGGTGGGATAATACAGTCCTTCCATAAATCGTTAAAAATTTGTAAGAGTTTAGTAAGGTTTATTTTATTCAGCAATCGAAACATATTGTATGTTAAGCGATCAAGGCCACTAGCTGTATCTTTTCTAGATTTTACTGCACTGGATATTTCATCAATTGAGAATGGGTCAGTGAGAAATTTTGGGCATGAATTAACAGAATTAAACTGTTTGTCATCAAAAGGTGAGTGTACAAAATCAGGAGTATATTTGCGTAAAAAATCATTGACCCATGATATATCTTTAAAATGATTTTGACGATGTTTTGAATTTAGTTTTCTCATATTTTGCCAAACAGTGGAAATTGGTGTTAATCTATTAAATTTGGAACAAAATTCCTGCCACCCCTGTTGTCTTACTTGCTTAATTACTAACTTTTTAACAGCTTGAACTCTTTTAAAATTTATGTAATTATCGAGAGTTGGATTTTGTTTAAACCTAAGGTAAGCCGCTTTACTATCATTGACAGCTGTCGCACACCTGTTATTCCACCAAGGTACTGCAATATGTTTGTGCCTCTTTGAAGTATTTGCACCGCTATTTGATAAGTTCCTACGTGGAACGGAACGTTCCACAGCTGTCAAAATAATTTTACAGAACCTATTGTAATTGTTTAAGGGTTCATTGACATCATACTCGAAATCCAAAAGTAATCGATTAACAGTTTCAGAATAAAGATCCCAATTAACGAGACGTAGGTTTATACGATTTAACAAAAGTTTATTAACTTCATCTATAGAAGCATGTTGTTCACCTGACGGAGTTGATGAAGAGTTCTTTGTGTTTATTTTAGTAAAAGTCGGCAGGTGATAACTTCCTAACGGATCATCATGAACCGACCACTCGCATTTTAATGATATGGATGGGGATACCATAGTTAAATCAAGGCCATTGGGTCTCCAAATATGAGAGCCAACAGTAGTAACTTGCTTATCATTTAATAGTACCAAATTACATTCATCTAAACAATCAAGAATGTCTTTACCTCTTGTATTAGTGGAGGTACAACCCCACATAGTATGATGTGCATTTAAATCTCCAGATATGATAGTGGGTTTAGGAAGAGACTCCAAAAAGAACTTAAATTTGGCTTTAGTAAAACTAGGTGTACTATTGGTAGGACAGTAAATACTGGCAACTGAATACCAAGAATTATTAACTTCAATACTAATAGCTATAGTTTGCAAGGAATTGTCGAAAAAAGAGTGAAGTTTTTTATATCTAATACTATTATGTATAATAATCGCTACTCCATTGTGGTTATTACCACAATCATTTCGTTCTATACAATAATCTTTAATTTTTAATTTGTAATGTGGTTTTAGCCAAGTTTCTGAGATGAGAGCAACGTGAATATGATGTTCATTTAAAAATTGTGTAAAAATATGTCGATTGCTCAGTAGGCTCTGAGCGTTCCACTGTATGATAGTTAATTGGTCTCGATTGAATTTTGTGAAATAGGTCTATTACCAAAAGTATCATATAACACATTCAAAACACTTTTAGTGTTAATAGATGTGTTCTTTGTGTTATGTAGTGAAATAAGTTTGATTATGCTTTCTATTAAAAGTGATAAACTCTTGTTATCAGAATTTAGAATTGAAATTAGGTCTACATTTTTTTTAGGTTTGTTACCCAGTTTAGGAAATATTTCAGTGCTAAGTATATCTCCAAAAGAAGCAGGTCTGAATTTAGATCTATTTTCAGCAATTTTCTTTTGTTTAACAGGGCATTGCGGTGATACACTTGTGTGATTTCCATTGCAGTGTACACAAATAGCGTTTTCCATTCCAGTTGTACAAGTTTTATAATTATGCTCACCTTTGCAGATGCTGCAACGCTCAGAATTCTTACAGAATTTAGCTAAATGTCCATACCTCAAGCACCGGTAGCATTGTTTAACTGGTGGTATATATGGAGTGACATTGTGGCGCCAACCTCCAATATCCAGATATTCAGGTAATACAGATGCAGCAAAAGTAATTGTCACGGTTAGAGTTGGCTGTAACACATATCCATGAGTCAAGGTATTTTTTCTTAAAATTCTTTTAATAGCAATAATTTTCTTAGAACTCGATATCATAGTATATATTTTTTTATTAGATATATTTGTAGGTACATTTCTAATAACGCCTGTAACTTCTGTTGAAGAAGCAGGAATACTGGCCTTAAAATGGTAGTCATTTAAAAAAGTTTTATTATTTAAAAAAGCATTGGCTAAGTCTGGCTTTTGAAAGTATACTCCGATTTTGAATTTATTTATAGATCTAAGATAAGTTACCCCTTTATTAAATCGTTTTAAACAGGAGGAGAGTGAGAGCAAGTCTCTGGATCCAATGGTTTTCTGACTATCTGAGGATTCTACAAAGACAACAAATTCTGTCCCAGGGGATTCCTCGGGATATCTTCTAATATAATCTGTGACGTAGTAAGGTTTATACTTATCGGCCTTATCAATTTCAGATTCTGAGTCAGTAGAAGTATCTTCCGAATATATATCCTTGTCATTACAAGGTTCATGGTCTACATCACCTGAATCGTCATCTTTTTTTTTCCTTTTTCTACAACTGCGCTTCCCCATGAATGCTAATTATATTACTGTCGCTGAATTTAGTGAAAATATAATATTTTATTAAATAATAAGAATTGATAGAGATAGTTTTAATAAATTAATAAAAAAAATTTAAAAAACCCGCTTGTTCTTATTCGAGTTTCCCGCCTTTTTTCTTATTTCCTTCATCTCCTTTGCCACTAGAGGCTTGTCTGTATAACATTCGTTTGAAAATTCATTTACCTCATTTTGTTTCGTTTCGTCTTTGTTACGTGTAGTCAATTTTTTGTCTGAAGTCATATTAGATTTGTAAAAATGTTATAAACTATTTTAAGAATATAGGTTAAATGGTAATTAATTAAATAAGTATCTACAAATGCACTCTGTGGCAGTTAGTGGTATCTACCACAGAGTAAGTAATCACACCATCTTACTTAACTGAGGTATCGTAAACTGGGGTAAATAAGCACAATATCGAACTTCACCTTTATATTTCTTGAATTTGATGTAAAGTTTCTCATTTAAAGTATTGTTAAGTTTTACAATTAAATAAAAAATATTTCAAAAAAGCAATAATTAATCATTTACAGCAAAATGTGTGTTATTCCTATTTATGTTTGAGAAAATAAACATCTAAAATTGTATAGTTGTAAAATTTTTATCTAAGAACAAGGAATTCCGAAATCTTTGGTCACCCGCCTGAACCTGGGTGAATAGGGGAAAAGACATATGTTGTCAAAATATTATAAGCTTTATTTCATATTTAAATATTAGTACATAGTAAATATTAGGTTATAAACAAAAAAACAAGGTACGCAGGTGAACTTATTCTTTAAAAAAATATTTTCCAGTCAATCTTGAGAATCAAAAGGAAAAAGTATCTAAAAGCTTTGTAATTAAAGCATAAAATCTTATATTAGGTATACATAATATAAAAAAAAGTTAGTAATATATTATAAGAATATACACTTGATAATTAAATAAACTTTATTTAATAATATAAAAGTTTATAAGTAATTTTTTTTTACCTCGATTCCATTTATCAAAAGGAGACAATACAAAAGTTATCAGCTTTTTTTACTCAAGCAATTTATTTGCATAATTGTTTCAGTTAAAAGGGTAAAATATGACAGAGTAATTACAGAGGCATAACGCCACTGTCCTCAGGAATGGCAACTTATAAGAAGTAGCTTGGGCACCATCGTGTATTCTGTAATGTCCATGGTGCTCAACGGCGGATCTATGGGGAGGGGGGGAGGTCCTGGTCATGACCCCCCGCTGAGCTGGTTCCAGGACTTAGGTGGACCACTAATTGAGCATAATGATTTTATTTATATATTTTGTCATCATACAGATTTTATGTAACTACATACCTTCAATATTTAATTATTTTAATATAATAACTAGGTATGATGGCAAACTATTGGGAACAAACGCATCTCTTCTTTGGATGTCTTCAAGAGAAGATGGCAATATGTACGTGTATATGTACAAGTTATTATGTGTTAAGATTTTCAAGTGTCCAATAAAGAATAAATATTTTTATGTACAGTACTTACGTACATTAATAAAATACCTACTTTTTACTTGTATCTATTGTTATCAAAATTAAACTATAAGTTCTTGACTTGACCACGACTATGTGACCCCCTCCTGGCGCCAAAGCTGGATCCGCCCTTGATGGTGCTCTCCATGCCCATGTTTATAACTTTCTATTAGGAGAGCCGTCAGTTTGTTTGCCCTTATAAGTATCATAAAAAATATTAGTTTAAAAGAAATTATATTATTAAAAATTATTATTATTTTTATTATTCATATATATTTATTATTTGAATATATGGTACAGAAAGTATTTGAGATAAATGGAATGGTAACCCCGCTTGTGCTAACGGTATATGCTGACAAGGCACCAGTGAGGGATGAGAATGAAAAGGCAAGTCAGTTGTTCATCGTGATGATTACACCTGGATTCAGCACGATGGTTTCCAGGGGGGACCATGTGTTAGGGCAATATCGAACTCTTGTCTAAGGAAATAAGAAGGATCTTGGAGTAGTTATTTAACTTCTAGAATGGATTGTGTAAAAGTAAAAAATTGTCACAAGAGGTGTTGAATTAAAGAAGTTAATAATTTGAGGAAATGTGTGAGTATACTGTGACTCTTAATATTTAAAAATAGTCGCAATGTCGGAGTCTGCAAATAATATTACATAGGTAGTGTATTGATGTAAATTGTATTCATAATGTATTTAAATAACTTGAAGTTAGTTACACGCCATAGATGTAATAAAACTACCTAAGTTATACTCACTATAAGTTTCAGACTAGTCGCAACGTAGTAGGCATGGTCGTTGAGCGCCCTAATGTGTTATAGCGCAATGATGGCAGACTCATTCGTCATACTCGAGAGCAGGTGCTTCTTATGAGGATTGGTCTGCTCATGTTTATTTATATATTACATATTAAATAATACATATAAATAAATCTCAATGCTAATTATAGTCTCAGTACCCATACAAATGTAAAATTATCCCATATATAAACGGATTAAAAAGAGTAATTGTTGGTTTTTTTATGTATTCTTCTCAGCAGATAACAACAACTCAGCAATATAATCTTAAAAAAATGGCGATTTAAAAGAGATTGTAGACAAGTCTATTTGAATAAAGATTATTTCTGTCTTTCTAATTTTAACTGTCTGCTTTATGCAGATTATGCAATACTAGTTCCTCTTTCTGAGACAGATATCCAAACCCTAGTCATTATAATGAGAGATGATAGCATCAACCAAGACATGACACGATGAGTAGTAATTTTTGAAAGGGAGGATTCCAAAGTTGAAAAGTTATAGATTTAATATGGATGGAATTCGTAAAAGAGTATAATATGTACGAAGGAAAGCAGGTTTGAAATAAAGTATTGATATACAAATGAGAAACGGCGTACTACATTTTTTAAATGAATGATAATGTAACGATGACCTCGTTTGTACTATTGATATACGCTGGTGGAGAAGAAGTGAAGGATGATAGTTTATAAAGAATTTATAAAAAATTAATCACGATGGTTTCTGAAGGCGTTGCGTGATGATTGACTTGACAGGATATATTGCTATTGTTGCTAGTAATGAGGATAAACTAGACGATTTAAGAGGAGTGGCTGTTCCCATTTGGATAAGGAAAGTTAAAGATTTGAAAGAAGTCAAAGAAAAATTTGGAAATGTCTAGAAGAAGCCTATGTCGCAAAGCAAGTTGCATATGATAAATAAAGAAAATAAGAATAAAATATTTATATTTATAGTTAATACCAAAAAAAAAAACAGGTACCAATATCTGTTATTAAATAACGGGTATTATTTTTTTCAACCATAGTCCATTAGGAAGGAAATAACATATAAATATGAGTTTAAGTATAATACTAGGAGCATCTCGTTTTAGCAACAGTATATCAAATAGGTGTGAGCGAGCTAGGTTAATCAACAAAGTAACAGATAACACGATCTAGTTAAAAATTCGCTTTTTAAAGAGTATTTTTTTTTATGAAACGAATTACTATAATTTTGGTTTATTTCAAATAAATACTAAGTGTGTCTCGTTTTGACTTATGACAATATTATACAAAAGACATAGACAAGAATAGTTGTTTAATTTTTTTATTGGCTGTTCTGTTATTTCGTTATCGAATACTGAAAATGTTGATTGTTGATAGTGGTTGAATAAATTGAGTATGATGAATTATAAATGATATTTTTTAACAGATATAATGACATCGCAAGAGCAATTGTTATCTGTTATCTTCGAATACGTGTGATTTATATCTGTTATAATAAATACGCCTCATTCCTAGAAATGTTTTTACAATTATTATGTACCTTGATTAGTTTTTTATCATTTATTTCTTGAGCTAAGAGCAATTAAGCTTTAAAATTGGTTCTAAGAATAAGCAACGGGATAACAAGTCCAGTGAAAAGCATAATGTTATGAAATAAAACGCATTTATTTATTTATTTAAAGGAACACCAACAGCTTATTGCATTATAACATATATAACAAACATTTAATTTAATAAATTTAACTTTATTTATTCAATTATTATATTCACAGTTTATTGTACCAATATTATATAAATTGCTGGACGATTTTAGAATAAGGTAATCTTATTGCTAAATAATCTTTTCCAGACAACCACTTTATTTATTTGCCACTTAAGTATTATTATCATCAAATCAGCCATTATCTATCCACTGCTGGACTTATAATAATATTTATTTATAGAAACACTAACAGCATATTGCATTAACAAACATTAAATACAATACAATATAATAACAATTAAATATAGACTTATTCTTCTTAATATTTTAACTTCTTCTTATAACTTAATACCTACCCCCAGCGGGGGGGGGGGGGGAAGTTTACTGTTAGTAATGAGGTCTAACAGTTCCATTGTTACAATATATCTTATCATATTGAACTTTACGTGGTTCCTCCTGAAAAACACTATGGTTGCCTAATTCCTTGGAATTTATCACCAGGGACTAACTAACCTCACCTCACCAGTGTATATCGATAGAGTAGGCAAAATTACTATTTATTTTATACCCATTAAAAAAATATGTACCCCACTGCTGTTATTTGAATGTTTCGGGCGAAAATGTACCTAATGAAATGCAGCTGAGTTGCCTAGCGATAAGAATTGCCCGCCATTATCATAACTACTTACAGCATAATTAATTTTTGGTGGTGGATTTCATTGCTATACCCTAGTTCGTATTCTATGCCTTTATATTTTTAAATGAATGAAAACAAGCTTAAAAACAAGGCTTTTCAGCATAACAATGAATGGTAAGCATCATATTTTGAAATATTTATAACAGAAATGGAAAATAAAAATTAATACCCACAGATATCAACAGTAGGATTCTATGCTATTATATAAAAAATATTAATGGGTAATAAAACTTTTGTTTTATATCGAATCGCATGTTTATTATGTATCCAATATGTAGATATCGAAGCTATATTATATTTCGGTTTTATCTAAACTAAATACACCAAAAATTTTCAGCAATTTTGTGTGATATTTATTTATAGCCTAAGATCCCACTACAAAATTTTGAATGTATATACAAAACTTTATAATGAAATGTATTATGCAATAAAAATCATATAAAGCGGTTACTAAAAATTTGGATTTTGATGAAAAATATATTTTATAAAATTTTGAAACAAAATATGGAGTATGAAGGTGGAAAGGTTTTAATGGTTGGTTATAGATTTATATACAATATATCGATTTTATGATTAATGTTTTAGTTCGCTAGCATAGAATTCTTTAATTAATTATCATAAATACCGGTACCGCTCATGTCTATAGGCGACGGTTACCACTTTCCATCAGGTGGGCCGTCAGCTTGTTGGCCATTCTAAGTTGTAAAAAAAAAAAAATTAAAACTGGCCGATAATTGCGACGTTACCACACTTCGGTAAGCTAGTTATGAATGCTCTTAAATGAAGTTCCGTTAAGAAGTTTAATACAGAGTTCAGAATTCAGCGGTGGGATCTTAGACTGTTACTAGCTTAGCTAACCAGTTAAGAAAAATTAAAAATATGACAATTGAGAATCGCTCCCATTACAAGCATATTTTTTTAACATAATGATTTTATTTTATAACTATGATAGTAACAAACTTAGCACTGAAATTAAAACTATGTTTTAATAACCATGACTAGTAAACTTAAGTACCTTTTTACGTCTCTTTAGTTACTTAAACAATAACAGTATAGTTTAATAACATTGTCATCCACACAATAGCTTTGATTACCGTATAAATTTAAACGACTTACGCTGCCTGTCATTGTCCACTCTCCATTACCATAACGCAGAGTACCTTCAAAAATTCCATTACCTGGCTCAGTACGTATTATTGTCATGATTTCTCGCGACTCTATCTTATCATCTTCAGACTTACTTGCAATAATTTCTGCTGCCTCTGCTATTGCCACAAGTTTGAGTTTAGCACATTTTTCATATTCTGACAACATTTTATTTAGGTATATCAATAGGTGCGTAGATGCTTCCACTGCTTCAGAACTGTTATTTGCTATATTATTGTCTCGATGACAGGTGCACCAGTGGTCTGTAATACCAGCCATTTTACATGTCCTATTACTAGGTATTGGCATAAATAGGCTAATACCTCTATCTTGTTCATAAAATGTTTTCTTTCTAGAGTTTAATTTTTCATTTTGTATATTGTCTAAGTCCATCAAATCCAATAATGTCGCATGTATATCAAATGGTGTAGCAAGTCGTTTACTATTTAGTATAATATTATTGTATGCTTCAGTATACGTTTCACGAAATGATGGTGGAACTAATATGAACACAAAGGGTAATCTTTCTTCTAAATGTCCTTGTTTTGTTGATCTTATACCGCCCCATCGTATGCCATGATCACTAACTAGGAATAAAATGGTATCTTTTAAGTAGTCCGATTTATCGAGTTTTTCAAAAAATTCTACGTAATCATTATCCATTATCATCGGATAGTTCAAATAATCGTGACTCATTGTAATTTCCCAAAAAAAGCCAAATAATCTCGAGGATTTTAAAGTAATTGTTAAATTTTCAATATAATTTAAAAGTACATTATAAAAATATTTGTTATTTAAACATAAATACGAATTGAAGTCGTGATTATTGCCAGCTTTTTTTTCAGCTTCATTTATAAATGTATGTATATAATAGTCCGTGGGTGTATTTATAAATCCTACCTTTAAGTAGTTAAATGTGCCTAAACTCGAGCTGTCTTCTCCAAAAGCTGTGTAAAATCCAGCTTGCTTATACCATTCCCAAATAAATGGGCAATTGTCAAATGTCGCTTTTTTGTATGGAATACATGTTTTTGTTAGTTCTTCAGGTGTCAAACCTAATAACATTGGAATTAGGTTCGGAAATGTATTATCGCCCACTTTATTATATCCAGCTAAATCTATTGCTCCTTTAGTTTTTAAATAGGCCAATGTTTTTGGCATTGTCCTATAAAAATTTAACCTTGAAACAGCATCTATTCCTAATATTAAAATGTTGTATGTCATTTTGTTACTTGATATTTCTTTTTTATCATCATGAATTAAAATTTTTTTCTTAAGAGCAAATAAAAAAAAGTCATCATAAATTAATTGTTCTCCAAGACTACAATTGACTCTTACGAATTCGTCGTTTACTTCAATTTCTTCAGAAAAATTAATACAGTCCTGATATTCTATTCTGTCATCAACTCGAGATGATTGGACGTCTTCTACAAAGTTCGGGCGATAAAATGCTCTATAACAACATATTAACTTGACGTCCTCAAGACTGTAATTATATTCCGACATAATGTTTTTATTTATCCAGATATGCGTTTGATTATTTTCTATAAGAGAAATGTTGTGTTCTTTACATTTTTTTAATGTTTTAGGATACTCTACAAACTGTTTGATACTCTCATCGTATGCATTCATTCCAGGAATAACGCAGCCGTCAGTTTCAATTGTGAAATGTCTTTTGTAATCCAATTGTTCTTTATCTTTTAAGTATATTTCATTATTGAAATATAAGTTTTTATTACAATTCATTAGAAGAATGAAGAAGCTTCCACTACAGAGAATGGATATAAGTAATAAATATCTGAAACGTGTTTTTGCTATCGTATTATTGCTTGCAATTATTGTGATTCTGTCTCGAACCATACTGAAAATTAAGAAATTTAAATTATTTTTTTTGTTGAGATAAGAAGTTTTAAATATTTATTTATTTTACACTTTGTTGCATTAAGTAAATAATAATAAATACAGTAAATATTAATGAGAAGTAATACAAAAGGCAACCTTATCGTTAAGCAACCTCTTCCAGACAACCTTTGGATAGAGGACATTGAGAAAAAGACAAAAGGTAGGTGGCGCACTATTATGAATATTTTAGGTCCTTACATATGAAATTAGCGTTTTATCGTACTGACCACTTTGATCTGAAATATTTCCTCATTGGTTAATTTAAATTTATTAATTCATTCAGCTAATACCTTTGAGTTTTGAAAACAGTTATTCATTTGTTTTTTCTCATTATTTTTTTCCTTGGCGTCGCTTATTACCGCACAATGAAAAACATGAAGTATCGGTATATTTACGACTATGAGTTCTACTGTGGCACCAGTGCTGCAGAAACAGCTCGAAGATTAATGATGTGTACGGCGCTGGTGTTGCAAAAGAAAGCACGGTACGTTTTTGGTTTTAACCTTTTCGTTCTCAAGATTTTGACCTTCAGAACCAACCCCGTGGACGGCCAGAGAACAAAGTGGAAAATGAAGAATTAAAGGGTATTGTTGATGTGGATCCATTACAAAGCACTTCAGAGATAGTTGCAGGCTTCGGAGTAAGTGATAAAACTGTATTAATCCATTTGAAGCAAATTCGGAAAGTAAACTTGAACGATGGGTACCTCATAAATTGAGTGCATCGAACTTGAAAACACGCGTTGACTGCTGTGTGACTTTGCTCAAGTGACACAATAATGAAGGGATTTTAAATCGAATCATTACTTGTGATGAGAAGTTGATACTGTACGATAATCGGAAGCGCTCGTCGCAATGGCAGAACTCTGGAGACCTAGCCAAATCCTGTCCTAACCAGAAATTGACTCAGAAAAAGTTACTTGTGAGTGTTTGGTGGATTAGCGCCAGTGTCGTTCACTAGAGCTTTCTAAAATCTGGCAAAACGATTACGGCAGATATCTATTTGTCAGGTCTACTTCAAATTTCAATTCCGATGCGGCAGTCCAAACCGCCTTCAAAGAGTTTATTGATCCTTGCCCTCATGGTTTTTTTAGTATAGGAATCAATGAACTACCTATGAGATGGCAAAAGTGCATAGTTCGATTAATTAAATATATTTTACAAAAAAAAAAAATACTTTGTATACCTTCCGTACAAAACGCCAATTTCATATGTAAGGACCCAATATAATGTATTATTTTACTTTTCTATGTAAAAAGGATTTCTTTATTCAAGAAATGTGAATAGATTAATAAAAAGACATTAATATGTCAAGTTATTATAAAAGTTAGCATTAATTAAAATTCAAAAATAGTATAAAACAGCTTTTGAATATCTTAGCAGTAGTTTCATTTAAACAACTTGTGCGTGGAAAAATGTTGAATAATGTTTAGTACCTCTTTAATTTAGTCACAAATTTATATATTATTCGCAATTTAAATGCATTTATAACAAAGTATAGTAATATCGCAATTATCTGTCAATTTTCAAAAAGAATAAAATTATTTCCAATGCACCTGATTAATTATTTAAAAAGTGCTCTACTAGCAAAATAAAGCGTTAATCATAGAATACACTGCATAATAATTTTACTATTTAAAAACTTTGCACTTACTTTAAATTTTGCTTTGGAATTTTTTTAATATTTTTGTCATTAAAAATCCTAATTTTCAGTGATAGCTTAATGTTACTAGTAATAAAGCCACTAGTGCCCATTATCAACAATTACCATTATAGTATAAATAATATATCTATACTGAGAAATAAATGCCTACCTTAAAGATCCTGATTTAGTATATGAGGATGTTTAATATACGATGTTAACTACGATACTACCTTCCTTCATATATAGCAGAATAGTACTGATATTAATGACTAAGTGAGTATTTAATAAATAGAATGTAGTAACAATATCTACAGGTGCATATCGATAGCTATATACAGGTGCATATCGATAGCTATATGTGAGTAAATATTTTCAGATTCTTTACTAGCCGTTTCCTGCAGAATAAGCTAATTATTCTGCAGGAAACGGCTAAAATAATAGCTAAAAGAAAAAGCGTATAACTAATTCACGCAAGCTTTGCCTGCGTGAATTAGTTATACGAAATACACACATCAAAAAAGTACACACACTATTTTAATCAATTATTATATAATTTCTTACCAAGTAGGTAATACCTATGTAAACTTTTTTGATCTAGAGGATATATTGGCTGGTTGTAAAAAAAATCGAGTATCATTTGTTTTTTTTTTTCACAAATTCAAAAGCGAATTTCATAGCGTATTCTTTGCTTATTAAAATTTTATATTCTGTATAAATTTTATGATTTAAACAATAACTTAAAAAGTTTTGAACAAATTTGCATTTTGAGACATTTTTTTACGTCATGGAGCGACGTCATTTGAACGCAGATGAAAGAGCAAAGAGCTGTAGGGATATTGCAAGCGGGAAGAAGTCAATCTCAGGTATCTCGGTATTTTGGTGTCAATAGAAGCGTTATTTGCCGTCTTCATCAGCGTTACACTAACACGGGAGATCCTGCTGAGCAGCACACAGGTCGAGGAAGGTGTACAACCACACGGCAAGATCGATACATACAACTGACTGCAAGACGTCAGCCGATGTTAACCGCCCGAGAGATAGGTTTAAGGCTAAATCCAAGTGGTATTGTTGTTAGCTGCCAAACTGTGCGAAATCGACTGCATGAGTACGGCCTACGAGCACGACGGCCAATTATGTACCCACCGATACGTCACAGGAATCGCGCTCGTCGAAATGAATGGTGTAGGGAATATATTACATAGACCCGGGAACAATAGGATAAAATTTTATTTTGCGATGAGTCTCGATTTGGGTTCAAGTGATACTATAAGGATAAGAATGTACCGTCGTCCTGGAAATACTGAAAGACTGAGGTGCGTTCAGGAAGTGCATCCATACAACGGCTCAACAGTTATTGTATGGGCGGGTATTATGAAGAACAGACGAACTGAGCTCGTTTTTGTAAATGGTAACATGAACGCTGTAAATTACGGTACATTAACGCTTGGCTCCGATTTCACGTTGATGCATGACAATACGTGTATACAGCTTTGCATACACGGGAGTACTTGGCAAGGGAAAACATCCTGGTATTGCCTTGGCCTGCACAATCGCCAGACCTCAACCCTATCGAGCATGCATGGGACATGCTCCAGAAACATGTTTTAAAGAACTTGGATGGAGTGACAACAACCCAACAACTGATAGACTTACTAAAATTTCATTGGGAGCAATTGCCGCAGGATAACATTAATAGTCTCATCCATTCTATGAATAATCGGTGTCAGCAAGTTCTTGATAACAGAGGAGGCTACACTTTGTATTAATTTATGCAAATTTTGTAAAACCATTTAATTTTAGTTTAAGTTTAGTTGATTAGGCACCTTACTTTGTATTACGTACATACTGTACTTACTTGTAATTATTGTTAATTAAGATTATTAAAAAATAAATAAAAAAAACAATTGTTGTTTAATATTAAAAAAGCATTAAAAATAATATAACTAAGAACAGTGCCGGTTTTAGTACTACCAGCGCCCTGGGCGAGATTTCTACGGCGCCCCCTAACTGCAATTCAAATACGAAATAAGGCGAAGGATAATAATGAAATAACTATTTATGAAAAGAAATAAACATTTATTAAAAAAACTAATAAAATTTTACTTTTCTAGCCTTTCTATCGGCGAACTCTTTTATTAAGTTATCAAAGTCGATGTTTTCAGCAATTTCATTTTCGATTGACAAAGTTGCCAAGTTTGTCAATCTAGATTGAGATATTGTCGATCGCAGATACGTTTTTATTAGCTTAAGCTTAGAAAAACTCCTCTCTCCACTAGCAACCGTTACGGGAATAGTTAATAATATTCGTAATGCTATCCAAACATTTGGATATAGTTCTTGTAAGTTGCGGTCTTTGATAAAATTTAAAACAAAAACAGTACTCCTGTTTCTACCACTTTCTGATCAGGCAAAAACGATTTCAGACTTACGAGTTCATCGCACAACATACATCCATCTATATCTGATTTGGAATTTACATTTAATTTCAATTGAAGATCACTACAGAGTTTGATAAGGTCGTGTTTTTCTGGAATCTGTTTTAAATTGTACAAAAAAGACCAAGATTCCGAGTACTCACATAACTGTTCAAATCTTTCGTTGAGTGAAGTTAACGTCGTGTCCAAAAGACAGTTGAAAAATTCAACCTCAAATTTTTTTTCTGGAGAAGTTATAGGCTCATCTTGGGCAGTTTCATCAGCTTAGCGCTTAACACGTCGAATTCTTGTTACCGCTCTAAACACAGGTTCTATTTCTAACTCTTCAGCCAATTCCTTCGCAGTTAAAATGGCGCTTTTAAAGCCTGTATTTCTATATTCTTCCAAGAAATTGCAGCATTTTTTCAACATGTCTGTGCATTTACCGAGATCCATGTCTGTTGATTGTAGAGATTTACTAACGACATTAATTTGAAAAAGTATGTCATACCAGACAACCAATGAAACTATGAAGCCGAAATCTTTTAGCTGTTCGGCTAGAGTAGTAGCCTCATGAGAGACTTGAACATCAGTTTGCTGAGTTTCAATAGCCAAAGTGATTAAAGCGTCATGGACGGCGCTAATTTGATAACGGACTGCTTTAACACTGCCTATTCTTGCTTCCCAACGCGTGTCACTGAGTTTTTTTATAGTGTACAATCCCAAGTGATCGGTCAGAATTTTCCATCGATGAACAGAAGCTGAAAACAACGTAAACAACCTCTGAAGTACTCCAAACAAAGTGACAGATTTTACAGATGACTTAGCGGCATCGCATAGTACGAGATTGTAGCTATGACAGCCACACGGTACATATACAGCTAAAGGATTTATGTCCAGAATTCTCCTTTGAACTCCAATATTTTTTCCTTTCATGTTTGCTCCGTTGTCATAGCCCTGACCTCTACAATCGTTCAATTCCAGTTCGTATTTATTTAAAATATCAATAATAACTTCAGTCAGCCTTTCACCAGTCGACTCATTAACAGGTATAAATTCTATGAAATGCTCTTTTACTGATATTTTATCGACATCTGATGATAAATCAACAAATCGTATTGTCAGTGAAAGCTGACATGACTAATGTCCGGAGTACAGTTAGCTATAATAGAATAATATTTCGATTTCTTTGCACGTGATATGATTTCTGACTTCACTTTTTCACCCATCAGCTCTATTAATTCATTTTGAATGTCTTTTCCGCAGTAGTGGTCAGAAACATTACCCTTTACAGCTAATCGCAAGTGCTCCTCCATAACTGGATCAAATTTGGCTAGTAGTTGTACTAAACCTAAGAACTTTCCATTATTTGGCGTATATAGTTTGTCGGAAGTACCTCTAAACGCCATATTGTTTTCAGCTAAATACAGTGTAATATGCATTAATCGACACAAAATATTATTCCATCTTGTAGTTTCCTTTCTAATCAAATGTTGCTCTTGACAATCTATTGTTTTTCCCGTTTTTAATCTTAGTTCAGCCTCAATCCATGAGAGGTAAAACTTCTTATGAAAAGTGCTATTTTCATGAACTTTTAACATTTCTGATAAGTGTTTCCAGTCGTTATATCCTTCAGATGCTAAATTCGACGTTGAGCTGCTATCAAATAGCCGGCAACAAAAACAGTAAACTCGATTTTTAGAAACTGAGTATATTAACCAACGACGCTGAATTATTTCATTGTTTGCAAGTTTTTTGGTAAAATGAGAATTTGAGAAATGTCGCCCTGTATCATTCTTTGGATAATTATCAATGTGAGTTTGCACTGGGCCATTAGTTATTATATGGTCAATAATTTTGCTATTTCGAGTGAGTGGCCAAGTGGCTGGATCCGATATATTTGGAACAAGAGAACTAACGTCATCTAGAATTTGTATTTGTTGTACATTACCAATAGTGTCATCCTGAGCAGCATCTGTAATTGTAACACAACTTGTCTCCTCACTTCGGGAAACTTCGTCCACAATCTCTTCAACAGCTAACTGATCTGACTTGTCAGACAGAGACTCCACTACCGATGCATTCGCTTGTATTTCAGATGTAGATGCCACATTAAGGTCTTGATTTTTTGTTGTGATATATTTGCCTATATTCATAAACTTTTTTGTTTTTTCAAATTCCTTCTCTTTTTCTGCTTTTCGTTTTCTATATTTTGACCCAGATGGTTTTCTTTTGAAAGGATCAACGTGTTCAGACATTTTGTACTAATCAAATCTGCAACAAATTAAATCTGCGTAAGTCCGATCATTTCTATAAATTAATTAAATATAACGCTATTGAGTGAGGACGACCAAAAACGCTTTATATTCAGGAAAGCGTTAGCATACACGTGAACTACGATCGAAAAATCTAGGTAAGGTAATATTGTCATGGCAGCGGAATAATTGTGAAATGTTATATTTAAAAACTTGTGTTACGTGATAGTGCTTAGATTTGTATGAAAAAAATCACGATCATCCACTCGTTCCCGAAAAAATGACTTCTATGTACAGTCAGATGCAAAAGTCGGTGGACACTTTTCACCTTTAACACAAAGGCTTACGAATGAACAGTGTTCATCCACTTTTACACTTGACCGTACCTCCTCGACATTCATTTATTATCTCCGTGTTAAAATTTCATCAACATTATATAGTCAGTTCCAGAGATATTTTATAATATATAATTTACTTTAAATAGATTACCCCACTCCAAACATAACATAAACAAACAAACAAATGTTACCTCTTTAGTATAATGAGTAAAGATAGTTAAAATAAAATTGTACTTACCTAATTAGTGAAATAATCCGTCATAAAGCAAATACCTACTTAAACACTATTTGTATTTCAACTTTTTGGATAAAACCTATGTCACTCTGTAGTCGGCGACAAAAAGTAAAAAACATGCACTTCGTAACTTAGCGTGGACCGCCTGATTACTGCGTCTGTTTGTTTTAAAATATGTAATTGCGATAACTGTACAGATGGGCAAAGCACCGGGTTTAAACCCGGTGCTTTGGTAAAAACCCAATAAACACCCATAAACTCCCATAATCACCCAAAAAAATAGGTTTTTACGTATTTTTTTGAAAATATGTAAGTAATACCAATAAATTATTTTTATAAATTGTATTGATCAATTCTACAATATTAAATAAAACGTTAACTAATAATATTTCAGGAAATTTTAAAAATCTATATATAATAAAATGAAAGTAATTAATTTTCAGTGTTTTCATGTTGCAGTTGATCAACATGTTGGCCTTTTGCTTCCCGTAGATACTTTAAAATTTCTTCATAACACCTCGTTCGCACACATGGCCGTATATATTTAAATTCTTGAGCCACTAACAGTCCGAAATACTCATTTCTTTTATCCTCTTCTCCATAAATTAAGCATTTAGAACAGTTTGTTTCTTCTTTCAGTAAATTTTCTTTTACTTTATCCTCGTTTTTTTTCTTTGTTGCGACGACGCTGGGTAAATCATCTGGACACTGGGTCTCACTATCGCCAAATATATTTGGAGATCGGCTTCGGCTACGGCTTGGCAGACATTTTTTTCTTTCTACAATTTTAAATTAAATTTATTAGAATAAATGCTTCGAACACACGCGATCTAAGTACCTTTTGTGTTTATTATACCTTACCTACCTAGGTATAAAAAGAGTACTTACGTAGATTTTCTTTTATTAACTGTTTTATACGAAGATCTTGATCTCTCAAATTAGCATCCATTTTACTTCCAGTGATTATCAACTAAATTAATAATCCACAAAGTATTAAATAACGTTTTTATGAAATATTTAGCACAAAAACAATACCCTTTAAATATCGATCGTCAGTAACTGTGGCTGACTTACCTATATTCTAGCAAGCAGGACTGCCAGATGTGAAGGGGAAATCCCCAATAAATTGTTGCATGTGACTGATGATGTGAGCATGTTCGTTTCATAATAAAAATGTTGCCAGGTAACCAAAAAGTCGTATGTTTTTGTGCGAATTACGATCATAATCTTTACGATCGTACATTAAAAAATAGACAAATAATAGTATGAGTACGATTTAAATCGTATATCTGTCAACCCTGCTAGCAAGACAGCGACAAAATCACGTTGCATAACAATGTAGCCCAAGCTTATATCTTATGAAATATACGGAAGAGATACGGACTTAGAAAAAACAGAAATGTTGTTCTTTGTGGAAGTCATTGATGAAATTCTATGTATTTTAGCCCGCAAACTTTCTTCAAACAAAAACAGCGCCATCTAGTATCGAGTTCTGTAATTATCTCTTTGTTTATGGATTTGAAGTAAGACCGCCACGCATGCAATACATTATGACTGGGGATTCCCCTATTCGTCGACGCTGAATATGAGGCGACGACAATCACTGTCAAACGTGTTCACTATTACTCTGACTCTGGTAACGTGACTTCCTGGTAACGTGTTAGGTAGGAAAAGCAGTAAAAAAGTGCATATTAAGGGAGCAGATTTGAAATAATATTTATACTTAACAAGAAATAATTAAAGGTAAGTGGATTTTTGAATGATACAATTATATCATGATCACTTAACAATTTTAACTTAAAATTAGATGTATTATTACAAGCTTTTATTTAGCTTGCGTTATGTAAATAAAAGTATGTTCGTATGTTGATGCAATTATCCTCAATCCTCAACCGACTGGGATAAAATTTTCCATACACGTTTATTTTGGATGATAGTGCATAGTTAGCTGAGAGTCGTCATTGGATAATAATGGTGGATAGCCTAAGATGTGTACTAGATATTTATTTTTAACATAATATGCGTAAGTACCTAATCGAATTAAAGAAGTTGCTGAGAAAAATACAGAACAATACGATAATAAACTAGCGTCTGCGTTTAATCCTCCGAGGAGATGTAATTTTACAAAGGTTTTTTGTATTTATTTTATTATTTTTTTAATAAATTTATTGCAAATAACAAGAAATAATCATTGTAAAAAAATAGGCACTCTATTGTTGAATTTTCGTCAGACCAACTAATCATCGTTCATTTTTTAGGTTCAATGGGGAGACCTAAAGATTTACGCATATGGGAGCACTACCGTACTTTACCAAACAAGTCTGTTTCTTGCAAGCTTTGTAATAAGGTCTACAAATTCAGTAATGCTGCCAAAATGCTTCAACATCTTATCACTTGTCCAAAATCTCCAGAAACATTAAAAGACTCTATGAAACTTATAAAAGATAGCTCGTCCAAAACCAAAATGTCTGGACTGTCAGAGATAGAGACAAATGATTCTTTTATAAGCCCCTCGTCGTCTGCTAACACTACAATAAATGCTGAGTTTCAAGACACCGATGATCATATAAAAACAGAATTAGCGAGAGCTATATTTGTAACAGGGACGCCATTATCGATGGTGCAACATCCTTTATGGATACAATTTTTCGAAAAATTGCAACCAAAATTTAAAATACCTTCACGTAAAGCTTTAGCGACAAAATACTTAGATAAAATATATAGAGAAATGCGTTTTGAGTTAAATGAGGAACTAAATGCTTGTAGTTACTTACACCTTCAGTGCGATGGCTGGTCTAATTTAAGAAATGAAGGAATAATAAACTTTCTTATATCAAAACCTCAACCTGCATACGTTAAAAGTTTGAATACAGAAAGTAATCCTCACACTAGTGAATACCTTAGCCAAGAAGTTGAAAAAGTAATGAAAGTGTATGGAGCAAATAAGTTTCTTGTACTTATTGGCGATAACGCTAGAAATATACAAAAGGCATTCGAATTAACAAAACTCAAATATCCACATGTTGTTCCTCTCGGTTGCTGTGCACATATCCTTAACTTGTTGTGCCAAGATATTGTAAAGATACAAGAAGTAACTGTGTTTATTATGCAAGCCATAAATATAATAAAAACTGTTAAAAGGAGTCAACGATTAAGTTCCTTGTTGATAAAATCAAGGCAGGGTGAAGATTCTACACAAACACTAAAATTGCCTTGTGCTACAAGATGGGGAAGTCATGTTACTTCGTTAAAAAGTTTGAAAGCAAATAAGATAGCTTTGCAAATATTAACAGTTAGAGAAGATGTGGTAATTTCAAGAGATATTAAAGATTTAATTCTAAGTGATGATTTCTGGACGAAGACAGGGGAATGTATAAGTATTTTGGAACCAGTCACTGAAAGCATATTTTACTTAGAGAGCGACCAGAATCGTTTGCATCGCACATACATTACATTTAGAGATGTACAAGCTAAGATACGTTTTGCATTAAATGAGATTTCGACATTGAGCGAAGAAAGCAAACAGCAGATTCTAACATCAGTATCTTCAAGATGCAATATGGCAATGAGGCCAATACATTTTGCAGCATATATTCTAGACCCCAGGACTCTAGGAGTCGAACTTACTCAAGAGGAAGAACTTAAGGGTATGGAGTTTATCTACAATTTAAGCCAACACTTAAGTTTGTCAAATGTAATGGCAGATTTGGCGTGTTATAAAGCTAAAGAAAACTTTTGGGCCAGAGGATTTGTATGGAGCTCATTAGATAGCATTGAGCCCCTAATATGGTGGAAAGGTATTTGTGGTTCCACTGAGTTAAGCAAAGTAGCGATTCGTATTCTATCAGCTCCCTGTACTTCGGCAGCCACTGAGCGTTCCTTTAGTATCCAAGGCTACATACATAATAACAAAAGAAATCGACTTACAACTGAAAGAACTGAAAAAATTTCATTCATTTGTTATAACTGGAATCTTAAACATAAAGCTGAATGCGAGGACATTCAGTTTAATGAAGAAAATACCTTAGAAGCTTTCATTGAGCAAGTAAATGAACATAACAGTTTAGACGAAATAGAGCCTATCGAACCTATACAATTCATCGCTTGTAATAACTCTGAATCTGACAGTGATTGACTGTAGTTTTACATTTTACTTTCATCTCTTTCTTAATAAACTCAAAATCAAATTAAAAGTTTTTTATTCTGTAGGCTGCATAATAATATTGTCTATGTCCAGTATAGTGGACGTCTTGCGGCTGAGATGACGATGATGAAGTACAAAATCATAAACACCCAAAAATTTGGGTGTTTATGGGGTTTAAACCCAATAAACCCAAAACACCCGGTTTTTACCCACCAGACTTTAAACCCACCCAGGTGGATTGCCCATCTCTAGATAACTGTTTTTAAGTGCGTGCATCGATTGAATGAATAAGAATGAGCTGTGTTCCGCTCCATCAAAAATAACGCCAACTCTTTTAAACTAAAATGTTAAAAAGAGATAGATAATGTGTTTCTCTGTGGTCGGGGATTCCCAGTAAAATGAACTGTATGTATGTAGTGCTCCGACTGAACGGATTGAGCACTGCGTTCCATTCTAGTGTTGCCAACACATCGTTTTTTTTTTTTCGCTTACAGAGATGGGAATATAAAGGGGCGCCGCTTAACGGCGCCCCTTAAAGTCCGGCGCCCCTGGGCGGTCGCCCAACTGCGCCCTACCCTAACGCCGGTACTGACTAAGAAAATACTAATGATTTAATGCGAAAACACATTGTAAAATTGAAATTTGTGTGTTGCTTAGACTTTTTTGATGTGTATATAAAAAAAATCAGTTTAAAACAAATGTCTATTTGTATTGGTTGTTAAAAGGATACTAAGTTGATTCTAATGAGTAAATATACATAAATGTACCTATACGTAAATAGCTATAAAATATTACTTAGTGAAAATAAAGTATTTGATTTGATTTAGTTTATATAAAATGTATATATTATATTTTTTTTTATAATTCTTTATTGTACAACACATAGAAAAATTTGGTGTATAATAGAAATATACAGTAGGTGCACAGGTTTTAGAATGTGCAAATGAAACCCTTTCATTTGATCCCTTTTGAATACTTTTGGACCTTCTCCCCTAGCAAAGAAAATAAAAATGTAAAACTACTTCTGTTGCAATATGTGTGGGCTAACAATAGTAGTATAGTATAGTTGTTTAGATAAATGTAGTGTGATAGACGGACGGACAAATTGCATTCTTGATTTTTTGTATCTTTTTGGTATGTATTAAAAATAATATATAGTATCATTTTTATCTAAAAATTAACAGTTCCTCACACATACCAATGATATGAGTTTGCATTATCTATGTGATAACAAATCAGGGGATTATACAGTACGGGGAACTACCACTTCACATTACAATACAGCATTATGGTAGTTTCATAGCGTATCAGTGCTACTATTGTCGTATGTTGTGAGTGTGAATAATACAATAAAATATATATTATTATATAAATATCAAACTTCAAAGATTGAACTAAAAGTAATCCTTTTTTTTAGCTGAATATATTACAGAGCGTCATTTAGTCGTAAACTAAGCAAATATTATTTAGACTTGATCTAAAATTTCATAAAAAAAGATCATCATACTTAGATATACGAGTATATAAATAGCCAATAAAATATAACGCTAAACGTCTTTGTATTGCCAGCTTTTTGTTCCGTAGATGCATAAAATACGTTATAGATGATTACTGCTCCGATAGCATAGACATTAGTGCTGGCGTCGACAAGGTATCCCCAAAGCTGTTTTTGCAGTGCATCAATGATTGGTTACCCTTTATTCATTGTTTGTGGATGACAGTACTGAGGATGTCCATTACATGGGCGGTAATAATATCCCTCGTACCATTGCGGAGGACAATCGTGAATATCTTTTGTCTGAAATAGAGCGAACGCTAGCCGTCAGGCTCTTCGATTGGGTACGACAGAAGTTACTCCAGTTTAACCCCGATAAAAAACAAGCTTTCGCGTTCACTACTTAAAAATACCATTTGCTGTGGCTACACAATTCCATTCCCTTATCATTTCTAAGAGTATTATAATTATTAGTAGCGATATCTTGACGTACAGTTCCGGGTCTACTTCAAAGATAAGATGAAGCTGACATTCAAAAAAGTCGGTGTGCTTAATAGAGCGAAGCAGTACTTCACGTCAGATCAACGGCTATTACTTTATAAGTCACAAATTTGGCTCCATATAGAGTATGGTCGTCGCTTATGGGAGGGAGCACCTAGATATTAGCTAGAACTTTTTGACTCAGTGCAACGATGTACTATTTTTTTTTATACTACTGAGGTGACAAACAAGCATACGGCCCACCTGATAGTAAGTGGTTACCCTAGCCTATGAACACCTGTAATACCAGAGGTATTACGCGTGCGTTGCCAACCCTAAAGAAACCTCTTTACCCCCCTTTTGAAGAACCCCATGCTGTAGTCTCTTGGGAAAAACTCGGCAGGGAGCTCATTCATTTAAATTGAGAAAATTCAAAATATCCCTACACTATGTTGATGTGTGTGATTTTGTGGAAAATTATTTTAAAAGTGCAGTTAGTTAATTTTAATCTCATAAAAGAAGATAAAAATAATATAAACTTTACTCGTAATTTTGGGTTCGTAATTTTTGTAAGCTTGTTCCAACAAGTGCGAATAGACAATAAGATTGTAATCTTAAATTGTAACACAAAATAACAACATTCACTGTCTATACGAAACAATGAGAATAAAATTGTAAGCTTATATTAGTAAAGGTTGCAATTTTAATATATTGCTATTTTACAAATTTCCTCAATAATTTATTTAGATTTTAAACAAAGTTTATAATATGTCTTGAGCTCTCAATTTTATATCTAACTAAGTATATTCCTCGGCAAAAAATCTCCAAATATTGGTTTATTATTATAAAATGGTAAGTTTTCGGGGAAGGCGATTTATAGGTACTTACTAGGTTTAATAGTACACATGTAAGGAAATATCACGAATTTTATTAATAAAAAAGTTATTAAAAAATGAAATAAAATTAAATTAGTACCTACTTCTAAATATATATTAATTCAAATTACGTAAATTTACTTACTTTTTGTTTAATTTCAACGAGGTTTTTATAAAAGTTTTTAAAAATTTTATTTTACAATTATTCACACATGTAAGGAAATATCACGAATTTTATTAATAAAAAAGTTATTAAAAAATGGAATAAAATTAAATTAGTACCTACTTCTAAATATATATTAATTCAAATTACGTAAATTTACTTACTTTTTGTTTAATTTCACTTGCGCTTATAAGTATTTTATTTACAGCATTTATACAGCTGTGCTAATGAGAACTGACTTAAACAGTTTTACATTTTATGTCTTATATGTCTCATGTTATTTGTCCTTACAAGCAATTAGGTATATTTTTCAAGTGGCTTATGTATATTTTATTCTTATGAAATTTTACGGAGCATGGAGTGAGGTCGGACCATGTCGTGCAATCTTTCACGCTTACGCTATATTACTCGTATATTCATCTACATAGTCGTATGTAAAAAAAGGTAATTAAAATATCTTATGTAGGTATCGAATTTTGTTTTATAGTTGTGTCCGACACTATTCGTGTGATAGAGATAAAAAGTAGTAATTTTTGAAAAATGCAATAACTGCGATACAAATATATATATATATATATATATATATATATATATATATATATATATATATATATATATATATATATATATATATATATATATATATATATATACATATTTTTAGAACTATACATGAAAATTTATCTTACTACAATTATTATATTCGATGGAAATTTTGCAGCCCTATTGCGGCATATAAAAATCGCGATTACAAAATAGGGATTGATCGTAAAAGAATGAAAATTTGAAGTTGTATGTATTATTCAATGCTAAATCATAATAAAATAAAAATAAAAAATATTGACAAAAAAATAAAAAAAATATTTAGGGGTGGGTCACCCTTATCATTGAGGGGTATGAAAAATAGATGTTAGCCGATTCTCAGACCTACCGAATATGCACACAAAATTTCATGAAAATCGGTTAAGCCGTTTCGGAGGAGTTTGGTAACAAACACCGTGACACGAAAATTTTATATATATAAACGCGTGCGTGCGTGCGTCAACCGTCGCACCGGTCAAACTCCTGGGTCATCCTCCTTACAGCCCTGACTTAGCACCGTGTGACTTCTTCTTATTCCCAAAAAAATCAGCTCAAAGGCATACCTACAATTTTCGTCGCCGGATGAAGCGCTCTCAGCGTTCGAGCCGGCTGTAAACGAGGTGTCTGCGGGGACTGGAAAAAGTGTTTCGAAAACTGGTTCAGATGCATGAAATTTTGTATAGAGTCTAGTGGAGAGTACTTTGAAAAGATATAATTAAAATATATTTTTCTCAAACATGCTTGGAAATGTGAGCATTATTTTGACAATCTTCTTCGAGATAAATCAAAATTGCCGTACTGGCAGATACATGCGGGCAGCGGCCGGCAAAAGTTGTGTGAAAATCGATATCTGTCGTGTTTTGCGGCCAGATAAATTACTATGTAAACTCATATCTGTCCTGTAATTTAAAAATGGAATGACCTTTTACTTCGAAACATGGCTACCAAGGAAGTAACTAATAAAAGGTTTTATTTAAATTTCGAACTGGCTTGCATATAGAAAGCTGTTTATTGAAAAAAAAAAAACGAAAGGAACATTATGGCGCGTGAAAAATTATTATTGTTCGTTATTCGTCATTGAACTTAAAAAGTAAAATTGTGTTTTTGATTTCCGCGCATTGTTTGAGAAAAGTACTATACAAGCTTTGGCCACAGCTAGGCATTGATGGACTCACGTATGTGTGCCTCGGCTACGCCTCGGCCCACATTTGCACGTTCGTCCATCAATGCCTCAGTTGCTGGCCGCTGCAGTAATGTACTATACCTATAGAACATTTTTACCACGTATATAATAATTTTAATAATTATTATCGCAATTTGTATAATTATATTTTTACTAAAACTTACTTTCATTACTACTACTATCAAAAATTGGTAATATGTATTTACTAAATTTTAATTGGCAACACTCTTGCTCAATAGCAAAAATAAAAGATATTCCAACAATCGGGTCGACTCGGCTGTGTTCGTGTCGACTACATCAACGACCAATAATGAATGAAATTAGTAGTCGAATAATATTAGTAAAGTCAGGCCGCTCAGAGACTGCGTTTCTGACATCTGTCAATGCGTCCTGACTAGTTATGTACCATAAATAAGATTAATAATATTTAGTTACGTTATTTATTGCATTCATTATGCAATAAATAATAATTTAAAATAAAAAAAGCAATTTAAAATAATATATATATTGTATTAAAAAAAAATTATTCAATTTAATATATATTTTGTTGTTTTTATAAAAATTATATTTAAGACACAATGATAATAAAATTGTTGATGAAAGATCTAAATTAAATCGTAATTTTTTAATGTAACGAAGGGAAAGAAAATAAAAATGCTGTATTTATTGGAAAATGTATATAATGAAATACTTAGTTTTAAGCCTTAAATAATGAAGACTACGTCAAATCAAAATTTAATCCGACTCCAATTCGCTTGAGAACTCGCTATCATCTTCACTAACATGTATTATTATATTATTGTCAATCATAGTATCTATACAGATATCGCAGTCAAAGTTACCAAATATAATCATTTTAGTTTTTTTAACCATCTTCATCCAGTCATCTCTTGTGACTTTCTCGCATGCGTTTTTTAAAAGCGTCTTTTTTATGCCATACGGTGGAGAAGTATTATGGCGGGCTGCATTACCTTTAATTTAAAGCCAGATTAGTTCTATGGTATTGCACTGGCAGTGATATGGAGGAATTCGAAAAAGGCGATGACCGTACTCCAGAGCCAGCTCATCTATTTCATTTTAGTTGTCATTTTTTACCAGAAGTATAAAGTAGTATTTTTTTTTAAATTCATCAGACTGATATCACGACATTTATTTTCTTAAGTTTTGTTTGGGCTTACCTGTATCGTATTATAAACTTTATTAAATATGTATTAAGTACATTATATATTATAAAATTATAACGTTTTATTTAGCAATATACCGACCGACAGATTATATATTATTTTACAAGAGGGAGACTGTACAAAAGTCGTTTGCTAGGGTATCTTTGTCCATTCGTGTTTCAACCGTAAAGAAGTTGTGTTTGCATGGCTGTATTCGGGTTTGAAGGGTGGGATATGGCGTGAATTTACTGGGTACAGAGGAATAACATCTGAGTCCTCAGGAATGGCAACGCATGGGGGGTATCATGAACGAAACAGTATACTCTGTTATGTCCATGGTACTGTTTATGTCTATAGGCGACGGTTACCACTTTCCATCCGGTGGGCCGTCAGCTTGTTTGCCATTTTAAGTTGTATAACAAAAAAATATATCGATATTAGATTCAAGAATAAACCTGTAGTAATTTTTAGTTGTATAAAAAGTTGTTAAAGTTGTATAAAAAAAGATCACAAAAATATTTAATTACAATTGCCTCGTTATTTTGTCTCATCACTACAAAATTTTGCTGTAAATTGTACGCCAGTTCGAAGTTACATCGCCCATTCGATCACGATCTGTCAAAAACGCAATCTTTGAGCGGCCCGACATTAGTTGAACTATATTAGTATTTGGCTAGCATTACTAGTTGGATAAATAAAATTACTAATTTAATTATTTGAAAAGCATTTGAATATTCCGGATGATTTGCTCAGTTGAATCATTAGTAGTTCGATAACTAGTCGCGTATCGTTATTTTTGACATATATTGTAATTAGTAGGTAACTTTTTGTATTGTAGTTAAAAAAAAGTCAAAACACAAATACTCATAAAACTTTATACATATTTTGTAATTTAATTGTATTGTTTAAAAAAAAAAAAAAAACGTTAGAACACAAATACTGATAAAACCTTATGTCGCTGGATCAAAGTTTGTGAAGTTTAAACTACCTAGTAAAGTAGTGAAACATAAACAAAACCTACCTAATGAGAAGTAAATGGAACAATGGAGCTACGGAAACTAAACGAGAGTGCTAATATTGGGTCCATATCGTGTCCTGTTTGCAACAAGGAGTTTAAAAAAGAAATTATTGAAGACCATGTCAATAAATGTTTGTTTTTGAATACCCCGGAAAATAATGCAACAACTTGTAAAAGAAATAGTGCACATTTTAAAGACGTTTCGTCACATGAGAAAAAAATAAAATTAGATTCTATATCAACTACAAAAGCAAAGAAGGCAAGTGTTAATGTATTTTTTATTAAGAATTGACTATAAATCAAAATTTGTGAGATGCCATAAAACAGAGGTGTCTTATGGTAAATATATGAACAACAAAAAGGCAAAGCTTGTCTTTTTATGGCCCATATATTTAAATTTACTTGTCTGAATAAAGAGATTAAAAATGTATGTAAATGTTTTATGTTTCAGTCTTATGAACACCCTTATAATGGGGAAAATGGATTATTGGTAATAAGTATCTAACAGCCCCATGGCTAGCAATATATCCTGTCAGGTTGACCTCCACATAGATCCCCTGATAAATATTTTGGTAAATTCTTGTGAAATTTGTTAGGACGTGCTAACTGACCTGCTTTCATCCTTACCTATCATCCCTCACTGATGACCCATCAACATGTATTGATAGCACAGGCAAGGTTCCCATTTATTACCCATTCAAAAACACCCAGATGTTAAATACAAAAAGATTCACTTATTAAACAGAGAAGTACATTAAAACCCTTTTAGTATATTGTTTTTACTTGATTTCATTTTAAAATTCTAAATGTTTTCATGTAATAGTTGTAATGTTAGTAGTAATACTATTATTATTAAGTAACTGTCTAACTGTAGGTACCTAATTTTTATGCTTTAAAAATAAACTTAATGTTAATAATTATCTAGGGCTTCCCTTAATTGCACTTTATATGCACTATATTGATCAAGGGTTTTGTTAAAATAGTCTATAGTTTTGTGTAATATTTATATGTTTTCTAAAATTTATTATTAAATTTTCTATTTTTAAAAGTGGAAAAAAATACTATTATTATTCAGAAATACTATTATAATTCCATATTGCTGTGTCAACTTTTGTCTTGTTCCATCATCACATTATAACTCATAAATTTGAAGCAATCATAAATTTTGTATTTACTGATATGGTTTCCAGGAGCCTCAATCATCTAAATTAAATTCTAAAGTGGAGACAACCAAGGAGAAAGATGTTCCTCTAGCTGAACATATGAGGCCATTGACTCTGGATGATGTTGTAGGCCAAAGAGAGGCTTTTGGTCATGGTTCGATGTTGCGTGCAATGCTTGAGCAGAAAAAAATACCTAATATGATATTATGGGGACCTCCTGGTTGTGGAAAGGTAATTATAGAGCCAAAGTTATTTTTTTATTTATTTTTCTAGCACTCCATACCACTAATAATTGGGATATTATTTATATACCTTATAATTTAATTATGTATTTCATCACACTTGACTGTTTTTGCACAAGCAAACTAAATACAAATTAATTTTATATGTAAATCTTTTTATAATAATCATTCTATTATTTTGTAACATGAATAAATAAACTTACAAAATTAAAATTTTGCTTTTGGTCTTATTAATGTTTATAAATCTTTAACATAGTACCACATATGTAATGGTTATATTTTATTTTTGTTGTTTCATTTTTAGACATCAATTGCTAATGTAGTAGCCAATATTTGTAAGGAACAGAGTCATATGAGATATGTGAAGTTGTCAGCCACAATGTCTGGAATAAATGATGTAAAGGAGATTGTTAAAGTTGCTAAAAATGAGATCCAGTTCAAAAGGCAAACTGTGTTATTTATGGATGAAATTCACAGGTTGGTGCATGTAGAATGGAATTTCTGAAAACCCAGTCAATATATGACATCTTGATCTATTTATTATTAACTAATATTCATGTATATATCAAGTTCAATTAAAGCTTGTAGAGCTTTATGGGTTAATATATACCTAAGTGTATATAAACATTAAAAATATATGTCTTGCATTGTTAGCTATTTCAGGAACCTGCATATATATAAAATGTTGGGAAAGAAATGTTTCTAGTTTTGTAAATTTTTAGGTAACATTTTTCATGTGACATATTTGGCTGTTTTGGTTTGCTAATCTTTCAAACTGTATTTTGGATTTTATATAGTTATTTTCATATTGCTGCATGTCAATCTCATTAATACTTCATAGTGTGACAACTTACAATGTGTGAAAGAAATTACTGATGCAGGTAGCTTCAGCTTGTGCTTTCCCACTATGAAACAACAGTTGATGTGTGATGGGGAAGATTGACAAGATAAATGGGTGATAAATAAATAATTTCACAATTATTATTAGTAGTAAGTTTTTTAACAGAATAAATGTCTCATTTGATTATTTGGTTTGCTGATTTTGAAAACGATGTAGAGAGGGTTATTTTGTATAGTTTGGGTGCATTTACACTCTATACAGAATGGCCTGTTGTCTTTGTCTTGTTTGAATCTCGTTTGAATTAATAAAAATATGACGTAGAATTTGCAAAAAAAGCAGCTAACACCTTACAAACACTAATGTCTTTAGATTGCCTTTTTAGTATTGTCTAATACAGTATGCCCCCTTATAACACAGTACTCTTATAACGCGGGGATTGAACATTCTATTAAAAAAAAGATGTCGGTTGAACGTTATTTCAGATTGCTCCGAAAGCGAATAAAGTTGTAATAAAAATGTTAATTTATTTGAAATTAACTGCTTCTTAGTTACATATGCATAAGTGACACATTTTTCGTTCATAACATAGTTTTTTCTTAATATTCGATTCAAACCCCTTATAATGAGATAAATTAAACGTTAATCATTTGTACCTACATAACGCGTTATTCGGGGTCGTACAAGCGCGTTATACGAGAACACTCCTACAACGCATTTTCCTATAACGCGGAACGAATCTACCGTGTTACAGAGGGATTAATGTACTTTAAATCCTAATATTATAATGTATATATTTGAACTGAATGAATAATATTTGATCTATATGAATTTTATTTTCCTGTTATATAAATAATTATTAAGAAAAATATTTTATTGTTTTTCATACGTATTCTAATTATCTAAGTCATTTAAAACTCCATTTTTCCCTTTACTCGTTTCTATCACCACCCAATCTTGTATTGCGTGATGTTGTCCTACGAATGATGACATGTTGTTCCTATCCATGTCTTTATTTCAGATTTAATAAACTTCAACAGGACACATTCTTGCCACATGTTGAAAATGGTACAATAACACTAATAGGCGCCACAACTGAGAATCCCTCATTCAGTTTAAACAATGCTTTGCTCAGTCGCTGCAGAGTAGTTGTCATGCAAAAACTGTCTGTTGATGATGTGATGATTATTTTACGGCGTGCTCTTAAAAATAAAGAAACATTAATAGTAGACGCTCAGGGAAGTCGGAAACAAGAAGACACCTTGATACCGCGGTGAGATATAGATTTCCCATTTGCATACAATCATCGGTAGATTTTTAAAGGAAGTTTCTTAATTCAACTGTATATTAGTATTTTTTGTTGGTACCATAAAATCTTTATTATTAAAAGTTTATTGTTATTAAATTGTAAACTAGCGATTCGACCCGGCTTCGTACGAGTAAACAAAAATTTCGAAAATCAATACATACAATAAAAAAAGTTTCAGCCAATTCAACTGATCGTTTATTTTATTGCATTTTATATGTGATTCTTTAGATTGACATAACTTTTTTATTTTTAAACTGATTGAAATAAAAAAAATACATTAAATGTTAAATGGAGTAAACCGCAATGTATTAGTGAAAACCGCATTCAAATTAGTTAAGCTGTTTCTGACAAACGTACAAACACACATACAGACAAAAATTCTAAAAATCATTGTTTTGATAGATATATTGAAAGAACCTATCGCATTTATAAAACCTCGCTATAATAGTTTTTCGTGTATATTTGTATGTGTACAGACAGCGACCAGTTACGATTTTATTATATGTATTGATTGATTAATTTATGTATATTTATAAAATAATCAAATTTTTATCATGTAAGTAGTACATCTGTGTTAATGTCGCGCACAGTGTCAGATTTATGTTTTAAGTTATAGGCCATTTCACGTTATACCACCCCTCTAGAAATAATGGGATGAGTATCTATTTATCAAGGCGTTTATAATTTAATTTAACGTTATATAATTAAATAATACAAGGAAAATGCAATACGATTTTTTTATAAGATTTTTGTTGGCAGAATATGCCGCCAATAAGCCGCAGCCTATATGGCTATTGATAAATCGCGAGCACCTTCACCGAGCGCTCGATGTGCAGAAGTATGCTGTCACCGTCTTCGAGACATGGCCATTCATGAATAGGTGTTCCGGAGGACTTCGAAATTAGTCGAACATTCTAGATAGAAATACACATAAGATAATCCAGTGAATTGATCTTCGCCATTTGTGGACAAATGACGAAGATTAATTCATTATTATTATAATTAAGATGGTCAGTGTGTTTTTTCGGATAAAAATAAATATTTAATATTAATAAAATACAGGTTTATAGTGCAGGAAGATTCATTGCGATGGCTAGCGGAAGTTTGTGATGGTGACGCACGAGTTGCTCTGAGTGCTTTAGAACTTACGCTTGCTGCTAGAGGCTCTGACAATGAGGTGCATATTACTGGTCCAGTGGTGTTGGCTCTCGAAGATATTAAAAATGGAATAAAGGTATATTTGTATTATTAATAATAATAAACTCTTTATTGCGCACAATAGAGATGTATGCAAGGATTATTTATACAGAAAATGCATATACAAAAGGCGGTCTTATCGTTAAAAGCAGTCTCTTACAGATAACCTGGTTTTTTATTAGGTTAAAAGTAAAATTTTTACAACCAAAGCCATATAATTAGGACACATTTTTTTAAAAAGAGGTTACAAAGTGTTGGTTTTACTAATTTTATTGAGTTTACAGAGATCACACATGTTATACGACCGACAAGGCGAAGAACATTATAACACAATATCGGCAATACACAAGTCTATACGAGCTAGTGACGATAATGCAGCATTGTACTGGACCACTAGAGCTCTCCACGGTGGTGAAGATCCTTTATATATAGCACGCCGGCTTATTCGTGCTGCTTGTGAAGATATTGGTAAGGACTATTGTGTATTTTGAAGTCAAGTTTTCTTTTTTTTAATTTTGATAGTGATGGGTTAACTACATCAAAGTATCAACTGTTTCTTAAGCTGCATTCATAAGGGCTACTAGCATAACCGTCGGAAATCATTGTCTGATTGCATGTCTTCTTAAGAAATATAAATAATACTTTTTTTTTAATCAGAGGTTTGGCCTGGCATTTGGAACATTGCTCTCAAGTGGATGACAGCACGAAATTTATATTCTGTATATACATATAATGTGAGACGACACTGTTATTTTTTTAATGGGTGAGAATGAAATGGTAACCCCGCCTGTGCAATCAGTATACGCTGGCTAGGCACCAGTGGGAGACGATAAGTGAGGATGAAAGCAGGTCAGTTAGCTCATTGTGAAGAATTTTACGAGAATTAATCACGATGGTTTTCAGGAGGAACCGTTTGGAGGTCGACCTGATAGGGTACATTGCTAGCGATGGAGCTGTTAAGACCCTATTTTTAATAATCCCTTTTCCCCGAGACGACACTGTTTAACGCGTGTGTTCGTGTTAATCAAACAAATGAAATGATGACTTAGATTATATTCAAACCTGTACTTTTGGGGGGGAAGGGATTGTTAGAAATGCGGATTATCAGTCCCATTGCAACTTCCCCGTGGTCTTCCCTGGAAACCATCGTGCTGAATTCCAAGTGTATTCGTCACGATGGGCTAACTGACCTGTCTTCATCTTCACCTATCACCCCTCACTGGTGCCCCGTCAGCGTATACCGTTAGCGCAGGCGGGGTTACTATTCTACTATCATTCATTCATTAAAAAAACCTGTACTTTGTCTATAACAGGCTTAGCTGACCCAGCAACACTAACAGAAGCCGTGGCTTGTTTACAAGGTTGTCAGCACATAGGCAAACCTGAGTGCGACGTTTTATTGGTACAATGCGCCGTCCGGCTAGCCAGAGCACCCAAAAGTCGAGAAGTGTATAATGCTATGAAACGTTGTCAACGATCATTAGTTGAAGCGAAAGGTCCTCTACCACCTATACCGCTACACTTGCGTAATGCACCAACCAAACTTATGAAACAAATGGGTAAATTAATTTAAAATATATATCAATGAATCTCGACCTATATTTATATATTCAATTTTCACATGCACACATTAACATTATAGCACACTAGTAGTTTAATGAGTTTTTCTTTTCTATTCGTATGATTAAATTTCCCGTCTTTCAGCACGTCTGTTTGCGATTATATTTTTTTTATTGTTTTTTGCCAAAATATATCGAAAATTTAGCTACGAAAAGTTTATAAACAAAGAGACAAGCTTTGTATCGTATTTATAAATCTTATAGATACATATATGTATACTCTTTAGATTTTAATTAGGAATTTGTTCTAAATAACTCTAATGTAGTAGATTGAGTTTTTATTTAAAAATTTTTATTGCACAAAAAAGAGAACAAAGAGAACAAGCTATAAAGCTATATCTAGTGGCGGTTGTTCCTACCGTGCGTTTTTTTAATTGGGATTTTGATTGAGCTATAGTTGGCATTTGAGAATCTTATTTGCTCATAGGTTGTCGGTTTTTGCTTCAAGTTATGTGGCCAGCCATCATTTTTTTTTTTTTTTGCATTAGTACCTAGACAGTAAAGAACACATTTAATAATATTGCTCAATAGTTTTTGTTTCGATTTCCGTATAATATAAACATTTTGTGTTTTTAGTGGGTGTTCCCTGTGTTTAAAAGTGTCTGTGTAGTGTATATAGTACAAGCTTTGCTTAATTTAGGATTAGGTGAGGCTGTATGTATCTAATTATTCAGTTATTTTTTGTTTCAGGCTACGGTAGTGGATATAATCTACTCCATAAAAATGAATCTGGTCTTGAATACATGCCTGAAGGTATGGAAGATGTGAACTTCTTTCATGACAACAATGATGAAGAAGACTAAGTTTTTGGTATTTTATTATTAAAACCACTTAAATCCTAGTGTCAATGTTTTATTAATCTGCGATAATCTCATTTCACAATTTTATGACATGGTAAAAATTTACTATTTACAAGATACACACATGTGTAATAATACAAATATATCTTAAACATTGTACCTTTTGTAACATTGACGGCTTTTCTTTTGCCACAATTTTGGATCTTAATTTTATAAAAATAAAATAACATTATTTCTTACTTTACAACATTTACTACTACTGCACATTGTGCACATACACGCCATAATAATTTACATCATTTCATCTAATTAATATGCTACTCGCATGATTTTAACAAATGTTTATCCCTAAACACATGACAATAGCTATTGCTTATTACTTAAAGTAATATTCATTGCATTTATTAGTTGATTTTCTTTTGGAATTATCAGTGAACATTGTTCTAACTATAAATAAACCAAATAAATACAAAAGTTTTCTTTTTTTTCATATCATTAGTCATTTGTGTAATATGCAATAAAATGTAAATATATATCAAATAGGTATTCTCCTCTTGTAAACAAGAAAATTAAGTAGGAAGAACATATAGATGTGTGTGGAAAATATAGCAAATTGCAAATGTATACAAGAAAGTCTTAAACTAGGCTCATTTAATACTAAATCTTATCCTAATTATAAGCAAAAATTGAAACTAAGTTTAACATAAATAAATTAGAATCAGACTTCTAATTTAGAGTCTAATAAGAGAGGAACAATTTGTTTGGGTCTGAAATATTTGAATAATGGTTTGACAAGTCATACTGAATTAGAATTATGGTAGCTTTACACAAATGTTGTTTTTGGAGTTGCTCGACAAGTTTCTGTGACGCCGCTGAATATTGAGCTTATGATTAGGGGCTCTGATTACGTTCAGTACTAATCAAGACCAACTCTGGAGAAAACAAATGCGTAAGGCCCACATAATAATAAATGACACCATGAATACCAATTCACTATACATTTATCTTTTAATTTTGAATAGTCAAAATTCATAAAAACCATACCTTGAATGAACAAAGTATACAGTGGAACGTTTGAATATTGAACTCAACAAAATTTGTGTAATTATAACTAATGCTAAGTTCTCCCTTAGAAGACATATTCTGGCCCGGCCATATCAATAGCCCAGCGGAACTTATCACGTTGTGTTTTGTTGTAGATCTTCTCAATTGGTACGCCATGCTTTTTACACCTGTCGAAAAGAATATATGAATACATTTTTATTATTGATGTGATATAATACTATATAGATAAAATTACATACTTGTATGATTTGAAAAATAGTGACAGTATTTAAATGACAACATTTAAAACAACTTACCAAGCCACCGAAATACGTGGATCCAGATAATTGAGCTTAGAGGTGCCTAGGGCAATTGTTTTATTTTCATCACGATCAGTTTCTTGCAGTTCTAGTTTTTTCAATTGTTCTTTTAGGCGCTCCAATGCCTTCTTCTTTTTATCACAGGCAATTCTTTCTTTGACAGATCCGCGTTTGGCGGCCTTTTGTGAATCTTTTAGATCTTGCTCTGCTTCTTCGATTTGGTCACGTTTAGTTTGAATTTTTTCTTTAAGAGCCTCCATAGACTTTGAATGACCTAAAGAAAGAAGAGTAATCTTTATACTGATATTTTTATAATGTAGTAAAATTGTTATAAAAAATATACAATGAAAATATAAACGTTATAAAAAGGCTTTTTTGGTAATAGCATAATAATGTTTTCTCCTTTTTATCCCTATGATGTAAAAAGGAATAAGTCTCAATCGACCAGTGTAACAGAAATATAAAATAATAATAATACTTATATGCTTGGTCAATGTGGTATAAGTAAGTACTGGAAGTGGTAAATTATATATATATCTTACAAATAGAATTATAACAATATGATGACTGTACATAGCTAAAAAGGGCAATAGATACCAAAAAAATTATTAAAAATTTTATTTATCTGTTATATATATATATATATATATATATATATTAATATATATATATATTTTACATAGCTTTATCCATTTTTGTCGGCACAAACAGATAAATAAAATTTTTAATAATAATTTTTTTGGTATCTATTGCCCTTTTTAGCCATGTACAGTCATCATATTGTTATAATTCTATTTGTAAGACTAGAGAGAAGAGTAGTAGAAGAGTAGTTTTTGTTTCTATAACGAACATACAGACAGACAAAAATTTTACTGATTGCATTTTAGGCATCAGTATCTATCACTAATCACCCCCTGATAGATTTTAGAAATGTATTTCATGTACAGAATTGAGCTCTCTACAGATTTATTATAATTATTTTATTTGTAAGATAATATAGCTCATACCTTTAGGAACAGCACGCTGATGGTTACACAGTACTGCAACAGCACGATTAGCTCTGTTGTATGCTAAAATTTTTTCAGGTATTGAAGCATCTGCGTCTGTAAGTTCATCCAATTGTCGTTGTAATGTGATTGAGGCATTATATGTACGGAACACTTTTGCAGTAAGCCCAGGCATTAGATCTTTTAAATGTTCATTTAAAGTTTGTGTATTAAGTCTATCAAAGAGATCATCACTATCTTTTTTGTTCTCCATAAATAATTCGAGATTCTTAAATACGCGTTTCTCCACTGGTACCTCATTATAATATCTAATCGAGTCTTTACCAAGAAAATCAAATACTACAACAAATTCTTTGCCATCTTTTTCCTTGTGTAATTCAATATGTTCAACACGCAATGAACAACAACCCACAGTGTCTGCCTGATCATCATCTTTTTCATTGCCAGCTCTCAAGGCTAGTCGATCAATGAAGTACAAGGCCACTGCACGTTGTCGCACGCGCATTTCTTTAGCTTTCCAGTCTGAGCGATAATTGTCTCTAATTTTATCAATACATTTATGAAGTTTACGAGCAGTTTCATATTTTTGCCAATCCTTTTCACCTTTCAATTTTGAGCTGGGATTTAACATAACATATTTGGCTTGCCCTTGTACATTTTCAGTCCAAGATGCTAACCATGTGACAGTGTTATCGTGTCTCACTTCTTTCCATTTATGTCCAGGTGGGGGTTTTGGTACTTTGCTATCTTTCGAACAGTTGATTAAAACATCTTCAGGCATAACACGCTTCTTTAACATACCCATTTTAGGATGTTCACCACGACCTCTAAAAAGACCTGGGGGTTCTATTCTAAAATTGCCAATTTTTTCTTTGTGCCCATCAATTACACAGAAACCATATTCTTTTTGTATTTCTTCATTTTTCGCTTTTATTGCTGCTTTCTCTTCTTTTGAGCGATTTTTATTTTTTTCTGACACACTCTGGAAATAAGCCTGCATTTCTTTGAAGTCACATTTAGAAAGGTCTTTGATGAGCTTTTTTTCTTCCGTTGTCATCACCGAGCGCCAGTCATTAAAAAAGTTAGTATTGAATACTTTTTTTGTAGTATAATCATGGTCTAACATCCGTGCATAAAAGCCGGCAACTTCTTCAGCATCCTCTGATAGCCTAATCTCTTTGCCGTCATAACGGAATTTGACGTTTTCTGGCAAGGGTTCATACGGTGGCGCGAATAAAGGGCCTTTATGTTCTAAGAATGACCACTTGGTGCCATCACTTTTCTTTTCTTCTTCCCACCTATAACAAAATTAATGTTAAACTACTATTATAGATTAAGTGGTGTAAGTCTTAAAAGAACAAAGTAAATAAAATAATACAATGCACCTTGGTCTTTGAAATCGTCTCTGGCGTTTAAATATTAAGATATTTATATTATTAACGCTTATTATAGGTTTTATATTAATGAGTTTTACTAATATTTTGATATACATGTTTCCTAACCTCTCTTATGACATAACCTAAATATTGCACGAGTGACATCTTGAATCATATTATACTGTGTCGCCATCTAGATACAGAGGATGACAAGTCATTATATTTCAATTGGTTAATAGATGGCGCTTTCGGACGCTACTTGCTAGACAACTCGTAGTCCAATAATAAAAAAAATTGTGTATTCTAATATTTGGGTGATATTTTAAAAGTATCTTATATTTTTTATAGACAATATCGCTTTATTTCGATGCGATTGGCCCATTTTCAGTACATTTATATCACATTTTTATATTAGAACAACTAAACATTAGCAACATAAGCAAAGAATTATTTACCATTTCTTTGAATAATAATTATGGATTATATATAAATATATTATTTACTAAGTTATGAAAGCGATATTGATGGTAGGCAACTATATTTCTTCTTTTCAATAAATATACTGGGGTTGATTCTGCACCATTTCTTCTTTAAACTTGTTTTAACCTAATATTTTTGAATGAAGTCTCTCGTCTTAGAAAAATAACTTTAGCGTTTAGTGTACATAAATTTATATAGCAAATTAGCTTTTACCCGCAACTTGTTTCCGTCACCATCCTATATAGTACACATGAATAAAATTTATTATTGATTGGTCATTAAAATGTAACAAACTCACTTTCATATTTGTATAGTAAGGATTATTTTATTAATTTAACTAAAGATATAAAATATTATTCTTAAAAATAAATTATATAAAATGTTATTGCGATTAAAGATTGTGGGCGCTTGGTGGAGGCTGAAATTAACTTTTTAAAGTTAGAACGTACTTGTATAACTTATACAGATTTTCTTTACACAAGTAGTAAAGGTGTTACCAGATTACAAAGATGAATTATATAAAAGTTGGTAGATTCTTTAATTTCAGGCTTAAAAGTTCAATGAGAAATAACTTAAAAGTCAATTTAACATACCATTTCCATACTTCTTGCTCTTCTTCTTCCTTCTTCTTTCGTTTGGCTGGGCTGACTGCTTCTACTGATTCTTGTTTAACTTTCACAGGTTTTGCTTTCACTTTTTCTGTCTTTTTTTTCTTTTTCTTGGGCTTTATATCTTCCTCTTCTTCTTCCTCATCATCTTCATATGTAGGTTCTATACAGAATTTTTATAATTATCATTTGGTGTTGTAAACTAATATTATAACAGGGGGAGGTATTTTTAATAAAATAAAATTTTTAATAAGTAAATTCTATTACTCTGCATTTAAAAATATGGTGACAACTTTTAGTCAGTTTTTTTTGTAATGATTTCAACTGGATGTAGGTGGTTCAGAACTGTTCTTAATGGTGGTCTATGGGTAACACCTATGTTCAGCAGTGGTTAGATGACAGCTGTTATGATGAATGATTTCAATTAGAGTACTAAATTTTTAACATATAATATAAATTATAGGAAATTAGATAATAAGAGATGTGAAAGGTGGCACTCAGTTATCTATATACTAAAACATGACATGAATATATTATGAATAACAATGTGTCAATCTATTCTATATTATTCACTAGCATTTGTTAAAACTATACATTGATATGAATAAAATATGCTTATAGATAGGTATACACAACAGCTACCAAACCATTATAATTTGGATATATATTGTTTAGGTATGTCTAGCATCAGCTTCTAGATGGTGTATTACAACAAAACGTGAGGTTTTAAGTTACACATTTTATTTTTATTTATTAATTTATTATTTATTTATTAATTTATTATATACAAAAAAAAAAAAATTACAACAGCGAGTACATTGGACCCCGCACTAGGAGAACCTGTATCGCGGGAGTCCATATGAGATTACCAAGACACGGTGGTTTACAAATATAAATTAAATTAAAATACTAAGCCAGTTTTACGAAAGCAACAAGTTAAAATGAAGAGCTTCATGAAGACATGCGCATAAAACAGAAAATTATATAAATACTCTAATATTACATAAATAAATACATACAATTAAATATACTAAAGACATACACTACTATATACGAATATCAATAAATGGTATATAATATTAATTCTGTGGCATCGTAATCAAGATTTTGTAAATATCCTTGTATCCTATGTTTAGCTTCCGCATTGTTAAGACCATCCAGTTTGCAGAGATTATTAAGTTTTTTATATATAAATGGGCACGAATAATAACTAAAGCGCTTTGCAAATGCAGTATTAATGCGAGGAATGATTATTTTGCGCCTTCTCTGGTCCGAAGGTTTTTGCGGGAGGAGAGGAGATTTGTGGTGCATCATTACTACTTTAAGTATATAAAGTTGACGCACTGTCAGAACAGCAGCCTCCTGATACAAAAGATAAGTGGGAAAACGAATTGGTTTCCTAAACATTACTTTTAAGACAGATCTTTGTGCCCTTTCAAGTATATATATGATTTTGATGCACCGCCCCACACTGTGATGCAGTACATCAACAGTGATTGAGCTATGCTTTTGTATACAAGTAATAAAACATTCTTGCTCGCGCCGTTACGCAGAAGCTTCATAACGTGTATAAGTTTACGTATACGTTTAGAAAGCACTTGTATATGAGAAGCAAAAGTCAACTTTTGATCCAAGATTAATCCCAAATATTTCACTTCATGAACCCTATCAATTATTTTTAACAATACAAATATGTGAAATTGAATGTAATTTGACACAATGATACAATGTAATGGACTATAGTAGAAAAAATCGTAGTTAGTATACATAATAAATACAATACAGAAAAAGGGACACAAATATTTTGAAAACAACTATTCTACTTTATATTACAGTTTTTAATATTTTTTCCTGTATAGACCAAGTTATGTTGAACATAGTCATTCAATGAATTAGTAAACTAATTCATTTTTACCTTTTTTCAATTTCTTTTTAGACTTTATCCGTTGAAGTAATGGTACATCTCCATCACTTTCACTGCTCATGCGACGTTTCGTCGTAGCACGCGCCGCCTGTAAATTTTTTACACGACTTTATTCAAAATCCTCTTAAATCATTAAGTAATTTAATTAAATTTTAATAAAAATGGGATAGTAGTAATATTCATGTTATTAAATTTATATATCCACATTTCTACTTTGTTACATTAGGATAATAGATTCATATAAAGGCTGGACATGTTTAGAGGTTAGTGTACATTTTTTACCATTTAGATCAATATATATGTATATATATATATTACACTGCCTGCCTGCAATATACCCCTATTGCTAGCAATGGTGTTGTTAGATTTCATTACCAGAGGGAGACTTTGTACAAAAGTAATTTGCTTGGGTACCTCTGTCCCATTCATGTTTCAACCGTAAAGCAGTTGTGTTTGCATGGCTGTGTTTCAGTTTGAAGGGTACGATATGCAGTGAATTTACTGGGTATAGAGGAATAACACCTAAGTTCTCAGGAATGGCAACACATGGGGGTATCATGGGCGAAACAGTATACTCTGTTATGTTCATGGTACTGCTCATGTTTATAGGCAACAGTTACCACTTTCCATCAGGTGTGCCGTTAGCTTGTTTGCCATTCTAAGTTATATAAAAAAAAAAAAAAAAAACTAAAAATCCCTTTTTCCAACTGTTGCCAATTATAAGTTATTTAAAAAAAGAATTGAGGATGTGGTGATGGTGGTTGTTGTGTCAATAAATTTGTTAATAGATACACTGATTGAACTAATACATAATGAATGGGCATTTACCAATGACTCTTCTTCACTTTCCTCTTCAGGACCCAGTTCTGAGAGGGGTTCATCCTTGAACTGTGACAAAGAGTAGTCACAAGATGATACTGTGGTATTGTTCACTTCTGCATATCCATCATCACTGTCTTCTTTACCTTCTTCCGTTTTTATTTCAAGTTCATCTACCTGTTATTAAAATTTACATAATATTAGTATGTAAACATAAATACTTATTACATTATTTAAACTATATGAATAGTTTATTCCACATGGTATTTTTGTCACATGCAGATATTGTTTAAATTGCTATTATATTTATTTTTGTTTGCTATGAAATTATTACTAATCTATCCTAATAAAATAAAGCGGAAGAGTTTGTTTGTTTGAATATGTTAAATGCTGAGTTTCAGCATTTAACCAATTTGATTTGAAAAATAATGGTTTTTGCTTTTGATGGCTTATTTTTTGAGAAAGGTTATAGGTTATACAACTAAAGGCAAAGCCACAGGATACTGCAAATAATTAATATTATTAATGTTACAACAAGCTTGTGTATTTATCTACCTGCATAGGTTCTTGGTTGATGGGATAATCTACAGACTCTGGTTCAGATTTAATTTTTTCATTACTTTTTTCTTTACTTTTACTTGAGCTGTAACAAAATAGACAATCATCATAAATCTCATTAAATACTTTTGTTTAAGTTACTAAAAGATACTAACATATTTGACTCAAAATGTGATTTGGAATAATTGTATATTTTAAAAGCCATAATTTATGAAACATTCAAAAGTTATTAAAATGGGAGATTTTCTTTCATGAAACAATTAAAAATTTAAGTGACATAAAATTTAATAAAAAAGAAGTAGTTCCAATCATTTGTACATTTTGAAATGTCAAAAATATTATTGTCATTATAGTGAACATTTTCTAAATTTAATGTGCCATAGATATTTATTGGTGCAACAGTAGAGCATAAGGGCTTACAAAGGCTATAATTGAGGGTGAGAACATGTCACTAACCTGTGCTTGTCCTTAGAACTTGAATTTTTGTCTTTATCACTTTTATGTTTGTCCTTATCACTTTTGTGCCGCTCCTTGTCACGGTCACGTTCCTTGTCTCTGTCTTTGGACTTGTGTTCCTTAGACGATGAACTCTTGTGCTCTTTGTCCCTCTCCTTATCTTTATCCTTGGAAGATTTCTTTTCCCCATTGCTGCTCTTGTGTTTGTCTTTGTCTCGATCACTTCTCTCTTTGTCTCTGTGTTTCTCTTTGTCACTGCGATGTTTGTCCTTGTCACTGCGATCCTTGTCTTTACCACTGCTAGATTCTTCTTTACTTCTGTCGCTACGATCTTTATCGCTGCGCTCTTTATCTTTGCTGGATGATTTGTGAGATGAGCTGCTGTGACTTTTACTACTTGAATGCTTGTCCTTATCTCTATAAAGAAAAGAATAAATAAATTTATCAACTGATTATAGTAGAATAGCATATTTACACAGTGTGTAGGCTTTGGGGTGGTGATTACATGGAAGTTTCTGGAAAACTAACCTGCTTGAGCTATGTTTGGAGCTTTTGTGGTCGCGATCTTTATCACGGTGCTTGTCTTTGCTTGAAGATTTGTGGCTGGACTTGTGCTTATCGGAGCTACTGTACCCGTTGTGAATACCGTTCACGTGTTCATTTTTAGTGCCATTTACCTTTCCCTGTGAACAGATTACGAGATGCATAAAAATTACATAAAACTACAAATGCAAGTAGAATTTATAACACAGTAATAATACAATAAGAAAACTAAAATTAATAAGATATTATAAATCTAAATGGGATTTTGAAGAAGCTTCATTTATGTCTGGGCTTTATAGTTGACGCCATATTGGGACTTAGAAAATTTTCGCTTCGTGGAGACTGCGATGTACACTAGTAGTGAGACGTAACCAAACCTCTTTATGAACAAATTTATTAACCAAATGATACGTTTTAGGCGTACGAAATTATTGTAATACTTACTGATTCACAATCATTATTACTGGTAGGATTTTCAACACTCATTTTGCCTACGTATTGACAACGTTTGTTCGAGATTACATGAGGTTGCCCGAGTGAGAACAAATTCTAAGTGCGTGAAACGACAAATGCGCATGCGTCGTTCTTGCAGCAGTTAAGTTAATAACTTCATGTGAATCGGTCAATGTTCTCATTTGCGTATCACTTCAAGTCATATGATTTTTACGCTGGATTTACACGTCTGCACAAGCGTGTGTATAATATATAGTATCTGTTTCAATAGATATTAATGAAAATGTAAACACATGACGTTGATGTGCAATGGCAGTACAAATAATAAATCGATTAATTTATTTAATGTTTGGATTTGTCACTAATTTTACTTAAATATAGGTACTTAGTGTTTTTGTGGTAATTTAACAAAAGTTGGTTAAATACTTTAAAGTTTATTTGATACAGACTGACAATGCAATCGTAAAAATGACACAGGAAAATATTAGTAAGGTTTCAGAGGATATTTGAACTGTACAAGAAGTACAGTTTAAGTGTTTTTGAAGGTATGCAAGGGCGATGGACGATAATCCTTACTATACATGGCAGGCGATTACCGCTGATGCTGACCGAGTCGAAATAAGAAAGAAATATTCCTCAGCGATTTTTTGAGTCCACTTTAGCTCTTCCTGTCCCTGAATTCATTCAATACTAGAGAGTGCTACAGCAGGAGAGGAGGTACATGAGTGTCTTACTTTTTGTATATGGATAACTTGAAATTGCTGGGGGAAAGGGATTATTAGTAATGGAGACTAAGAATCCTATTGCTAGCAATATACCCAACCAGGTCGACCTCCTCGCGGTTCCCCCTGGACACTATCATGGTTAATTCCTGATGAATTCATCATGATTGGCTAACTGGCCTGTTTTCATTCTCATCTATCACCCTTCACTTGTGCTCCGCCAGCGTATCCCGTTAGCGCAGGCGGGGGTTACCATTCCATTTTCACTACTAAAAAAAAAACTTGAAATTGTTAGCCCCGAACGCTCAACGCTAACGGAATTGCTAAATATCGTAACGTAAATGCGCGGTCCTACCAGAAGGGATCGCTACAGTGCTCTCTAATAATAATAATAATTCTTTATTTGGAATAAAAACATTAGTTACAATATTATTGAAAAACGTTGATATCCGCAGAAGTATAAAACTGTGTCGCAAATATCAACGCCTTCCTTCTCATTGCAGAATTCCAAAACAGACAATTAAAACGTGTAGTAGTTAGTTACATCAACGAAGAGATTTTTTTGTATCTAGCAGCTAACTAACTACAATATTAATAAACTACAAAAATAAAAAAAAATAAAAATAAAAACAGCAGCCTACAGGTTAACTTAAATGTGTTTGTGAATTTGTGTGTCTATGCAGGTGTAAAAGTTATAAATTTATTTGGAAAAATGTATAAGATCTTCTGTATCATTATAAGATAAGGATTGGAGAAATTTTAAACATTTATATTTGTATTTATGGTGAGGTAAGGGATATATATCTAATTCTTTGTTTAATCTATTATATAGAGAGGAACTAATAATATTAGTGGTGGTGATAATGAAGGCTCGCTATAGCAGTGCGTCGAGGTTCAACTTTACAAATTTTATAAGATTTTCGTTTCGACTTTATCAGTTTTACTTCATATGGTAGTTCAGAATGCTTACGTGGCATAGTATTTAAAATAAATAGTTGGCGAACAGATAAAACCCGACTGAGCACATACAGTTCCATAGTAGGGAATGAAATTGGTTTTTTAGCCAGTATTTTCAAAACAGCTCTTTGAGCCCGTTCAAGCTTCAGCAAAACTGTTTTAAGATCTCCACCCCAGGAGGTGATGCAGTATGTTATTATAGACTATGCCAGTGCATAATACAGTTTTTAAGTTGTTAAAATCTATGACACCTCTTAATTCTTTAAAAACAAATATCAGCCTATCTTACGCAGGAGACAGTACAATCAACATGTTTTTTTTTTATTTTAATGGATGATGAATGGAGTGATTACCCTGCTTGCGCTAACAGTATACGCTGGCGGGGCACCAGTGAGGGGTGATAGGTGAATAATGAAAAAAGGCAGGTCAGTCAGCCCATCGTGATGAATACACCTGGAACTTAGCACGATGGTTTCCAGGGGGAACCGCGCGGAGGTCGACCTGACAGAGTATATTGCTAGCAATGGGACTGATAGCCCGCATTACTAATGATCCTTCCCCCCCAAAATCAACACGTTGCCTCCGCTTCAACGAACCGTCCAACGTTACTCCAAGATATTTTATACTAGTAACACGTTTCCTGGATATACAATTGCAGGGATTAAGAACTGTTGGAGTTAAACAAAGATGTGGACGAATCGAAAACGTGGAGGAAGGTTGAGAGACAGTGTTTATAGAGAAGGCAATAAATTTTGTCTTTAAGAGATTAAGTGTAAGGTTTGACTGAAGCCACCTCATGACCTGTCTCAGTGCATTCTCTGAATGCATTTGTGTCTCCATCCTATTATGCCCACTGATGAGGTCTGCATCCGCATAGATAACAATTTTGCAGTTTTGAATAATCAAGGTCCAAAGAACATTAATATAAATTAAGAATAAGGTAGACCCTAGAACACTACCCTGAGGAACACCACAACTGATATACTCATCTTCACTTACATAACTATCAATAGTTACACACTGAGTACGGTTTGTAAGATAGCTTTCGAACATATCAAGAGCTATACCTTTAACACTTACACTTTCTAGTTTGCCTAGCAAAATAGGAATAGAGACAGTATCAAAGGCTTTAGAAAGGTCTAAAAATTGATTAGGTGATAGTATAACTATCAATAAATATAATTAATTTACGATTTTTTATAATATCTTTGAAAAAAGAAACGGATAAGACTGAGATAATCTATAATTAGAAATAATGTCTCCATCTCCACCTTTAAAAATTGGATGGGTACTTTTCCTATCGCTTTTTAAAAGCGATAGGAAAAGTACCCATATTGATAGCACAATTGAACACATTTTTAGTATGGAAATATTTACATGTTTTGCTGACTTAATTATCGAAGTAGAGACACCGTCCCATCCAAAAGCACAGTTGGTCTTTAAATGAATAATAATATTTTCAATCTCCTCTTCGTCCACATTGGAAAAAACTATAGAGTTGGGAGAAGATTGGCTGCAGGTATCATGCCTGTGTTATAAAGGCGTAGCTGAGTTACGTTGTATCCGAGAATTACCGTGAAACCGTGATTCAATGGCGGATGCTAGATTCTTACCAATGTTAGCAAAGAATGTATTAATAGAAGATAATGGATTATTATTTAATTTCAATAATCTCTAACATGAAAGTTAGCGGTGTCTGTGCACGTCATAAAATATCGGCCAAACGCCTATTATCTTTCTACCCATGCGAAACCGAGGTGGGTCAGTTTTATGGTGAATAATAAATATATGTCATTTAATATTAAATTGCTTCCGTATATTTGATAAAAATTATGTAGTAATTCCGATGAGTTTATTATTTTTATTTTTTGTATATGTTTCAATATTTGCACACCTACATTCTGGGATAAGATAGGATTATACTTTTGTTCTGATGTAACACTTATAAAAATGTTCCTTATTCTAGCAAATACATGAATTCTATGTTTTTAGTGTTGTGGAATAGAGATCTTGTATATAAAACATATTGTGTTATATGTTCTGTAGATACAGAACTCGTAACACAATATGTTAAGTTTTTAAGAAATATTGGAACATTAAATGTTACAATATTTCTTTAAAAATTTGAACAGTCATTAAAAAAAATGGAACACAAAATATATCCTTAAACGTAGGTTTTTATTTTTTATCAGGTGGCAGTCATCTTGTTTGCCATTCTAAGGTGCATAAAAATATTGTCAAAGATTTAATTTAAAATAAAAATGTCTGTATAATTAGTTATTCATTTTTTTATTCATATAATAAAGATTCAATGTAGAATATGTACAGTATACTTCATTATCATGTTTTGTCAAGTTTCAGTTGTCACTCTGCTTTCTCCTCATCTTGAGGCAATTTGTATACTGGTTTTCCATTTGAATCCCAAGTGGACTTCTGTTTCTTAAATGCAAATGCCATATAGATAGCTGTAAAACAAGATTTGATTATTTATCTTTTTTATTACTAGCTGTACTACACTGCTTTGGTCAGGAGAGTTAAAATTATACATTGCCAATTTAGGACAATGGTGTATCTATATCCCAAATTTCATTCAAATCTATTTATTTGTTAAATATGTCTGATCTTATATGAAACTATAGAAATTGGATGAAGTTTGGCATACAAACACATATCCATATATACATTACATATCTATTGAACTATAAGTTACTTTATTAAATAATGTAATGTTTTAAAAAGAGACATTTGTTTAATTCTTAGGAGATTACATAGTTAGTTCAGAGGAAGATATTTTAAACTCTTCCTGCTACATATTTCATTAATGGATTTATTATCCTTTCCTCTATAATTTTGCTGTTATTTTATATAGATCTTTCTAATCATTAAAAAGGAGGCTATATCTATGCTGGAAGGTTAAAATGTATTAAGCATTACTTTATTCAATATTAAGTTATATAAAATTTTTATAGGACCAATAAAAGTATAACCTTTCAGATAAAAAAAGAAATTTCCAAATCGGTTTAGAACTGATGGAACTTTTTAACCAAATTGAGAACCTTCTTTTTGAAGTTGGTTGAAAATATATAAAATATAGAAAGATGTATTAAAAACAAAGAAAATTGTGTTTTTCTGATTGGCATCATCATTATTAACCAAAGCGCAGGAAAATGCTTGCGCAATGATGTATTGCTTTTGTTTTGTATCTATTCAGTTGTGCATCTACTATTCCAATAAATTATAAAAAGAAAATAAAGATGTTCAATTTCTAATATATATGACATCAATAATTTTACTGTATTGGACACTTATTATGCTACCTATTATTGTTCATTTAGGGGGAAGGGATTGTTAGTAATGGGGATCTAACAGCTTCATTACTAGCAATATATCAAGTAGAATTGCATGCAGTTGCCTTTGAAAACTATCTTGGTTTATTTGGAATTCCTTATGAACTAACTGACCTGAGGGCCTACCATGAAATGTTTTCCGATATTTCGGAGCCAAACGAAACAGAAATTTGATGTTAAAATTACATAATACATGCCGTTTGGAAATATTAAAAATGTTAAAATATTGTTCCTTTGGACTTTTATGATAGGATGTATGACGAATGAAATGTTAAACTCCATTTATTGGCCCAATTTTGGTATAAACAAAAACACGAAATTGAGTCCGAAATTTCATTTCATGGTAGACCCACTGCTTTATCCTCATCAATTATCCTTCACTGGTGTCTTACAAGCATATACCAATAGTGTAGGCAGGGTTACCATTAAAAAACTATAACAATTTTTTTAAGAGGTGATAATGTTCTTTTTAAGAAAAATTGTTATTCATTTCCATTTTTTGACCTCCTTAAAAATTTGTTTAATTATGCTTAATACAGTTTGATTTTTCAGGGTTGATATAATGTATGGTAAGTCTATACTCATAACATCCATATATTGCAAATTATAGTTATAGCAAAATTATACAGTAAATTATACTATTTTTTGTTATTTCTTATAAAAAAATTATTAAAATATAAATAAAATATAATTTACTAGCAAACTACCCTGGCTTTGCAAGGTTAGTTAGGAAGATAAATTAGTATTTTTTATTAGTTTTAATAGACAAATTTTGACTTTGGGTTATGTACTGTAATTTTCACAGGGATCTCTATTTTTTTTTTGTTAAATAATATATAGCCTTGATAGTTGCTAATAATGTATGTAACTTTCTATAGGTGAAAGAGTTTTTAAAATAGGTTAAGTAGTTTTTTTAGTTTATTTACATATTATAAACAAACATGCAAAATTTAAATCTTTTCTTTAAATAACATTAGTATAGGTAGAAATACAGAAACTCACTGGCTACTTCCCATTCACACATACTCATTGTTCCAATATGATCATGTTCATTTTTCTTCTCCATATTTTCCCAAAATTGTTTTGCATGCTCATATTCTGCCTCATCTCCAATGAGTTCTTTACCAGGCGGTGCTGGATAACTTTCAAAACAAATGATTCTATGCAGTAACTGTTTATAGTTATCTGAATGATCTTTGAAGAAATCTGAAAACCTAGCTTTGTATACTAATTCAAGTCCATACTCAGCAGCTAGTTTAACAAATAGTTCGAAATTAACTAAGAACTCAGGACAATCTACTACTCCCTCTAAATGGAAATCATATTTTGCACCAAACAATGGATAACCTGTTTTGGAATCAAATAATAACTTAATATTGTAGATTCTATTTCCAAAAGACCCATCAGCTGACTTTTTAGTTCGGGAAATAATTTCATATGCATCTGGAATAGTACCAAAAAAATATCCACCTGGACGGAGACACTCTGTTATGTTAGTGAGCATTCTTCTAGCTTGGCCTAGACTTTCAAAACTATAATGTAGTCCAAACTGACAGCTTACAAGATCAAAATTTATTGATGGGTCTGAGTATTTATCTCTCAGAGTCTCTTTTGTACAATCAGCTGCAATGAATTCAGCAGAGTAAAGTCTGCCACATCTTTTATGTAAATCATCATAGCGAATTTTACATTGCTGAACAGACACATCCGCTATATCAGCAAATATCACTTTTTCAACACGCGCTTTTTGCCACTTGCTGAGGTCTCCTCCTTTACCGCAACATATATCAAGCACCATGATAGGTTTACCATAGTCTTTTTCTCTCACTTTATCTGTGTACTCCTGAATGAGCACACTTTTTACCCAGTTATTAAAATTTCGTACGTAAAATATGGGAGATTTGAACCTTTCCTTTAGTCCTTTTTCTTCAAGATGATTGTAATGAGCTGCTACTACGGTACTATGTTCATCATTTTTAAAAGACTTTGAAGGTGGCGCAAATTCGTCTTGGCAATTTCTTCTTTTAACCAAGAGTTTATTTCCTTCAAGGTGTTCAGTGTCATTTGATTTAGATTCACCATTTTCATCACTTTTTAAGTTTTGTGATAAAGTATCTGTTGAAGTCGACATCATTAACTACATAAAATGAAATCTTATTAAGTTATAAAAGCACTATTTATAATGAAAATTATTACAAATTTAAATAAATAGTAAAGTATGACGAAGGACGTGTTATAAAAGCGTACGGTACTATGTGGTGAGTTTATCAGGGTTACCAGATCCAAATTTTAATTTTTACCCAAATATAAAATATTTTCCACGTCAATAAGATTCCCACAACTTTTACTCAATCACAAACTGCTATTGTTTTGCTAACTGCATTGTAATAAAAAAAACGAAGAAAAAACATCATTCTTTCTGTTTTTACTTTTACCTAAATCTTACCTTCCTCTGTTTTGTTACCTTTATTCGTATATTTTATAATATTTATATATTTTAATGATGGGCAGTAGCGTTCCTTTTAAAATATCACCAAAGTCTAACTGCGGTTACTTACTCGCCTATCAAGCGTAAGAACCACTGTCAAAATCCCTCTAATGGGGGAGGCCTATGTTTATTAGTAAATATTTAATGGCTGATATGATGATGATATATCTAATACACTTTATATGTACCAAAACTATTACGCAAAATTTCTAAAATACCCAAATTTCACCTAGCCCATTTTAATTTTATTCAAAAATTTTTCTAAAAAAATTTTACAAATGAAAAAGTATTACATAAAATATTAAAGAAATGCCTAATCTGGCAACCCTGGCTTTAAATATTTGAAATATGACACTGACAGACAAAGAAATATGACAACCGAATTCCAGACAAATTTTTATATTGAAGACTAGGCAGCATGGTCTCCGACCTTAGCCTGTTCCACAACGGAACAAACATACTATATATATATATATATATATATATATATATATATATATATATATATATATATATATATATATATATATATATATATATATATATATATATATATATATATATATATATATATATATATATATATATATATATATATATATATATATATATATATATATTACTGATCTGGAGAACTAGTCTTTAGTAATCAAGGAGACTTAAATTATATGGGTTAGGGGGAAAGGGATTGTTAGTAATAGGGTCTAACTGATCGTATTTCGTTAATTATTTTAAAAATAGGTAACGAAAAAAAAACATTGACAAAAGAAATTGTAGCTGAACTAATTACACGCATTTTCTTACATTTTTCAACATTAACCAAAAACTGACCAAGTTATGAAAATGAAAATATATGCTTTGAATATAGCTTTGTGTTTTTTTTATACTACGAAGGTGGCAACTAAGCATACAGTCCGTCTGATGGTAAACAGCCTGTGAACGCCTTTTTCTTGTTATATTTTAATCTAGCTCTTGAAATCGTTATAACTTGATACATTAAAATGTATATATAAATATCTGGGATAGAGAAGGTCATAGGCTACTTTTATTTATTTTATTTTATCCCGGTAAGTAAACATATCTCTAAAGCCTTAAAGCTAATAAAATTATTAAGCACAAATTTATATATATTATTAATTTATATACATAAATATTTTATCTTTCCGATAGTGTTTAAATTATTTGTCTTTGTGTGCCCAATAAAGAAATAAAAACATTTTATAAATGAAATTTTTGTAATGTGTAAATTTTAATATATTTTAAAAACGCTCTTATAATTAAGTAACGATATCTGAATTAAGTATTATAAAACGTGTTATTGATTTTGGTACACCGTTAGATTATGGGCACACCATTTAGCGGCAAAAAAGTTGTTTTAAATATTGATTTTATGAAATGGAATAAAAAATGACAAATATATAATATTTATTACCTAATTTTGGGATAACGTCATTATATAATATATACAGTATAATACAGTTTGATGTTTTTGCTTTATAGTAGTATTTTGTTTTTTGAATTAGTTAAGAAATAACAGTTATGGCATTTTAAAAATAATATTAACTGGAGAAGATTTATATGGGGGTGTTTCGTTCACAATTTAAAGACCATAAAAATTTTGTACCTAAGGTAGGTAAGAATGGTATACTAAGTCTATGGTAAAAATAATCTATCTTGAAACTATCATTATCTTGGTCATTTTTTCACTTACAATGTTGAAAGAAATACCAAAATGTGCATAATTACTTCAGCTACAATGTTTTCCTTTATTATTAAAATTAACCACAATAGTTTCCGGAAGGAACCGCGTGGAAGTCGAGCCCATTGCTATCAATATATGTAGGATATCTATATTGCTAGCAATGAGGCGGTTAGACTCTATCATTAAATAGATTGTCTATCCCTTGAGCTATGTCGATAATTTTTGTTCTTCGATAGATATCCTCATTTCGGATTCTATTACACAAAGAAATTTATAGCTCTCTGTATTGTTTGCTGAACAACCTGAAGCTTTTACATACGGCTAACCGTGACGAAAGATGTTTTAGTATTTTTAAAAGATGATAATGGAATGGCAACTTCTGTGCTATCGGTATACGGTGGTAGAGCATCAATAAGGGATGATTGTTGAGATCGATAGCAGGTCAGTTTTTTGATGATGACTAATTCATCATAAATTAACCATAATGGTATCTACTTTTGACAAGCGCGTGGAGGTTAACCTGGTTGGATATGTAATCCATCCCCCCGCCCTCAGATCGTTTGTCGGTTCTTAGAGCTATATGACCAGCGCATTGGCACTTTAGCTTGTTAATCCTTTGGGCTATGTCGGTCAGTTTGGTAAAAGTTTTAAAAGACTAAATCGAAGTAATCAGTAAATATAAACATTATTATACAAGCTTCCAAAGTTACGGCTTCACAAGGGCAGACAGATGACTTTTATAGGCAAATTTTTGATATCTTGGCTTACATTACTAAAATTTTCATAGGGTTCTCTGATTTTTTGATAACAATATATAGTCTATGTTGTTCGCTAATAATTTAGATTTATATATGTAAAAGAAAATTTTAAATTATTTAAGTAGATTTTAAGTTTATTCATTACAAATATATACAAAAAAAAAATCATCTTTATAATATTAGTACACATATATCCATAAGAATTATGTATTGTTTTTATTTTAAAATTTAATGTTACAGTATAAATTTCTTCCACATACTTAGTAATAACTATTCATTCTGGTATCTCGATTTATACAAACATGGGTAAAGTTGGCCTCTTTTGGCGTTGTGAAGCATTCGTATGGAGACACTATCTATATAATGTAAGGCTATCGGTAGATATATACGGCGAGGGAATAATGAAATCCATTTCAAGTTTATTTCATTTAAAAAAACATAATTTCAATGATAAGGGAGGGGTTGTTAGTAATGGGTTTTAGATTTATCATCATTATAAATCATTCATTTATCATGAGTAATGAAAAATATTGGTACCTACTTCATCTTCCTCATTCTTTGAAAGTAATAAATTGATGCATCACAGTTTGTAGTATTATAAAATATTTTGTTATTTTTTTTTAATGTATTTAAGAATCTTGGGAATTCTTTTTGCAATCAATTGATGTTACTGTTACATTGAAATGATTTTTATTTTGTTATGGTTGAAATCGTTGCTTCTTTTTGTAGGCACGAAAAATTTTAAATTTATCTAGTTAAGAGAGGACAATTTTGTTATTCAAAACGAACTTTTTATGCAGTATCACACAGGTTGTAAATCGGTATCACAGAGTAGTGTGGTAGGTAGTTGCATCAATCTAACAAGTGGCCATTAGTCTTTCATGATTATTGACGATAGATTCAGCCATGTAAGCGTGATAGGAAACTAATTCATACCAATGTGAAAAGCTAGTCTCATATTTTCACGGTTAGATATAATGCTAAAACTAAGGCCTGTGACTAATATAAGTTATCACTAAAATGAAGAAAACAAAGTTTTAATCGTTTGACTTCAGTTTTAGTGAGTATAATACTAACATTCTGGGGGGGAAAGGGATTGTTAGTAATGGAGACTGAGAATCTCATTTCTAGCAATATACCCAACCAGGTCGACCTCCTCGCGGTTCCCCCTGGAAACTATCATAGTTAATTCCTGATGAATTTATCATGATGGGCTAACTGGCCTGTCACTATCACTATCACCTTTCACTGGTGCTCCGCCAGTCTATCCCATTAGCGCAAGCGGAGTTACCGTTACCATGCCATTTTCAACCATAAAAAAATACTAATGTTAGTTACTTGGACCAAAAAAATCACGGGGAGTAGTTACTTACGTAAGTCATCATAATAATCATATCAGCCTTTAACTGTCCACTGCCGAAAATAAGCTCTCCCTTGGGAGGTTTTGGCAGTTGTTGCCATGCTTGGCAGGTGAATTGGCAACCGCAGTCAGGCTGTAGAGATGTTTTAAGAGGGACGCTACTGCCCATCCCTCGCCCTCTCTTAGTCGGTTTTTACGATACCCAACCAAAGGGAGGGGTGGCCTATTCTACCCTGGGACCACATACTTTACAGCAACTTACGTAAGTAATATAAGATTATTTTGTCAGATTGGTATCTGTCTCCCTGTGATTTCTCATGTGTCTTGTTTCTTTGCGCAGTGTCTGTCGCAAGTTCATTTAGAAATAAAATTATTGTACATACCTACAGGGCTACTTCATTTAGAGGGAAGCAAAAAAGATCCGATAAAGAAATATAGGTAAGATTACTTACTTAGATTCCTATCTTTGAATGGTTTGTAGGATAGTCATATGTTATCATAAAGTTACAATAATGAATGAAAAAGTAAAATTAATCTATTTAAATAAATGTTTTAATTTTTGTGTTACGTTATTGTGAATTTAATTTTTATTTCTTAATCTATTTCATTACGTAGAAGGTATAATACTGGATGCACATGACGCCCTTCCATCCATGAGTTGAAGTTTAACGGAGCATTGTTGCTGGTAGTTGCTATTCTTAATTTATACTTAAAATGAACTACATAGTTTAGTATAGATATTATTTATATTCACGTACTAATTGCCAAAATGCCTAATAATATAGCTACGCACTGGGTATATTTGAAGTACTTACGTCGAAGTGGCATGTCTCAATTCTTCTAAGTCAGACAAATATAAAAAAATAAACATATCTTATTTCAATTGTGTACCTCACTAAATATTAAATGTATAATTAAAGAAATAATATAATATTAATATAATTATGGTAAATAAAGGAATAGGAAT